CCGTCTCCCGTCCAGTGCCATGCCGTCCGATGCCCCACCCAATCCCTCCGCCATCGTCTACTCCACTCGCTTCTACCGTCTTCTCGCTCTCCTCCGGGATGAACGAGTCGTCGAGCCGCGTCTTGTCGCTGACAGTCCTACCGAATGGTTGGCCTGGGCCCACGGCGCCCGCTGGATCATCGTGGGTGATATTCTTCTCGTCTATTCCCCGTCCGGCGGGCTGATCCTCCTTCCGGTACGTAGCGCATGCTCTTCGACTCCCGGGCGCGAGCTACCGCGCATGGCGACGCGTCCCTCCCTCTCATCCGCCGGTTCTCCGACGTCCAGGAACTGATCGACTACCTTGACCAGGTGTTCTCGACCATCGCGTCCGAGCATAGCGTCATTGGCGAGCCGTACCCTGCTATCGCCTGGTCCGCCAACCGCGTCGCCGTTGAGCAGTCCGATGTCGAAGTGGGCCGTCCGTTGCTCCCGGTCCGGTACCTCGAGAGGCCCATGCAGCTCTCCCCCCTCCGGGCTTCCTCCGACGGCCTCGACGCGCTCATCTCCCAGCTCCAGCGTTACGCTACCGTTCAACGTGACGCATCCGCCTCCTTTCAGTCCGAGGCCCAACACACCCGCCGTATTCTCTCCGCCCTGGCGTCCAGTGTTGCCGGCGTGCATGATCGTCTTTCACGTGGCGTGTACGTTCCGGACGCTGACTATTCCGGCATTCCGCGTCGCCTTCAGTTCCCTCCGGCGCGTACTAGTGACGACTTCGAGGATGCGGGTGTCGAAACTGAGACCGAGACTGATTTAATGGATGAGGGGGAGAGTGTGCGTGAGGGGTAGTTCGTTCCTGTACCCTCCGGTGCCGTCCACGGCTGCCTCCGGTTGCCCTACCGAGTTGCTTTCCGGTCGTGCTGCCTGGGTAACCTATCCTTCGACATTCCTTCCGTGTGTAACGTCGTCTGTTGTCTCCTGTGGTCGTGTGCCCTATATCCGTTGGTTCCGGGCCTGCTCTGTGGGGCTTCCCCACACCGTCCTCCTCCTTCTTACCTAGACCACTGTACAGTCCCCCGTACATCTCATAGACGCAGAGGCCTCGCATACCACTGCTCGACCTCACGTTTGGGTTTTTGTGTGGCTTTTGTGTTCTTTTCGGTCGCGTCACCGTCAGACTTCGCGTCTGACAACAGGAGATTAGTTCTGACATCAGAAGCAATCTCTGATGTCAGACGGCCTTCAGACCATCACTCAGACCATTTCAGATGGTCGTCAGACTGCTGCTTAGAGCGTAACAAAATGTAGTACTAATAGTACAGACAATACACTGTAAACTACCAGCTAGTACTCATCGTGCTCTTACCTGTCTGTCCACCCACATACCCACCCTCCCTTTCAATTGCCACTGTGCTTGCCGTTTCCGACAACGCCCGAGTTGCTGGGCGTCGGGCTATCATGTCAAGGTTCGGCAAACTGACGCCCACGGGTCACGGATCCGTGGGCAATCATGTAGGTGCTCGCGCTGGGCATGCGCTGCGCACGCCCTGCCCGTCGCGGTCACCCATGATTGTTCCGTGCCCACCTTCCATTTGTCAGTTGTGCTCGCCACCCGCCCACCCGCCCACTCGCCCGCTCACCCGCCCACTCGCCAGCCCGCTCTCCCGCCGTCTGCTCGCTCGCCCACACGCTCGCCGACCGCATGGTAGAGGGCGGCGCGGCGATGTAGGAGGGCTGTGGCAGGGCGAGAAGGCAGTGGCGTGGCGCGGAGGGTCCAAGCTCGCGACTAGTCAGGTATTGTGCGGGATTGCCCGGCGTGTGCGGTAGGTCCTCGGCGTGCATCGCACATGCCCGAGAGATGGTAGGATGGCAGAGGATGACTGGGAAAGCGGCGGCCACCATCCGTAGTGTTTCGTCACCATCACCCACGGTCAGAGACGAGTCACTGAGGGACACGCAGAAGGGAACGTACAATGACCTTTGTCAGAGCACCCGCGAGACCGGGCAAACCGAGGTAGTACCGCTGGAGGTCGGTCTCGATCTGGTCTCGATGTTCCCTGCAGCGAGAGTCAGCACGGTCCCGAGCCTGCCGGCGAGACAGGGCCGGTCGACGGACGACACGCACCTGGGTCCAGAGAGATCGACATGATCCTCTTCCCTCCATACCGCTTCGCCACCTCGCGCGCCACGATCACGTTCCCCTACCGCCCCGCACCTCTCAGCCGGCATCCTCACTTACCCTCACATTAAAATTGAAAGTTCACCAGCTTGCGCTGCCCATCTCCTTCGAATATCGGCGCCGGGCTGGACCGTCGCGGACGGAGTCGAGGTCAATCCCGCCGAGCATCACGCCGGAGGAGGAGGTCGTAATGACGCGTGCGTGATGGTCAGGTGAGCGCGGGCATGAGCAGCTCGGTGAAGAGGAAGTGACCTGGGGAGGGGAGGTGAGCATGCGGCAGATGAGGAAAGAATACGGACCAATAACGTTGGTGCCGGATTGGAGGTCGAAGCCGTCGGCGGTGAGTTGGTCGATGGGCGGACCCATCACTCCGCTAACGATCGTCTCCGTGAGGCAGGGGTCCGGACTCAGAGCACTAAGAATAGATGACCCCGCTCTTCCGCGCGGTCGTCATGGGTACGTGCTGCGTGCTCGGCATGCGTTTGGCGCGTCCGAGAGCTGCAGAGCGCGGGGCGGCGAGGTAGGAGGGCTGAGGCATGGCGAGAAGGCAGTGACGTGGCGGGGAGGGCCCGGGTTTTCGACCAGATGTCCCATGGGCCATTGTCGCGCCGGGACGCCTGGGACGCCTGTGACGCTGGGACAGCGGGGGCGGACTGGGAAGGTGGTGGCAAATAGACTGCCTGAGGGTTGGTGTATGTGGATGTAAAAGATTGGAGAGGCAGTGAGAAGGGAGGCGAGGGAGGCATGGCGGAGGTGGGAGGCGCGGCCCTCGCAATGGTGTCCGCTCGCTGTGCATCGTGGCTGCGGGCAAGCCGGCGCTTATGCACCCTTCCAGACGCCTCGCGCGTCGCGACAGGCTTCTGCAGCCGCTGCGTGTCAGCGACGAACAGCGCGGGGGAACAAGTCAAGAGGTGGGAGAGCTTGAAAGGCGAGTAACGAGACAGAGAGGCGAGGGAACGATGACGTGGCGAGGTGCCAGCGTGGCGCAGTTTAGGGCAGGCGCCTAGTGGACTTGGGGGAGATTCAATGTGGGTGGCTTGAGGTCGCGCCTGGAGGGTCTGACGGGTCTGACGGGTCTGAGTGGACTGCGTCGCTCTGAGAACGAGCACGGAACGAGCAGACGGAGAGGGACGAACGGCGCGGCCATAGACGCCCGATTGCGTCAGATGCGATAGAGCTCTCAGGCACCGGATCAGACGCCTCAGATCCCTCAGGCGCCCTCAGAACCCGCGCACATTTGCTGATGAGCTTGGCATGCATACAACGAGGCTCAGCTCAAGAACAATGTCGATGTATATGCGCAAGACGGTGTCAGGGAGGCATGGTCCAAATTCCTAGCCTCGGCTCCGTTCAACAATCTGGGAACAGAATTGGACGAAGTCCCCTTGCGCGAACTAATTGAGGTCATCGAAGCTGGCGCGGTCTCGACCGCACTGCAACGTTTCGCCACATTCAAGAGACAATTCTGCGGGTTCTCCCCTGATCCACCTGCTGCTGCGATATGCAAGGAAGTTCCCCTGGCGAGCAAAAGTGAGGATGACGTGCAGAACTTGAAGCGAAAGGCGGAGATGTGGGCGGAGATGTTTCGAGAGCGTGACACAAAGCATCATCGTGAAGTAGTGCATTGCAGGGGTACGGCCAACCCGCGCGGGTCGCGGGTAGGGGTACTCGCGGGTAGGGGTCCGGGTAGCGATTTTCGTACCCGCATACCCGCCCTGCAGCCGTGCGGGTATTGCCGAAAGAGGGAACCTCGCGAGCGCCCAAACTCGCGGGGCCCCTGAGGCCTGAGGCCTGAGGCCTGATCCCCTCGCCCTCCACCAGGTCGACTCGCTCCCGGCTTCAAGCACCGCAACACGGCGCACGCGCGCGCGACGAACTCCCATGGCATAGGCCCCGCGCACAAACACAGCCGATGAACACCGCGGGCCTGGGCGCAGCCACGAACGAATGCAGGCGTGCCGCGTGGACGACGAACGGACGGCATGCGTAGACGAGGAGCGGACGGGCGAGGGCTAGGGTGATGGCGAGGGCCAGGGTGACAGCGAGGGCCAGGGTGACAGCGAGGGACAGGTGAGTCTGGGTACACACGCGCGAGCTCACTAACGGCAGGCGCAGGACCCGGCGACGTGCAATGCGCGCACGACGACCACGGGCACGCAGGGCCAATGCCCTGTGTGTAGGCACGGCCGACGAACGAGCCGACGAGCAGGCGGCAGCACGCGCCGACGAACGCGCATGCGGGCGGGAGAGGGAGCGTGCAGGCGGGAGAGGGAGCAGGCGGGCGCAGAGGCAGACGAGCGAGCGGGAGGTCCAGCGGGCTTAGCGGAGGATGGACCAGCGGGCGAGCTAGGGGCACAAGGCGCGGACCAGCACCGCACGCACGTCAACCACGAGCGTGCTGGGCGAATGCCCAGCACGCAGACACGGCCGACGAGCAGGCGCCGCGCGCACGAACGAACGAGGGTCAGTGCGTGAGCGGTGGAGTACCGGACGCGTGGGTACGCGGACGAGCGGACGCGCGAGCGGGTGGACGAGTGGACGCACGAGCGGGTGGACGAGCAGGTGGGCGAGCAGGTGGGCGAGCAGGTGGGCGAGCAGGTAGGCACAGGGCGTGACGGGTGGACCGCGGGCACGGGCGTGGGCGGGCGCGTTGGATGACGACACGCACGGCAACCGCGAGCGCGCTGGGCAAGTGCCCAGCGTGCAGACACGGCCAACGAACGCGCGCGCCGCGAGGCGGGAGAACGAGCAGGCAGGCTCGCTGGCACGGACGGGGACACGGTGCGGACGAGCACCACACGCATACCAACCACGAGCGTGCTGGGCAAATGCCCAGCACGCAGACATGGTCGATGAACGCCGGGCGGGCAACCGGGCGAGCGTAGGACGACTGGGGGCGGGCACACCAACGAGGCGGGAGGGCGGGCGGCGCGTACAGACGGGAAGCGCGCGGACGCTCCCGTCTGCGAGTGCAGAGTTGTCGGGGGACACGCGGGCGGATGGCGGGAATGCGCGAGCGCGAGTGCGGAGGACGGCGAGCGGGGAGGACGGAGGGTGGGGGCATGGCAGCGAGGACAACGGGTGCACCGTTGACCCACCGACTTGCCCGCACACTCGCTCGCTCGCCCGCCCGCCTGCGCGAGCCTCCCCGCCCTCTTGCACACTCCCCCCACTCGCCCACCTATTCGCTCGTCCACCCGTACATGGACCCGTAGACCCGCGGTACCCGCACGTGACCCGTACCCGTGAAGCGGGTACGGTACCCGGGCGGGTACGGGTACGGGTAAGCCCCCAGACACCCGGGGGTTTACCCGTGCAATGCACTATCGTGAAGTCGGAGATGACACGAAGTGAGTACCCCTCGTGCTCGTCGAAGAAGGTTGAAGGTAGACATTTGCGTTTTGTACGTTCGTGTGGTGCACTGCGCATTCTGTTCGTTGTACCCACTCATCTCATCGTTGCTCGTGGTATCGCTCGTCGCTGGTATCGCTCATCCCTCGTATTGCTCGTCGCTCGTATCATTCATAGATCGTATTGCTTTTTCGCCTGTCGGATCGCTCGTCATGTATCGTCATGTCTGTTGTAATGTTGTACATAACATTACTTACGCGCGAATTACAAACTATCATTATGCCAGTGTGCAATTGAAGCTCCAAACGGCACCCCAACTTCAACTGCTTCGCAGCCCGGGGCGGTGTTTGCGTCCGCCCGAATGCGCGCGTCGAGAACCGCAGAAGGTCTGCACTTACGGCGCCGCATATGCGACTCGAGAGGCTCTGGGTTCTGCTGTGACTTTGAACTGGTGCAGATCCATACATCGCACCGGGGACACAAGACATGCAGCACTTCTTTCTCGTCTCCACGAAAGCGAGGCTTGCTGAATGTTGAGCTCGACTTCCGAGAGAGGAGATGATGGCTGAACGGCATACGGGAATTGCGTATGCAGCGAGCTCTGAGACCAAAACTCGGTATTGATTCCGGACGCAGTAGAAAAGGAGTAAATCGGGGGGAGGTTCTGTGCATGTGCAAAACTGGGGTGATGTGCGTCATCTGAAGGATCCGGTTGGCAAGTCACCAGAAGGTAGATGAGACACACCAGAATCGAGCTCGTTGAAAGAAGACGCGAAATCCGCGCTATCTGTGGTCGTCCAAACATCGTCGATGTCGAACATCGGCCCGGGGTCGCTCTTGTGCGAAGGCGACCATGGCAGTCCAGCGTGTTATGAGGAATATTCGTAATTTGCAAATCGGCGACGACGACGCCCCTATCTGGCAAGCGACTGAGGACACTGGAGCAACGCGCAGTCAACAGGACCTGGAGAGCGTCGCAGGTCGCGCCCCTAGCGCTCACGGGAAAGTGCGCATTCAACCTGCCCAGCTCACATGACCGCGTGAGGCACGTGCATACATCTCGAGCTTTCTACTCAGCGTCACGCTTCGACGACTTCAGCATGGAGCACTCAAAACTCCACAGACTACTCAATATGCATTTTAGAAATGCTTCATAATCTATAGGATTGGTGTCGTTGACTGCTTGTATAATCTCGGCTTCGCGTGAGTGGCTGCGAGACCCCGTACACCCCGAGAGCAGGTTGTCCCCAATGCCGATCTCGCCTCTTGGCCTCCTGCGCCCATCTCCCGCTCGTACCACCTCTGGGCCGTGGGCACGCCTGCCAGTGCCACAGACCGCCCGGGTATCGCTGCGTGCCATTCGAGTACGTATAAGAGCCGCTGCCAAGTTCTCCGGCCTCGCTGTACCCAGGAGCTGCCCATGACCTGCCTCGTTCACCCCTGCACCCGGCACGTTGCAAGTCTTCTCAGGCGCCCGCCCTGAAGCCTATATCGCAAACCCAAGCAGCGATTTTGCCTCCGCCTCCCCCGGCATTCCTCCTCGGTCCCTTCACATGCAGCCAGCCATGCAGGCCTACCACAACGGCGACCCCCAGTACTATCCCCAGACTGGCTACACCCAGCCGCAGGCAGCCTACTATGCTCAGTTCACGCCCTACCCGTCTTATCATCATCCTCAGAATGTAGCGGCACCCTTCCCAACCTACCCTGCGACGCCGTATGAGCCGCCTGCCCAGTATCCGACGCCGGCGCCCGTGCGGAGGAAGCTCAGTCAAGGTCGGACTGCATCCGCCGCGCCGACTATCCAGACCTCGCCTAGTCGGTCCGGCACCCCCGCCGCTCCTCTGAGGTCTGCCATGAAGAAGCAACTGGACCGCTCGGCTTCTACAGGTGGCGTACCACTGGTCAGGCGGTCCACCAACGAGTCACGACAACGAGTCAATTCCTTGACGAGACCAAAGAGCAGGACAGGCTCGGTGCCCGCGTTTGTTCCTGGTACGGACGAGAAATTCTTCGGGTACAATTGCGTTTATGTAATAGCTCTTCTCTGCCTGTACAGACCACATATTTGTGTCGTTGCATTCTGCCGGTGAATTGCGAATAGACAACATTGCGTATCAGACTACCCTGGACGACCTGCGGGAACTTGTTCTACCCATGTGGCCCCATGGCGTTGAGTATGAGGACAGTCGAGGAGACAACTGGCGAGTACGGTTTGCAAGAGGGCCGTGGACTAGTGTAGGCCTCGATGCCATTTTGTGAGATGGGCAGCAGTTGCACGCCCGCGACACCTCGTCTGACACGACCACGTTCTCTCTGCGCAGGGCCCAACGACTCATCTGTAACCTCTACACCGTCCTCGCTCGCCAAGGCTACTCGCATGTGACGACCATCCAAACAGGCAGTCCAGTAAGTATCCCAGGTCATCCTGGTATGCCCACTCACTCAACGAACCACAGAGGAGGCCAGGCAAGCTGGTCTTCGTCGAGACGCTGCAAGACCCCGACGTGAAGATCTTCGCGACAATGTTTTCTCCGTCCAAGATGCGGCTCACGCTGCTCGACGCGCCGCGGGAGCTCGTCGAGGACTTCGCGTCCAGCCTGCGGCCCATGTTCCCGCGCAAGGTGATGTCATACGGCGCGAACGAGGACGGCGTGCATGTCATCGAAGTCAAGCGCGAGGGTTTCCGATGTGAGCTTCTCTCCCCCCTCCGTCCCACTCATGCTCATGTCCGATCGTGCCGTCGCCTTCTGTGGACAGCGCGCGAAGCGGAGCGGAACCTGTTCTACGCGTGCATGCTGCGCTTCTTCAACAGCGCGGGCTTCAAGCTCGACGGGAGCATCCCCCTGGGCAGGAAAGACCCCATGTTCTGGGGCTCGCGCAAGGAGGCGTGGATATTCCGCAGTATGCCGATGCGCAGACCGGAGAGCCGGCAGAAGCAATGACGGGCGTGTCCATTACGGTTTGCCACGAGCGTATATGGTGTACAAGGGTTTCCGGTGGCCCTTCCTTCAGATACATACGAATTCATATCGTATGGTGATGAGACGAGACGGTGATGATGGTACAAGGTACAAGCGAACGCTGCAAGAATGACTGGTTTGTGCAGAGCTCTTGGCGTCGAAATGAGGTGCGTGCGTTACCGTGTGTGATTTACTTCGTACTAGGCTTCGTGGGCTTCGTGATCTTGACCGGCTTCACCACAGTAGGCTTGTTTAGCTGCCCGCGGCCACCCCAGCCACTGCATAGCCGTCAGTGACTGTACGGTAACATCGAGCTCATCAAAGACTTACTTCGGAGGCTGCGCGATTGGCTCCGGTTCACTACGACCAGCACAAGCGACAGTCAATTCACGGAAGGTCGTCGAGTGAGTAGGAATTGACTACGCACCTAGCGAGGTCGAGCTTCGCGGCTTCTGGCTCCGCGAGCTCTGGCTGCCGATCAGCGACGACATCCGCAGAGTCGACCGCGGGGTCGATGATGGCCTTGTTTTCGACGATCGGGGTGGACATTATGGTCGATCGGACTAACTTTATGATCGGGTCTCCGCGACAGTGAAGTGTGTGGAAGAATGGGGTCCGTGCCAGTGAGTGGGTCCGCGTTATATAGCAAGTACGTGCTGTGGTCTCGACGGCTTATCAAGACAGGCTTCACCAGGGCTTGACTCGCCGAGGCGCAGCGGGTCCGAATTGCCCGCGGTGAAACATGGGATTGGCCGCAGCGCAGCGTAAGTGGAGGCACACGCCGTAAGTACATACGAAGTTGGCGAGGCCGTGATGCGGCAGATCTCTCGAATAAGAATCGCCTGGGAACTTGGACCACACAGTGCTGGAACGATATTCAGTGGCGTACAGATAATGAATCATGTCAGTGATGTAATCGTGTAGTATACCCCTTGGGCTGCTACGACAGTCATGGCAAGGTGAGTAAGCTATGGGGAATATTTTGCAGAGGTGTTCTTGTGGTGCTGACTATAGGAAAGGGTGACGTTTGCAACTTTCGTACGGATGCGTGAACGTACGGTGGATCCCGATCATTGTCACTGGCGAGACAACATCCAAGTCGAGCCCGGCCCCCAATAGCCGGATGGTCGGCGATAGTTGGGAGTTATGCGACACTGCCTGTCTCAATGCGGCCCCGGGGGGAGACATCAAGGCATCATACGCATCGGACAGCCCCCTCGGACGGACCTTTTTCTTGCTCATGGCGCTGGCACGCCCCGCCGGTCTTCGAAGTATAAACTGCAGAACCCAGTTTAGTGGTGTTTACCTTGACCGCTCAGGAACGGAGACACCATCGCATACCGTGGTCCGTTGGCGGTGCTCGGCACTCCTTGGGGTAGTACGACTGGTGGAAGGCCAACTGTATGTTGTGTTCGAAGACTTCGTCGGCGGATCAGGTCTATGCGAGAATAAATCGAGCAACTACGGAGTCGGCCGCTCCGGCGAGTGCTTGATGGTGGAACAACAGCCTTCTCGTCGGCGGCTTCAAGCACGCGTTCTTGGAAGGTGGGTGTCCCTGGCCGATGTGGAGAACATGCCATGAGCTAGTGGGTTCCATGTCAATGGCAGAGATGCCTCGAACTGGGAGATCAATCTGAGTTCCTCAGCTCATGGTTATTCAATATTTCAATAAGCAGAGTCGAAAGAGCACGTACGATCAGCTGAGTATGTACTAACGATTCGCGCTAGCAAATTTCAAAATAACGTCGGTCCAAGCTTGGTTGGCAAACTATAATACATGACATTGTTTCCGCACATCGAGCATAGTTCAGTCGAGAGGGATAGGGTATACAGGCAGTATCAGTGGTATCATCCCTCAAGACTACTTCAAGCAATAACACAGCAGGCGCAGCCAGGATCGTCCTTGGGCCGATTAGGCCTTACTTTCGTAGGGCGGGTCATTGGGGCTCTGGCATCGCGTCCGTCATCGGCCATTGGGAAGAAGCCTCCGACCCTGTATCCCCTGTTGAGCAGACTGCAGAGGATGTAGAAAAGCGGTACCACTCACTGCTGGACCACCTCTCCAAGGGATGACTGCCTGTAGTAGAGTCTTAATACCGTCGGCCATCGATACAACAGACAGAACGCACTGCAACATAGATCCAAAGCGGAATGTATCGCCCGAAGGCGGATATCTGCTGTGTTATGAGGCACAGCCTCCAATCCACTTCGATCGTTTTGCTTACTGGAAACCAGGCGGATTGTGCGACTGAGGGGAGAGGCTACAACAGAATGAGTTCATCTTACGCAACGTTACATCGTGGAGCAAAACGTACATAGCAGAGGGGGGCCAATTGCCAGTAGGTTGATCACTGAAGGAAGGATTCAGTACAGCCAGACTTTAACGATGAAAATGGGCTTACGGAGGGCATATAGTGTCAGGGTTGTCGTACCTAGCAGGACAGTTGAGTCATCACCGTCCTCAGAACGGGTGAAATGCGTACATTGCAGGGCTGTAACCATCCTGAGCGGGTGGTGATCTATTTGGCAGGTCGTTCAGTACAGGATGGCGCGAGGAATAGTCACCTCACTTACTGGATGTAGACCGTCGGGGGTAGGATGACGTACTGAAAGTACATCAGCAGCAAGGCTATGGCCATGTTGAATGCATAACGCGGGCCATAGTACGCACGCTTCCCGATCCAAAGGCGATGATGGCATTGAAAAGGCTTCCATTTCGCGAGACTTGTCGTTTTCCTGGAATCCCCTGCCAACGATCATTGACGTGAGTAACGAGTTAGAAGGCATTGCTCGCGTACATACACATCATACGATGCAGACTGATAGAAAGTCATTGTTGAGTGAAGCAGCGGCCGAAGCGGGTCTCTGGGGGAGATAGAATGCCAAACAAGCAATCGCGTCCATTTCCGAGTCTTATATATTGGGAAGATGCGCTGCATCCCAGGGTCCAGAGCAAAAGGCTGTGATGATAGACACATAGGCGCACAGTAGTGTTGTAGAGACACGGGACGTTCGAACGCGGAACGAGGATGGTGTATAGCATAACGAGGTAAGTCATGCGCAGCCGTACCACTCGGTGCGCATCGCTTGGTTCGTTCAAAATGAGTAACGCCTGGTTTGGATGAGTGTAGCGGGCGACAAACGGCGCGACCGATCGTGAGGCAGAACAATCAGAAAGGTTTGTTCTGTGGAAGAATTGAATGCGCTGTGATGAGCGCCAAACGATGATGAGGTAGAACATCGCGGCCGTCCTGAAGCCTAGGATGCGAGACCAACGATGTGTGGCGTACGCAGCAGTGCGCAAACAAGCCTGCTGTGCAGCATGCCATGCGTCTTCCGCTGTAATTATCTACGATACAGACGCAAGACGCATGTCAGTTGGGTATGCTCCCATGGAACGCAATACACGACTTACTTTCAGGTCCTTGAACGCTTCTCATGCGCCGCTCGACAGGTGCTGTGTTACACCTGTGTAGCTCTCAGTGCCACAGTGGTCCTGTGCGGCTAGGATGCGCATTCGACGCCGTACGCGACGAACAAGACAAACGGCGTACATCAGTCTAATGCATCTGGAGTCACTGCGCCACCGCGGCACGCTCGTAGGACGCCCCTGCTATCCCTGCTGTTCTCTGGAGGACGTGTTCTGAGACTCCTTAGAGCGAGGATAGAGTTCAGATGCATGACGGGCGGCTTCTCTTCGCTGGGACGCTCGAGTGTGCGCGATCCATGAGGCGTACCTATCCTTGCCCGGTCCGTCTCAGGCTGTACCAGACGCTTGCCGACTTTTTAGGCCTGCTACGGAGACTAGTCTGTATCCTAAAACGCCGACATGTCTATTTTGCGTCCGCGAAAGGGGCCGTCCCGTAAATGAAAGAGGAGCGTGCTACTGGATGCGTTTCCGTAAGGATTTGGACGCGGTTTGATGGCCTTAAACCTCAAATGAGCGTGAAGAAGCGCCCGTGAGACCCGCCGTAAACAGGTTGAGCATGAATATCCTGAAGTCCGACAACTACAATAGGAAGGCGGCCGTGGTGCCGGCAGTGGCGTTAAGATCGAGATGACGGGAAATATATTTTGCCGCAGGCGCGCAAATGTCTAGCTCTGAAACGTCGAGAACGCTGCTCTAACCACGACGATCAAGCAAGGGGGTTGGGACCCCCCTGCTTGATGGGACATTTAGAGTCGGTTCTAGGAGGCTTCACTGTGTGTCGGCATTTGCCGGATTACCTTTTCCGGCGTTGCTGGGTGGTCATGGCGGATGGTTCGTACTGTGCTAGGCTCGTTTTCTCGTATGTGTGTCAGAATATCAATCGAAAATTGTCTGATTTAGTGAGTTATATCGAGTGATCATTACAAATGGCTCATCTTTTGGGTAGCTAGTAAGCCGAGTGAGGGCCTACAAAGGCCTGACCTCACGATATCTACGCCGAGCAGTACCAACTTGTGGCATAACACTACCAAGACTGAACGTGTAGTTAGCTTCCGTTAAGTATGTACAACACGAAGTGTGAGTAGCTCTGAAATACCTTGATGATACACGAAGAGCACCACATTGACCTTGCTCGAATATATCAGCGCTCTTGGTAGCTCGTAACCGCCCGTCCGCCCTCACCTGCGTGGCCACTCTCACCTGTACGGCCGCTACCACCTGCCCACCCGTTCGCCCTTGCTCTCTGGCTACTCAGCTCGCCTGCCTGCTTGCTCGCCCACTCGTTCGATGGCCTGGCCTTCTCACCCACTTGCCTTCTCGCCCGCTCGCCCTGGCGCTCTCGCCTACCGCTTGCCCGCCCACACGCTCGCATGCCCTCTTGCCCGCGGCCCCTCTCAGATACCGCTCTCGCCCGTGCTCCCATCCATCCGCTTGGCCGGCCGCCTACCTCACCCGTCACCCACGCGATCGCCTACCTGCCCGCGTACCTGCTTGCCCGGGCTCATACTCTCCCACTTGCCTGTGGGCCCGCGGACCTGCCTTCACGCGCGCGGAACCCATACCCTCGCTGGCCGATGTGCATCCGGGCAGGTAAGGGTGCAGGTCGAGCTCGGGATACCTCCTAGCCCGGTGCCTGGCAGAGTGCAAACAGCTCAAAAACAGCTAAGCAGAGCTTTCACCCCTACCATCGATCCCGCGGATTCCCGCCACAGGTCATGCAACAGGCGCTCAAAACCTTGAGTAATGCTTACGGTGCTAGAGCTCGGAGCGGGGCCTGGCGGAGGCCTTCCGGGAGGCGTATAAGGGGAGCTGGACCTTCATGCATCGTAGAGTAGCCGCCTGGTAGATTACGTAAGCTATATTCCTGCTCGCACGTAACGGTACCGTACTTCGAATCGATGTATACCAGGTCTTTCATCTGCACATTCGTCTCCGTTCTTCTCTCTCTCTTGCGTCCTCCACGGTCCACGGCTGGCTTCGCCACCCCCGGGCTCGTATATAGAGGCACATTTGATCTTCTCTGTTTCTCGCTGATGCCTCCGACGGTCGCCGTAGGCTCCCTTTAGGGACACGTCGACCTCCACCGCAGTCACTGGGCTTGCCCGCTGACTGCGACGCCCTCTCCTCCTCGCGCCTTTCCAGTCCGATCGACGACGTTCCCCGTTCAAAGACGGGAATCGCCCCTCTGTACGCGCGCGAGATTCGCGCTGCTCGACGGGCACCTCGGCAGACCTCTCGTGAGCCATCGAGGCCTCACATGCACACACGGACGTTAGAGTCTGTGCACTGGTTGACCTGTGCAGAGGCAGCGGCGACAACTTGAAGACTTCAAAATGACATCACTCTGATTCAATCGTTGTCAGTCGAGTACCGGTCATTCCTCGTGCGATGAATAATTATATAGGCACAGCACTTACATGCAGTGATTGTGACGTGCGTCCATGCTCTACGCGACAGTTGGCGAAGTCCTCGATGGCTCGAAGTGACTGTATAAGTATTCACAGGTCCTTGTATCATTGCGCACATAGCCTCCCTCTCTTCGTAGTGCGCGGCATACCAGTACGCAAGGGAAGCCACATTAGCAGGTGCAGAATACTTCTAAACGTGCGTTACGGATCTGGAGGAAGGCTCTTAACCATATTCAGGCTCCGCCTGAAGCCGATTAGAGTCAATCAAACGTCCGTAAATCCTTACGGAAACGCATCCACTCACGTTACAGCATGGATTAACGGACTCGTGGTTGAAGCACTGGGTGAGTAGCCGCAAGGGATGCTGTACTGCCCTGTACAGTATGCTTAGAGCCACGGACCATAGTCTGGTCGCAAGAACGATGTCCGCCTAGCTGTCAGAAGTCATGAGTGGTCACACGGCAGCCGTACTAGTAGGCAACCCGAGTATTATAATGCCGTGCACTTTGTGAGCTCATTCAAGCTAGGATAAACAAGAGAGGGCGCACAAGTATACAGTCTGGGCCTTGATGTCTGGTTTTTTTTTCAGACATGTTTGCACCAAGCAATGCGATACTGTCATGGACAGAAGAAGCAAGAGAAGTAATCAGGTCTAGAAGTCCTCCAAAGACATATGAGCTCAACTTGGACCAGTGCATAATGCGATGAAGACGTAGAATACCTTGTTCCATTCTTTCGGAAGATCGTGCCATTAGCAAAGGGACGTACAGTAAGACGCAGCCCACAGCTGGACTTTGGGCGGTACATATGTCGGCGCACTGTCAAGCAGCGCCTTCCCTATCGATTGCTAAAGTATCTTAGTATATCAAAGTCACCGAGTATAATGAAGCACTACTAACCTTATCGTACATGCGGTCCTATGCCACGGAAACAAATGACTAGAGAAAGACCCACCAGCGCAGTAGCAGGCATGTGAACAATCGACGCCTTCGCCATAATCATCCCAAAAAATTCTATATAGATACACAGTACATTCGTTAAATGTATCAGACCATGCTCACAACCTTGCTGCCGTCCACGATGCCATTCAAGCTCTTCGCATTGAGAACGCCGTCGCTCTCCCGGCGCGCGAGCAGCTCGTCCCACCAGCCAAAGAGGAAGTCGCGGGCAATGAGCTTGAACCACGGCGTGAACGAGTTCGCTGGTGGGGCGTCGGTATGAGACCAGAGACGTACGTGGGTAGGGCGCACCTGGGTCCTCAAACATCGCCTGTAGCTCCGCCTTGTCTACATACTTGTGGTCGCGAATCTCATTGAGATTCGGCTCTACGGTAACGTTGGCAGTGATGAAGAGAATGTAATCGACTGGTCTATGCTCAGCACCCGAGCTAACCACCGAATTTGTTGAGCGGACTACTCACCCTCATGCTCTCCCCAAATACCACTCGACGGCGCCAAATAGTGTATCCGGGTGAGGTATTGGAACTGGTCGACGGGGGTCTGCGCCCGGGGGATGCCCAGCTCGTGCTCAAGCTTGCGCGAAGCTGCGACCCTCACGCCGAGCTGGTCTTTCTCCACCTTCTCCTCGTCGAAGTCGTCGAGAGGGTGCGAGCAGCACGTATTGGTCCACATATCCGGGAAGGTGATCTTCTCGGTCGCCCGCTGCTGCAGCAGAAGCTTGCCATCCTCAGGTCTGAAGACAAACGCGGAGAAGGCGCGGTGCAAGAGGCCCTTGTTGATGTTTTCCATCAAATGACCTGAAGTACCATACGCCCTGTGCTCAGCATACGCGACCTCAGCAGTAGCAACAACACGCACAGGTCTTCTTGTCCGCTGCCCCAAGAGCGCGATCCTGCTCATCGACCAGGATGCATCGCTCGTCCATCAACCTCGACTGCTCCGGGTCATAGTTCGAAAGATCGACAGAGGAGAGCACGGCGCGGGATGCTTCGACGGCGCGAGAGGCCATGGTGGAGGCTGGACGATAGACTGAGACCCGGATGGTGCGGGAGAGAAGAAAGCCGATATGTCGCCTCATCATATACGTCCCTGACCTGGCCAAAATCCAACATGGCGCGACGCGTCTATAGAGCGCTGATCATCCACCGTTGATGCCATGGGCGGATTTGAGGCGGATGGAGGATAGGGTCAAGACACTCCGGATCCATGATACCACCTTCCCGTTGCGACCTCAACAGCGCGAGCTTCACAGCGCTTCCCCCTGACTGGCTCCCTTCTCAATCTCTGCCCTGGTGCACAATTTGTGGTCTCACGAAGCAATGTAATTAACAGGAGCTATAACTCGTAGTGAAGGGACAAGCATCTGGTCATAAACACCTTTTCACACGCACAGCGGCCGATGCCAAGAGCATGTACATGGACCGGGGCAACAAAGCATCAGAATGAACGGAGAGAGCAAACGATACACTGCAACACATCAGCTGGAGCATACGGATGTTCGTATCGCAATTCCCTAGTATGTAATTTCAGCTACACGGACGTGCAATCACTTCACTGTGATCCTCAGCGTCCCGTATGGCATTTCTTGAGCGACTTGAACGAGATCCTTAGTTGCGAGCACTACCACAACTATAAGCAGACTGTCTGTTAACGATCCCGGGCCGACCGTGACGTACCGAGGCAATGATAGAAGGCCGCAGCCGCCACATGCGGTGTACTGGTCTGCTTCGGCACAACGTCGTCAAAGGTGAGGGTAGACGTCGCCGAGGAGAACGTCTGCAATTGCATCTTGGCATACCTACAGCATGCGGCGGTAAGCCGCCTTCATTCCGCTTCGACCCACGCCACTTACTCGAGGAAGTTGTGTGAGTTCCGCTCTAGCGTCAAGAGGTTCATGTCGGACAGTTGGGACTCCTTCACCATTGACTCCTCCCCAGGCACTATGCCATAAGACGTTAGCCGACCACCTTATTTCCCCAGCGAACCGCTCACCGTCAAATTCAAAACCTTCTCCACTGTACGAGCTCTTCGCCCCGAAGTCAGCTGGGGACTCCGGGACACGCCCACCAGGCAGTGGGCTGCCGTGTCTGCTGTTCAACGAACTGCCTCTCAACCTGGTGTCCGCGCGACCGAAGCTGGGCCTGGCGCTGCCCTCCTTCCCGAAATCCAGAGGGCCCCCAGCGACAGAAGAGCTCGCGCCTGCGTTGTCCCACGGGAAAAGAGCGCTCCGCTGTGAACCGGACACGAAGTCCTGACCGGCCCCAGGCATCTCGAACTGGCTTCCAATGAGCGACGGTGCTCGTGAAACTCTTCGCGCGACCCCTGGTTCCTATGGAGGTGTTATACGGACTGGTACTAGCACGAAAACTCAAAACTGACCTCCGAAGAGCGCATCCTTGAATCATAGTCACCACCTGAAATGTGTACATCATGTCAGTGCATCGTCGTGGAATATCACCGTGTTGCGGATACCGACCAAAGCCAACCGGTTCATTGTTGTCTATCGTGAAGCCCATGTCCACGTCCATGCCCAGCCCTGTGTCTGGAGGCGCTCCGAATCCTTCATCAAGTGCGTTCCCCTCCTGGAACTCTTCATGCGCGATTCTTCTGCGCTTGTGCGGCGGTTGAGCTAGTCATAATATCGGAGTCAGCCGTCGTCCACGTTGGTAAGGTCGTGTACTTACCGTCTTGCGCCGGCCCCGAACGGGCTTCTACCTGCAGCTTAAAGTTCTCTGTCCAGAAATCGACCAGAGCAGGGGCTTGCACTGTGTCTTCGCTCAGCGCAAGGCGAGCGACATGCTCGACATCGTCAACTTACGGCCAGACGGGACGCCCCAGATCAACTCTTCGATGATTTTGCCGCTATCCTTCTCGAACTTCTTGTGGATTAGCTCTTGCCTAATGGTTTCCTGTCCCTCCACGTAGTTCGCTCGAGCTGCCTATATTACACGCATTCCCTCAGCACGACCATCCGATCCAAGTATGCACCGCGAACACTCACCTTCAGTTCTTCATCCGTAAGCTCCGTTCGCGCGTCGAGCAGGAGCCTGACGCGTTTCGGCTTCCTCTGCGGCTTATTTGGAACTTCAGCTCCAGCTTGCAGAGGATCGTCTGGATTGGGCCGCATCTCGACATCTTCACCTTCGACGGTTTGGACGGGACTGAACGGCATCAATGGTACTATTACCGAGCCGTCCGGCTGGAAACCCTCTGCGTAGAGTGTCAGCCTAGCCACAGTATCCATATAGTATCTCCTACCTTCGTTCTCTCGTGCTCGTGGCTTGTGAGTACGCAAAGGCCTCAGTATGCACCACATACGCTCATACGGACTGCACTCACTCGGACACTAGGTGTGCTGTCGGTAGCAGATCCCGCTCCGAACGCTTGCCCAGCCTCAAACTGGAAGTCCAACCCTGGTGCATCGCCGTGCTGGCCAAGAACCCACAGGTCGTCTCCGCCTCGATCTGCAGGGCCTCCCCAGCCTTCACCGAGCTCCCTCGCCAACTCGTCACCGATGTCTCCGCCGAGATCCATGCCGTCCTGCAAGCCAAAGACGTCATCGCTAAACGCGAAGCCGGCCTCCATCTGCGAAGCGGACATGGGCGCCCCGAAGCCAGTCCCGCTGAAGGAGGCGTCGAAGGACTGGGAGAGCAGGTGCTCGTGATACTCGTCGAGTGTATGTAGGTTCGCTCGAATATTCTCAGAGATAAGGGATGGCGGCTTCTCTCTCGCCTTCTGTTTGCCTTTCGCCTTCTTAGCCTTAGGGTCGAATTCGTCGTCGGACTCTTCCTCGTCAGACCCAGCTCTGCCTGCTGTGACTACACACTTGTGTAAACTTGGGACGAGTTGGATGTCAAACAGCAACCTACTCAATCTGCTGTCTTCCCAGTCCTGAAGTACAGTGAGTCCCAGTGAATGCGTGGGAAACCGTGATCCTTACTCCGAATATGTTGCCAAAGTCGATGGCGAACGCGGCACCTGGGTCCATGGCAAGAGTCAGGACATCCGGACTGGCAAGGCATTAGCTTACGACGCTATCACCGATAATGAAGGAGAGGCTCGCACCGTAGACTAGCTTGACCAGCTTGCAGCTCAGCAGCTCCTAGAGATGCTGTGTGGAGCTCGGTCACGGCCTTCTTGAGTGTGTTGTAGCAGGTGGTGACATCGGAGTAGAATATCTCTTGCTTGACTGTATGCAGTTACGCGCAATCAGAGAAGATGTCATAATGGTAGCTGACTGTATGCGGTACCTTTGTAGACTCTACGGAAGTAAGTCAGCGCATATATGCAGGAAGACGGATGCCAGCTACTTGCCGAGCTACGCCAATCATCAGATTGCTCGACAACCTCAAGGCTAATGGTTCGGGAGGCTCAGCAATAAGCCCACATAGTTGAGAGATATCGGCCGTCAGAATGGAGCGTTTGGGTAATTTCTTAAAGGACGATTTCGCTCCAAGGGTAGCGGCCAGCCTGTCGATAAATTTAAGCGACTTTAAGCCACGTACAACGACGAAACGCACGTACCACAACAAGCCGAACCCGCTCTCTCGTCTTTCAAGCAACTCAGGTGTGAAGAACATCGCAGCAAGCCAATATTGAAAGCAGCAGCCAACGAATTATGTTTAAGACACGAGCAAGGGTGTAGTATGGGGACCACCTCAAGGTGAGACTTCGTCGTCGTCGAGCAATGGCGGCGAAGGTAGTCAGTTTGGAGGTGCTTCTACGCGCTGGGAGAAGGAGAGAGTGGAGGTCAGAGGAAAGACGGGGAGCCCTTTCGCTCGCGATCGTCACGCTAGGGCAGCGGAGTGACAGAGGATGGCTTGAGCAAGCCATTGACACCTTTCTAGAAGACTTGCCTAATACAGAAACGTCCACATTGCGAGTGTCCGCGAAGCGCAAAGCCACATTACAACAACAGAGGTAAGGCAGACGTACACACAATTACGTCCGCTCCTCCATCAATGCATCAGACATTCATCCATCGGTGCCCACCCCACGCGACCAGTCGGGCGAACAGCTCGTCACGATCGCCCACCCAAAGGAACTTCTCTTCGCGCTCCTCGTCCTGGCCGTCGTCGTGGTGGCGGACCCAGCGGACGTTCAGTCCCCTCATAGGACTGGTCCGTTTGATGCCGCCTATCGCATCCGACGGGATGGCTACCTTCGCAGTTGTTGAGAGCAAGGGCGTAAAGAAAAGCGCATCCGGTGTCAGGGTTATTAGACCGGATGCCATCGCATATTGCGCCGGGAAGGCTGCCATGTCCCGTTATAGCAATGCCATTACTACGTCTTTACGGGAAGAACTCACTGTACGTCTGTATCCGAGATTCCAATGCACCATCGGGCATGGCAACCTTGGCAGCCAATGGGTTCAACGCTGTCCAGTTTCCTGGGCTTTTCCACTGGAGGCGATTCTATAAGCCTATCAGAAAAGTCGATGAACGAAGACACATACCCGTCCATCCTTGAACAGCTTCTTAGCATCTTTGGCGACCGTCTTACTGGTGTCGACGCGACCTGCCCATTTCTGCCATGTGATGGAGCTAGAAGACTCCGAGGACTCGAACGACTGAATTGATCTGTCGCCGTCGACCGTCCTCATGGACATCCTGTCTGTTTCTTGCGAAGGAGACCCCGGCTTCGGCCTGCGCGTTTTTGGCTTGACGTCCAGACCACGCGCGACGCGCTGGGAGATAAGTTCCATCGCATACTCCGCATCAGTGGGGACATCTTGGAAGACGGGCGGATACCTATCATAATGGTGAGCGCGAATTACGCTGAAGGAAGCACGTAAGTTTACTCACTTGGTGCGCCTTGACGGTGGGATTGCTAATAGGATAGGCACTACGTGCCAGAAGACGATACCTAGCGCAAGGCCGACGGATTTCGACAGATACTTCGCAGGAAGCAGTGTCACCAGGAAGGCGAAGCACAAAGCCTGTAGTGAGTCAGCAACAGCATGGACACCGTGTGCGATGAACCTACCACTGCGTAGATAAGTGACGATGTCGGTCTACGCCACAGGAAAATACTTGATAATCGACAGTGAGCTCTCTCGAAGATTCAACATTGTGTGTATCACGGCGGACGTACTTCTTGACTCTCTCGTGCAGGTCGGCAATGTAGCTGAGTGCCGCCAGGAGCTCCCGCTTGATGTCAGTCTCCTCAGTCTCTACAACCTCTTCCGCGAGCGGAGGCTCCTCTGGCTTCGCTTCAGGCTCGTCACCCACATCGTCACTCAGAGGGGTTTCGGCCTTTGCATTGTTCCTAGCGGCCTTTTTGAGCTTCCTTGACCGATGGAAGTCGTGCACAAGTCGCCAGACGTCTTGCACGTCGTACGTCGGGGCTGCAACGAGGCGAGCGGTGACAGTGGCACTAAACTCTTTCGCGCGTTCTACGTAGAGTCGGTGCTCGCGGAGTTCCTGAAGGTTTGGGTAGGGTAGAAGCTTGCGGCGGACGAGGGAATACAGAATCCGCAGGACAAGGGCAGGGAGCAGGAAGTTATGGTACCATAAGAACCAGTACGCCTATGAATGACATGCATTAGCTTCTTGACTCACCCGACACGGGACGGCGACAGCGGGCCAATACGGAGGCGACTAACAGCGCAGTAGAAGAGCTCGTGTTCCAGTCCTCCCAGACAGCAAGGCGTATGAGGCGTTGGGCCAGATGTTCATAAGCAGGTACGAAGGCTAGGTACAGTCGTTCAGCTGTCAAGTAGAGCCGCCGCACCGTAAAGGTAGGCGGCTTCGGTTCAAGAGGTAGTAGAGGTAGCAGATAATCCTGCGCTTCGTGTAAATGACTGGTGTTGGGGTGCATCGGACTGGCTCACCATGACGATTCGCTCGGACAGGGAGCGGTCTACGTCCGGACGAGGAGGCAATGGCGGTGGCTCCGCCTCCTCTGTCGCCTCATCAGTCTCGGCCGATATGTCCAGCTCGACGTCTTCGTCACCGACTTCTTGCGAACGTTCGCTCGGCTCTGAAGTCTGCTTGTCGCCAGATCTCTGCGGCGCAGTTCCCGACGGATGCGCGACTCTAGCCTCACGCACATACTATCCAGATTGCACTCAGTCAGCATGTCTCAACTGGAAGCGAAGCATACGTGGTACTGCTCACAGCAGAGAACAGACGTAAGAACCTCTCGATCTCCTCATCGTCATACAGCTCTCTCAACTGGCCCTCCGAGAGTTCCTCCTCCGCCTCGACGTGCTCCTCCACGTCAGCCTCCATGTCTGCTACGACCTCGGATGGCTCATGTTCGAGCGTGCCAGGTGTAGTAGGCTCAAGCTGGAGCGTCCGTACATCCAGCGCCGATGCGCTCGCCGAAGTAGATGGTTCTGGGTGAGGCGATATTGCCCTCGGCGGCGGGGGTGGTGGTGTGGGCCTTGGGCTGAGAGGGGGCACCCTCCTCGTGGCATACGCCGCAGGAGGGGAATGCGCATTCCGCAGCGACGGGTGCGCCGGTGGAGGCAGAAACTGCTGGGACGTCTTGGGCCCGGCGTTCGGTGGGCGCTGTGGATCCGAGCTCATGGTGGCACGGAGGATGGGAACGGACGCTGTGCTAGGTCAGATAACACGACCTGATAGGTCTCAGGAGGGTGTAGGGCCATTCGCATCTCGCTCCAGGAAAGCATCATTGCCTGGTGTCCTGCTTGCTCACGGTCCTGTGCGTGGCGGACGACCGGCGCTTGAGCGCTGAGCGCTCGCTCCGGATGGGAAGTCAAGTCACAGTCACCGCGTTCAAACGTTCACCGTATCTCAGGAACCGTATTGCACAGGGGGTAAGGGTAGTTTTTTGTATCAATGCGTGTAAGGCGATTACACATGAAGGGACAATAGAAGCTTGTCGTGATATAGTACACCTTGATCTGACTCGGAATAGAGGGATTGTTGTCGTACTAGTACAGAGACTCGAAGTCTCTTTTGTGGGTCGAGAGCGATATCCGTGCCGCTTTGGGGGCAAAAGAAGAGAGAAATGGACTAGGTAGGAATAGATGTGTGTGTGCAGTGGTCAGCGTGTGGGCCACAGCTGGGGCACGGGCCCAGAGCTGGAGCGAGTCATGCAAACGCAGTATCGTGAACTTAGGCAGTCTTAGAACCAGCGCGCTTGCAGTACTTCTTGTGTCGCTTCCAGTCCTTGGACTACTCAGAGTATCAGCACATGCAACATAGACGATGTTGCGCAACGGTACACACCTGGCAACCGGTCCCACAATAGTAGATCGACTACAGAGACGTGGCTGAGCGCGGGACCATCATAGCAGAGATGTGATATATGTATACCTTGCAACCACCGCACTGCAACAAATTGCTGCGCTTCACCTGATAGAGCTCGCACTGCAAAGGGAGTTGAGCGTCGACACAAACAACAGACGACCGCCAAACTCACGTTCGAATGCGCGCAGAGCATATTGTCCGGCGATCCAACCCTCCGCAACTGCCTAGCGCGAGGCAGATCGCCGCGCATCTCATATACAACAGCCAAGTTCTCGCGGGTTACAGCAGCGTCGATCTCGTCGCTGGCCCGTGGGCTGGCCTGACGGATAGTCAATGCTTTCTGGAGGTACACCTCCGCGTCATCCAGACGCTCGAGTTGGATGTACACCTCTCCAATCGCGTTATATGAGAGGGCAGTCGTGATATGGTCCGCCCCTAGGCCACGTTCCTTGACCTCGATGGCCTGCTTGTGGAGACGTTCCGCCTCCTCGTAGTGGCCCATGGCCATGAGGCGTTGGGCCGTGTTGTTGAGGTATGTACCTTGTGAGATAGCTTGGGCATGTTCAGGACTAGGATTGACGGAAGCGTCGTATCGCATGGGCTTCGGAGGCTCACTCATGTCGTCGACAATGAGGAAGGATACGTGAGCGCAGTCGAGTGCTAAGGAACAGACAGGAGCAAACTCGGTGGCGACGCGTTCTTTGGGCCGGCTGAGAACAAATTGAAGCTGAGAGGCTGAAGACAATCGCGCTCAGATCGAAGCTAAGATCGGCATTGTCCTGTGATCGTTGTACAATACATAGATCGAGATCTAAACTTGCCAGAGAGGTCTAACTTGACAACGCAAAGGGTGCTGGTGGTGCAGGAACATCTACGAACATATGCATGGACAGTGGAGCGCACTGTCAATGTTCTATTTGCAGTGATACGCTAACTTCAGTTGAGTCTGTGCAACACCCCGCAACAAGCCGTATGCAACATCTGTACTAAGGAGATACATGGCGATGTATCACTGTCAGTACTTGACTGGACTGTCGTCGTGTTTGTTCGGACCGCACTGCGTGCTTGTAGGCTTGTAGCACGACACCGTCATGACAGAATAATGCTAGTCGTCTTTACAGTACTTCTTGTGACGCTGCCAATCTTGCTTCTGAGATAGGTGTCAGAAGATATCCAACATATGAATAGGCCAGTACGAGGATATACCTGACAACTCTTGCCACAGTAGTATATCGACTGGATAGGATCAATGGTGAGCATTTTCAAGAATGATTACAAGGTACAACTATATGTACCTTGCAACGTCTACACAGGCGAAGTCTCGCGAACATTCCAACTGAGGACACTTGCAGGAGGCGCGGCGTATGTCAGTCGGCTCATAAGGTATGCATGAAGCTGTCGCTCCCCACCTGCTCGTTGCCGCAAAGCATCTTTTTTGGCCAGCCCAACTTCCGCATATCCTTTGCGCCACGCAAGTCGCCCTGCATCTCGAGTACTTTGGCGAGGTACATGCGGGTGAAAGCGGATCGAGTTCTTGGCACCTCAGGTTACCCTCGCGAACACGGAGAGCCTTCTGAAGATACGTTTTCGCCTCGTCCAGACGGCCATCCTGGTATACATGTTCCCATTGCGTTATAAGAATGGCGGTGCTGATTCATCGCAGCCAGGAATACGTTCCTTGACTGCGAGGGCTTGGAGGTGCAGCCTTTCCGCTTCCTCGTATTGGCCCGCGAGCGCGAGTCTCTGCGCCCGCGTGCAGTCGCTACTGGCTTGACCAAGTAATTCCTCTTCACCAGGATTCTCAAAATATGAGCGAGGACTTTGAACGGTGACCGGGCACTGGGCATGTCAGTGCTGTGAGAGTGATGGCTTGGGGTGCTTTTGGAGACGACGGAAGTTGAGTCGAAGCCGATGACACGCTACGGGAGCAAACGGGAGTTAAGTATCTCGAGGCAACCTGAGAACGGCAACACACTGCGCATAAGTAGCTGGCCACGGGTTCGCGAGGTCATGCGGCTCACCCAGAGGCGCCACAAACAGCGTACAATCAAAAAGCTACCTCATACATAACATAGCAGAGGCTAGCAGACACTATATCTGTATCTGTTAGGGGGCATGGTAAGGCGATATACTCAAAAAGGAACGAATCCCCTTACGAGGCTTCTTGCACTTGTCTTGGATGAGACTACACGTTTAGATGCGCGAATCCGCACCACCTCGTCACAAAAGTGTAGTGGGATCCTTTGAACGGTCTCAGTCGTGAAATTTTGAAAGTTGACAAATGCCACGACAAACCATTTCAGGACCGATTTGAACCTGGAACCAGGAGAGCGACGTTGGCCCAGCTGATCACGTGCGCGCGGTTGCTTGTGCGTGTTTGTGCGGAGGACGAGGGACAGCCCGAGCCCCGATGGTGCTCGACGAGGCCCTCATACTGGTACCACTCACTGTTCTCTTTATTACCGCTGTCCGCCTCCCGTTCCTATATTTGACAGTGGCATCTACACCACTCGTTACGCCTTGTTTTCTTCCCCATGGCATCGTCTTCATCATCATCACCGGAAATCTCTGCCGCTCCGACCGCAACAGGATCCCAATCTTCCGTCCAATATGCGCACCTCAGTCGAGAAGAAGTGCTCGAGGAACTCTCGAGGTACGTGCCCTGAGGCCCCATCTCGTGCTATGACACCGACGACCCACTAGCCGTTTCGTTCTGAACCTACCCGACGAGGAGCTCGCATCCGTTGAGCGAGTGTGCTTCCAGATGGAACAAGCGTATGTGCAGTCTGCTGCTTCCACGTCCCTTATGTGGCTCACGTACGACGCCGCTCCAGACACTGGTACTACGAAGACTTCATCAGGGAGCAGAACCCCGCAAAATTTCCGTCTTACAGCCTCAAGACTTTCTGCGAGATTTTGTTCCGAACATGTCCACCCTTACACCATCTAGCCAATGACCATGATCGAGTGTTCGACAAGTTCATGCAATACAAGACGCGAGTGCCTGTTTGTGGTGCTATCATGCTCAACGAGACTTGGGACAAAGTATGTCTTCCATTGCGTGTGTGTACACGCATATTGATACGCCACTCGGTGGATAGTGCGTCCTTGTCAAGGGTTGGAAGTCGTCTGCAGGGTGGGGCTTCCGAAAGGCAAGATCAATCAAGAAGAACCACGACCCGCTGCGCCGTCCGCGAGGTGAGTGCAATTGACTGAGTATATCACAATGTCCCAACATCGGAGATCAGGTTTGGAGGAGACTGGATATGATCTGGAGGGGCAAATAGACCCAGAGAATGTTTTCGAGTTGTCCATCAAGGAGCAGTCGATATCTCTTTACATTGTCCCTGGCGTGCCGGAAGACTTCCCTTTGAAACGAGGACACGCAAGGAAATCAGTGTACGTATGTTATTGTTCATATTGATTCGTCGATGCTTAACGATCACACAGAAAATACAATGGTTCAGACTGTCCGATCTTCCGACATGGAGGCGCAATAAATCCGTTCCTGGAAAGTTCTATCTCATATCTCCTTTCATTGGGTTCGTCGCAGGTTCTTATTACACTATTCTGACTAACAGCGTGTACAGCCCATTGAAGGCATTCATCCACGACCGTAAACCACGCAATTTGCCGAGACGCAACAGCCAAATCCAAACATCACACGCTAGTCTCACCGCTCATGCTCCCAGTGAGGACGATATCGCGAACTTGGGCAGCTACGCTGCAGTCAATGGCGATCATGCTCAAGAGTCAAGCTCTCAGTCATCGTCTGCAGACAATGGCGAACCGCAAACACCCTCGCCTCAGTACAGCGCTCCGCACGTGAACTACCAACCTCCCTCCCATCTAGAGCCTCATGACGAGATGGCAGAGATCAACTTAGACGGAGTAGACCCTCACTTCGCCCGCCTTCTCAATTCGTTATCCTTGTCAGCGTCGACTTCTGTCATTGGCAGTGCGAAGGAATCGATCAGCAAACAGCGAGCACCGTCCCCCTCGAAAGTTCCAGCTCATCCTACCGTAGTCGACATGCCCCAAAGCGCGGACCTCGGCTCAGACTGGTCCGTCAATGTGCCTCAACGGCTCGCTGAGCCGCCCTCAGCGAAACACAGCACGCCTACCATAGATCACGGTTGCCGACCAGCTGCCACTGCAACGACGCTCGCTGGGTCTTCTATGTCGGCTCTCAATGGCCTTGCCACAGAGAGTAGTCTGGGCCTACAGCAACAGCGTCCACCCTCATCTCACGCAGTTGCTCCCGACGCGCAAGCGAAGCTGTCCCCTCGGCTGTCCCGAGCTCATCGCGCCTCGAGAGCGTCAGCGGATATATCTCCGTACCTCTCGCGCCCGCACGACATCCAGAAGGAGATGAAGTACATCTCCTTGCTCGAGAATGTCGCAAAGGAATCCGACAGGTTGTCGTCTCACTTGGCCCGTAGGACTCCCTCCATCCCAGACTCCCTACACGCCTACTCCGGCCCGCCTGCGCCCATGTATCCGGCGTCTACATTCGGGCGTGCTGGCGATCCCCTCATCTATTCCTCCAATCCTGCTGCTGGGTCGACCTACCCTCCACCGTCTACCATGATGCCCCGTCTCGATCCCCTTTGCGACGACCCCTTCACCGTACGCCCACGTACCAGCAACGCCTTCCATCCACTGCCCTACGTGCCGTCGCGCAAGGCTAGTCTGAATGAAGATCAGTTGGGCTATATGACTCCTGGGCTAGAGTCTCGCACACCGAGGGTACCTGGTCCTGGTTTTGGTACATTGCCCTCCACAGGCCCGGGCGCATACGGTCCTGCGAATGGTATGACGCGACCTGCCACCATCGCGCCGCTACGCATCCTCCCCCAGGCACAGTACCCCATGTACGATGGGCCCCAGCTGTCGCCGATGTCTGGCCCACCCCTTTCTCCCTCAGCAGCCTACGGACCTACCGCCGCCGTCGCTCCGCCCATGACTGGAAACCCCATGCGTGCGACAAACAACGCTCATTTGCTATCTATTTTGAACACGCCCAACACCGTGCCTCGCTCGTATGCTGCGTCTGGTCTCATGTCAATGAACATGAACGGCGTCGGGCCAAGATGATATATTTTTCCATCTTGCGGGAGCGCACGCGTGCGTCGCCTCAAATCACATTGCGCGCACACTGGACCGGGCAGACATAAGTATCCCTGTAGCATTGTTTGTTATTATACGCTTACGTGACGCTATTGAATTTGTGTCCATCGACTACCCCTACCATTCCGTCACCACTCGACATCTGTACATTTTGTTAGCTTTCCTACTACGTCGTAACCCCTCGATGATGCCTTTCCCCTTGTTAATGTCTTCCTTCCTGTTTCTTTTGTGCGGCTTCTTTGCTGCTCTCCGCATATCCTACTTTTGACCCCTCCGAAACTTCCCTTCCCCGTTATCCCGCGTGGTGACATATTTTCCCTTCATCCATCTACCGTCGTTCTATCATTGTCCCCACTTTATACGCTCGTCCCGTCTCGTCCCCTCGCGTTTGACACTCGCTTTCCTTGCGTATCGCCTACCTCTCGATATCCGTCGTGCACACCCGTCCTCACAAGTTTGTAGCTTAGTGCTAAGATTCATATGTCCTCGTGTTCTCCAGTCGCAGATTACCTGAATGAATGTGTTCGTTGGGCTCAATATAACTGGCGAAGGGCTGACATGGTTTGTGCTATGTTGGGCGATGCTCTGCTGGATGTGTGCAGTTCAATGAACATACAAATCCGCATCATGCCTGGACGAGTCTGGATGTCTACGAGGTATGTACGCCCTGTATCTTGCTTCGATTCGCTGACAACACGCGAGAAAGGCGCGAACTCCTGGAGCAGTCTGGAATAGGTGTCTATGCACTGTGTTACACATCCTAGGGTTCGCTGCAGGGTAGCATGCTTTCATCCTGGGAGAACACCGCCTACAATAGGTAGTGTTTCTCCAACAGAAAGGCTCCCAACTCACGCTCTGCATCCGGCGGACCGATCACGACAAATTGGCAGAGGCGGAGTATGCTTGTCGCGATGCTCGCGGAAGAGTCGGATCCGGGGCAGACAGCCCGTTCCAGGATTGCGTGGATATCGCCGAGTCGATGGACGTACATACCACCGTCGCGGAAGCCCCGGAAGATCCGTGTCGAAGGTAGTATGTAAGTAGTCCCAGACTGCTCGCGACCAACGTCAACGTCGTGCTAATACCGGCGACAGCCCCAGTTGACCACGTACACTCGATACACGCACCTATGGGAGGGTCCTCCCTGCAGACTCTACCGCTGCGCGTGTGTCTGCAGACCGTCAGTGCAATCGCTCGAAGGATCTTGGTCGCCAACCTTTGTCACGACGAACCTTGCGGACCTCGTGGCCTATCCGATAGAGTGGGACAAACGTTATTCTGGACTATGTGACGTACGGATCTATCGGTCTATGCAAACGCTCTGTAAGCTCGCCTTCTGAGCGGGCTAGGTTTGGTGTCAGCGCATGCTCCTACGTCCAGCACGGGCTCTGCAGACTCACAGGTTACAGTAAGATTACATCTGAATGGCGGTTCTGGTGGCAGTACTCAGCCATCGAGCCGGACCATACGCTATGGGCGAACATGTCCGACGGGCCCATGGCTATACTCGTGGACCCGACGGATCCGGAGCCAAATCACGGAAGAGTCTCAGCTGCATACCTTGTGCATACCGCACCGCGACCCTGCTGATTGCACCGTAGGGTAAGGCTGAGGAAGAACAGACCCGAAGGTGGTCTACACTGAGACAGATGAGTCACTGATACATCCATTTGACCATATGTTTGGCTAGACCACCCTGGGTGAGACAGCTCGTTTCGAGTGTGAGCCAGAGAAAAACAGAGTCGGCTTAGGAAAACTTCGAGTCGGACTCAGTCACTCAGAGCAGCCTGGAGGCGGGCCGATGTCCTGGCTGGAAATTTGGAGTGACGTTTCGAGGGAACGCTTGTACTTACAGGGTTCCTGCTCGGGGAGCAATCAATCAATCTGTTGTGCACACAGCATTCGTCAGAACGACGAGACGGCCGACGGTGAGTTCAAGCGACGTCCACTCTGCACACGAACGTTCTGACCGCTGCACCGGATCCGGACAGCGGACGTTGCTGACGTTATCCAAAATTTGCTCCCCGAAAAGGCAACTTTCCAGCGCGAATCCAATTTACCCACAAGCGCTCGCGACCCCACCACCGCCCCAGCATTGGCCTGCAGCGGCTGCCGCTGCCTCCGATTTCTCTTCCCCCTCCTGCATCCTCGTCTGACTGGCTCATTCGTTTCGCATCGTATCTTTATTCGTTTCATGTATGCAAAATGTTCACCGGTAACGGTATCAAGATTTTCACCGGTGAGTGCCCCCCGCGGAATCGATGGGCCAATGCTGAACGTCGGATTGCTCGCCGTCGTCATCGTAGGCACCAGCCACCCAGAGCTTGCGGAGATCATAACTAGACGGTATACCCTTTCTCAACGCGCAGGGTTCCACCCTAACCATGCATACGCACCTGCGTCTGGACGGTGTTACACAGGCTCGGCATCCCGCTCAGCAAGGCTGAGGTGACGAAGAGCAGCATCGGCGAGACGAGCGTGCGCATCCTGGACTCGGTGCGCGAGGACGACGTGTACATCATCAACACGGGCTGCGGTCAGGTCAACACGGCGCTCATGGAGCTCTGCATCATGGTGCATGCCTGCAAAATCGCGAGCGCGAAGCGCATCACGGCGATCGTCCCCCTCTACCCATACGCACGCCAGGACAAGAAGGACAAGAGCCGCGCACCCATTACGGCCAAGCTCGTGGCGAACATGATCCAAAAGTCCGGATGCGACCATGTCATCGTGAGTGCACCCTGCCGTCATCGCTGCTGCAGTCGTGTACTGCGCTGGGCATTGATCCCCGGTTGGGCCTCGTGTGAGCTGACGTGGGCCGTAACCAGACGATGGACCTGCACGCGTCGCAAATCCAGGGCTTCTTCGACGTTCCTGTAGACAAGTACGTCTCCTGGGTTGCTCCGCACCGCGTAACTCACACTCGTCTCCCGTGCAGCGTGAGTACCGTTTCCCTGCGATGTCCGGCTGACCTTTTAGTTGATTGTTTCCATAGCTCTACGCGGAGCCGTCTACGATCCAGTACATCCGCACCAACTTCGACCTCTCCCAAATAGTGATCGTCTCACCGGACGCCGGTGGTGCGAAGCGGTACGTCATACCTTGTCCCACGTTGCGTGCTTATATTCACGTCCATGTCGCACGTGCAGGGCACGTCAATATCGGACCGGCTGGGTGTCGACTTTGCGTGTTCCACAAGGAGCGGAAGAAGGCGAACGAAGTCTCGCGGATGGTCCTGGTGGCCGCGTCAAGGGCAAGATGCCATCCTCGTCGACGACATGGCGGACACGTGCGGCACGCTCTGCCTCGCGCGCAGCACCTGTCGGAAGCGGGGGCGTCGCGCATTTTTGGCCTGGTTACGCACGGAATCCTAAGCGGCAAGGCGCTGAAGAACATCCAGGAGAGCGCGCTGGAGAAGCTGATCGTCACCAATACGCTGCCGCAGCAAGAGAACATGGCGAAATGCGACAAAATCGAGGTAATTGACATCGGGCTGGTGCTTGCCGAGGTGATCAGGCGCAGTCACTACGGAGAGAGCGTGTCGAAGCTGTTTGACGAGGTGCCATACTAGGAGGACTGGCGGGCGTGTGTGCATGTCGATGTTGCGCAAATCTTAATGTAGGATCTCGGTGGCGGCCTGCGACTGGAGCGGAGCGGTCGCCGTATGTATTGCAGTAGAATTTGGATACCTCATAGATGACACAAGAGCGCGGACAGCGAGGAAGAAGGCGTTGCGGGCCACCTGGAGGTGGGACAGAATACGGGTTGACGATGGTCCACATCGGTAAGTAAGGGCTTCGTGAGAAGGAAGCAATTGATGGACACGGGACCGAAGATGAGAGACTGATGCAACTGAGGAAGGCAATCATTAGCTCAGTCAAGGTTAATGCTCCCGCACGATTAGTGGAGGGAGAATGGTCGGATCTGTTCGGTACACCGCAGAGACGGAGAGCGATCGCGAAAGCAAGAAAAGGCCGGTGGGCGGTGGAGGTGTTGGAGAGAGGAGAGCGGGGCGAGGCCCATGGTCGGTTGTCAGGAAAGAGTAAGCTAAGCGAGGAGATGCATGGAAGCGAATCTGGGCTGGGGCATGGGAAGACTCAGTCAGCACCCGCTGATAGCACGGAAGTTGGGAATCACTACGGAGCGAAGTTGGGGTGTGTGCAGATCGTGTCATGGCGGGCGTTGGTCGCCGTTTGCGTCCTGGCTCACGGCAGCACCGGCGGGCCACAGTCGCGACGCGCGTGACCGGCTGATGCGCGGCGGGCATGTGGCGGCGCGAGACAGGCGACGTCGACGTGGGGCGGTAGGAAGCTGGGAAGAGGCGTTGTCGACAAATGAGGAGATGGGCACATGCACGCAGCGCTTCTCGCCCCATCAGCGCGATGATCCCTGCGATCTGCCGCCGCGGGAGATGGCGGGAGACGGTGCTGGGTGCGTGTGCGCGACGTGGCGGGCGTGCACGGGGGCAGCGGGGGCGGGCGGACATTGATGGCAGCGTCGGCGATGGTGGGATCGGGATCTGGGCGGCACACAGCCTCTGTTCGCACATGGAGGATTGCCGACGAGGCGGCGGCAGGATCGAAGAGGCGCCCGGATGCGCCATGCCTTTTCGGGAGGCTTTGTTTCTCGCATCTCGCAGAACGCACGCGCCACCGCCCCAGTCTGCGACTCTGCGTCTCGTCGCACCCGCCTCGTCGCCTGGCCAGCTCAGTGCCCCGCAGCCTCCACCCACTCCTCCATCCCGCGCACGCTGCATTCGCCGCGGACTGCACAGCTCACGGCCAGGATAAGCTGAGGAGCCCTTGACAGCCGGGCGGTAGTGAATTCAATTACCCACATCTGTCGTACCGATCACTTTCGGCTCGCCGACTCGACGCCAAACACCCGCCACCAGCTGTCCGCTCCTGGTCCGCTCTTCCCTCTCCCTCCTCCTCCACGCATCGTCGTCGCCCCCGCCCACGTCCCCGCCATCTCTATTTTATCCCCTATTATCTCATGCAATCCGCGCACCGCACACTCTAATATCCCATACACCGCGGGCGATGCTAGTGCAACAAGAACCATGTACACAACCCATGTCTCCCCAGGCCATCATTCCCTCCCCATTCACAACGGTTACTCCAACCACATGCCAAACGGCCACTACCACAACCAGTCCCTCCCAAATGGCCACGCTCATCCACAACAACTCTGCAGCAACCACCCCCTCCTCAGAACAACCGCTCCGCTCAGCCGCAAACACCCAAGGACCCTGTCGTCGTCGTCGGCATCCCGTCCGTCACTGTGCAGGACAACCAGCTCGTCGTGGGCGACGCACGTAGCAGTGAGTGTCTCGCTTTGTTTCCTTCCCCGCCCCTTGCCGCCTTTGGTCGCGCTTCTACGCCATCAATCCATGCTGATGTGCATGTCTCGCGTGCGTCGCAGCCTCGACGCGGTCATATACACCGCTCAAAGTGGTGGGGGACGGCTCATTCGGCACCGTCTGGCTCTGCGATTGGCATGGGACGCTACCGCCCAATACCCCGCTGTCCGCGATGCAGTGCGGCGCGGGCGCAAAGCGCGAGTACGCCGGTAAACGCCTCGTTGCCGTCAAAAGGATGAAGAAGAAGTGGGAGGGCGGATGGGATGAGTGTAAGAAGCTGAAGGAGCTTGAGGTGCGTCATCACTTTCACTTGCTGTACGCGCTCTCTAACGTGTCTCCCTTTTCCACCGGCAGTCCCTGCGTGCGATAACGTACCACCCGAATATAATCCCCCTATACGACTTCTTCCTCCTGCCGCAGACGAAAGAGCTCTACTTCGTCTTCGAGTCCATGGAGGGGAACCTATATCAACTGATCAAGACTCGAAAAGGCAAACCGCTCGCCGGCGGCCTCGTCTCGTCCATCTTCCGTCAGGTCGTCTCCGGCCTCCACCACATCCATGCGTCGGGCTACTTTCACCGCGACATGAAACCGGAGAACCTGCTGGTGACGACAACAGGTTTGTATGATTACCGGACTCTGTCGCCCATCGCACCACCAGACGCGCCTCTCGAGAAGGACGTCGTGGTGATTGTCAAACTCGCCGACTTTGGCCTCGCGCGAGAGACGCGAAGCAAACCACCATACACGGAGTATGTCTCTACGCGATGGTATCGCGCACCAGAGGTCCTCCTCAAGAGCAGGGACTACTCAAATCCTGTAGACACGTGGGCGCTCGGTACTATCATGGCGGAACTGGTCAACCTGCGGCCGCTCTTCCCAGGCCAAGGTGAGATGGACCAAGTCGCGCGTATATGTGAGCTGCTCGGTGATCCAGTGGACGACTATGGGTTGGACAACCGCGGGAAACCGATCGGGGGCGGGAGATGGCCAAGAGGTGTGAAGATGGCCAAGAAGGTGGGGTTTGAATTCCAGAAGGTGGTGGCTCCACGTTTGTGCGCATATAGGCCTAGACTCAGTTTGTCCTGTGTGGATGCTGGTGTGCAGATTGTCCCAAAGGACTTTCGCGCGCTCTTTGACCCATCGGTACCGCCCAAGCTCGTCGATTGCATATCCGATCTGCTCAAGTACGATCCTGATCAGCGACTTACTAGTTTGCAATGTCTCGAGCACCCGTACTTGATCGAGACGACCCCGCTCAATCATCCACCTCCCCCGCCGACCCAGCCACTGCAGACGGCGCTGCTTCCTACTGCGAGGGATGACCAGCGTGGATTACCCGCGGCGCTGCACTCGATATCTCCGCGACATTTACCTCCATCGCACACGTATACTTCTGTCAACCACAGGCCCGACCTTCAGCCATCCGCGCCGTTGGCTGGTGTGCGCATCCCGGACGCGTCCTCGACACATCGGACATCCTTCTTCGACACTCAATCAGTTCCCCGCGAAAGCTCGGAGTCGTCGTCCAGGTTCTCTGACTACAGGTATGATCTGCCCAACGGTGTCCACCATGTAGGTGTACCTCAGTCTGTGGTGGACGGTCAGTCGGCGTTTGACTCCTCGGCATATTCGTTCGGCGGCGACCACCTCGGGAGTACTTACTACAGCCAGCACGCTGGTCAGCCTGACTGGGATGCTATGGATGTGTCACCCCAGACTGAAGGGCTACCAGAGCATTACGTCGTCTCGAACGGCCAGACGGAGATCCAGACGTCGCCCATGGCGCGCGAGTACCCCGCACGTCCAGTCGAGCCAGAGCCGATCCACGACCCGATGCAGAACCATGAGGTCTCGCAGGCGCATGCACCCAAGCTCAGCAAGCTCGCGCCATTCGGCTTCGCCAAGAAGAGCAGCAAGTGGGGTCTGAGCATGTTCGGCGGGCACAGCGACAAGTGCCAGGTTCAAGGCCAGCCTCCACTCCCGCCGGTGCAGGAGGCGAACGTCGCGAGCGCTGGCTCAGTCCCGAGCCTGAAGCGGACGCAGTCGAGCAGCACGGACAGTCGCAGCCTGAGCGAGCTGAGCCCGATCGTGATGGAGGCGCCGTCCGCGCCGGCGACCGACGCGAAGTCGCGAAAGAAGGAGGCGGAGCGGATGAAGGCGGAGGCAGAGAAACAGCGGCGGCAGCTCGCGCAGAAGATGCAGCGTGACCAGGCGCGTGCGGTCATGGAGAAGCAGAGGCGCATGACGAAGCAGGGCGAGGGCGACGCGGCCGCGGTTGACTGGCACTGGCTCGCAGCGCAGAGCTCGACCATGAGCGTGCCCCCGCCGAGCTACCGCCCGCCCCGGGAGAAGGGCAAGCAGCCTGCGGCGACGGGCTCGATACGCCAGAGCCAGAGCCATGGTCCGAGCGCGCGGACGCTGGACGCTGCGAGTGGGAGCTATAAGGCAGATGATAGCTCGAGCTGGCGCAGGTCCGATGACGAGCGTGTGCCGAAGGCGAGGCGGCGGGAATACGATGACGATCATTCGATGTCGTCGTCTGACCTGCCGAGTGGGATGTCCGTCATCTCGTTCGCGACGGTGGACAGTGACCCGGGTCCGACGCGGTCTCGATATCGGACAAGCACGTATGCTGCCAGCAGTATGGGCCGCATGACGTCGATGAACTCGTTGCGGACGGACGACTTCTCGCTGCGGGGACGGTCGTCGACGTCGTTCTCGCTGGAGCAGAAGCTCAACGATTTCAACCTTCGCTCATCGGTAGATACGTCGTCCCTGTCAGAAGGGGCGGCTCACCACCCCCACCGCCGATGCATATGCTCTCGCTATCATCACCAACGTGGCAGCACGAACGATCCGCGAGTACGAGCGTACAGGATAGCGCAAGTTTTGTGTCGAGGAGGCCGGAAGGCATGCATCTATCGCTTCAGCCGCCCTCTCGACATCAACAGTTCCTCGGAGGGCAGCCTCAAGGCCATCCTCCGAGTCCCGGCGTTGCACCTAAGTCGGCCATCAACCCGATCTTCAAAGTCGTACGTGTTGATTGACGTTGTCTGTCCAGTAATTGACTAACAGTTGTTGGATAGCCACCATTACAGGGCTTGGATCGACCGGGGTCGTTACCACCGTTCTCGCACCTGGAGGCCGTCGCGGACGGGGAGTATCCCCCGTTGTCGCCAATGTCTTTCACATCGCCGGATGAAATCGACGACGATATGAGCTAGCATCGGTCTCTAGGCGCTTTGTACACCACCTCTGCATTGCATCCCGCGCCGCGCACGCAGGCGCACACACACACTCATTATCTTTTTGGTTTCTATTTAAACACACCCACTCTTGCTCTCATCTCATCCTCTCAAAGCTGCCATCTGTTTTCCGCAAGCTCGCACACTCACTTTGTGTCTGTCGCACCCTGTTACCTATCACTGCGCATCTGGATCGTCTCGTCTGCGTCTCGTTCCTCGCTCGCACTGCATCATCATATTCGCCCGCGCCCCGGAGGCTGCGTATTCGCACTCGTATCTGTGTGTACATGCATGTACGGCGCCCGCGGGCCTTCCAACACACACCGCACCAGCATCCCCACCCTCATCGCCCAACCCACTCACCTTCACCCGTTGTCCTGTCCTCCGCTTCACTTTCAACACTCGCGTACAATATGGTTCTCCCTCTACTCGTAGGTACATACTGTTCTGCGCCGAACGCAGCGCCTTTCTCTGTTCTTTACCGTAGATTCCGATGTATTTTTATCCACTGCTTTTGGTGGTTTGGGCAAAGGGGTTGGGCTCTCTGTGGTTGTGAGTTGCATATAGTAATTGACCTGATACCACAAACATTCCCTGTCTCTGAGCCCATGGTGTTCCGTACACTCCAAGGTACGTTGGAGATTTGGTGTCATGAGGTGCTCACGGACGGTGCACTGTACCCAAACTGCACCCTCGAAGCTAGTCTATCAGGCCATCATGACGGCGGATCCACATCTGTTACTTAGCGTGAGCCGTGAGCTGTCGCCACCTTCGCGCAGACTTGGCGCAGACGGCCAGAAATTCAAAAACGGACGGCGTGATGGGTTGTAGCGCTGATGCGCGACCGCCTTCTTCGGCGGATGCTCGGCGATCAGACGATATGGCGCTGATGCGGATGGGTCAGATCTCATCGTGCGAGCCCCCGCTCCGCTCGGATCCCTCGGGCTAGGCTGGTCTCCCCCAGATCTCATCGGTACGTTACCTCAAGCCGAGGCTCGGCACTGAGTGTCGTTTGAGTAGCACAGCAACGGCAAGCCTGCAGGCTGAGAGGATCCTGGGCTCCAGCAGGGCGAAGGGCGTGCTGACTTGAACGACCGCGAGACTGACAACGGACCAGAGAGGGTTATGCCAGTGCAAGACTTCCATCGCTCCAGTACGCCAGACTCGGAGGCGGCCACTGTCGAACGCTGAGCGGGACACTACAACATTATCATTGCGCGCACTCTGCTGCTAGCCCCTCCAAAGGTGCAATTTATGGTCGTAGAATGAGCAACTCGCTACCAACGTGTCCCCGCCTACGCTTCCCCGAGCGAACGACCAATCGACTCCATATGCCAGAGACTCGTGCTGGTCGAATCGGTTTACGACGTCCCACTGCTTGCCAGATGGCTCGGATTCGCCGCCGAGGCCGAAACGGACAATTTTGAAGCCATCGTGCATGCAGGCGACCAGCAGGTCGGTCTTGCGCTCGGGAGATGGGTGCCACTTTACACGCCAGGCGCCACCACCGACGTCAGCCTCGACGACGGGGACAAGAGGCTTGCGGACGTCGAACAAGCGAACAGTGTTATCATAGCTGCATGAAAAGTAAGGTATAGCACATGATGGATCGTAAGAATCTTGCTCACCTTCCGACGGCAAGTAGATGCTCGACGTATGGGTGACTCTGGATCGTAGTGATCCCAGCGTCGAACCTACGACGCAGGTATGGGCTGAACGTCGCCGTTAGTGAGGGCCGCAACAACGCACCTCTTGTTGACGAAGAGAGGCTGTGTAAAGTCTTGTCGAACATCCCAGGCCTTCATTTTGAGGTCGTCGCCTCCTATGTGTTCTTATTCGGAGTGTGTCTACGAGCAAGCGGGGGGATAGACAGACCTGAGTAACAACGTTGGTGTCCCAGTAGTTCCATGCAGCTATCCATGGCTCGTGATCATGCGCATGCCATGATTCTGCTACTATGAGCCCGCTTGAATTCTCTGGGCGCAGAAGCGCTAGTGACCCATCGGAAAGCGAGACAATGAGTGAGCCAAGAGAGCTTGTCCAACCGTTCACTCAGCTTCAGTATTGAAGTATTGACCCACTTGGCGAGAACATACCTGCTGGGATATCGCCGGCTAGACCAGTCGAGAGACAGGCAAAGGACTCTTTGGACGCGCATGCAATGGAGAAGGTTTGTTCGAAACTTGGTTGGGACTGTGTAACTAGCGTCACTACACAGGCATCTCCAGCTGAACTATGACTCACCTGTTTGCCTCGTAAGGCGTGAAGTGTGATGCCGCCTTCTGAGTCTGCTATAGCAAGAATAGGATCGACCGAAGGCGATGTATGACACCTGTGCCGCGTGAACACTTTGTGAGGGTTGCGCCGCTCAGCCATACTGACCACTTCATATCAAGAATTGCAGGCAGGGATGTCTTTTGTAGCAAAGGGCTATGCTGGCATTCCAGTTAGTTGAAGCATATGGAGGATGCTCTTTCGGACGTACAACTGAAGCTCATCCTCCGCGTCGACCCCAAAGAGCAGACATTCACCGGTTCTCTTCTGTTTGGGACGTTCGGCGGGCGGAGGCGTGCCCTCGTTCGGTTCATTGTCAATTGTGTGTGCTGGCTGCTCAAGGTTGTAGGTCCCACAGACGAACACATTGTGATAACTTGGATGAGGACAGAACTCGACAGAGTCGGCTGGCCAGACGGTGTCGAATGCGGTCATTGCATGTATGCGTTCAAAGGTTTCGTGTGGTGCTAGGACAAACACTTAGAGTAGCTTCAAAGAATACGGGATCTGGACATACGGACAATTGAATATTTCCGCCGCGGTCGGATCAGCGTGCCATGAGGAGGCGTAGGTGCTCGGAAAGGCAAGTAATCGGGTTGCATGGGCGCCTCCTCTCGAGGCCACTTACCTGGTCGCGTCTCGCCATCCTGCCCGTCCCCCATCCTTCGTCCGTGAAGCCAGCTGACTGGCTTAGCATCATCTACAGCTCGTCAGCTCAAACCCTCACACACGACCTTGGACTTGGAAGCGGGCTCTAAGCCCGGGAGAACCGACCAAGATGGCGACTAATATGCGTGGGCTCACGCAGGTACGTAGTAGCATTCAGAGTGGGGATATTGCTCATGCTTGCATATGTAGTTCATCGCGGACATTCGAGGAGCGAGAGTCCGCGAGTTGGAGGAGAAGAGGATCAACAAGGAGATGGCGAACATCAGGAAGAGGTTCAAAGGCACGTCATACCACTTCCCCAGCGCCCTCACCCTAATGTCGGTGAACAGACGGCAACTTGGATGGCTATCAGAAGAAGAAGTGAGACTGGCGCACATCTGCTACTCATATACTGACGTATGGTTGCAGATATGTCGCCAAGGTCATCTTCACATACATACTGGGTACAAGGTCGATGTCGGGCACATGGAGGCAGTCAACCTCATCTCGAGTCCAAATACAGCGAGAAGCAGATTGTAAGCATAACTAGATGTGTTCCCTGTCATGAACCAAATGTGCCCAGGGCTATCTCGCAGTCACCCTCCTTATGCACGAGAACTCCGACTTCCTGCGCCTTGTCGTGAACTCCATCCGTAAGACCTAAACGACAAAACGAGATCAGCAACTGTCTGGCATTACACGCCATCGCAAATGTAGGTGGGCAGGAGATGGCGGAAGCTTTGGCGGAGGACGTACATCGCTTGCTGATTTCCCCGTACGTCATGCGTATTTGTGATGTCGCATGCCGTAGGCTGAAATATGTGTTACAGAACATCACCAACCTTTGTGAGGAAAAAAGCTGCGTTGACCTTGCTGAGGCTATACCGGAAACACCCAGACGTCCTCCCTGCCGCCGAATGGGCTCTACGGATAGTCTCCTTGATGGATGACGGAGACCTGGTGAGCGCAAGAGCAAGTGTAGCCTTCGGAACGTGCCTTACACGACTGAAAGGGTGTAGTAATATGTGTCACTAGCTTGGTCATGGCGATGGCTCAAGACCACCTCGATGCATACGCGGTGTGTTACACCAAGGCCGTAGACAGGCTCAACAAGGTATGTGACTGCGTGATCCCGAAGCGCGTCGAGTCTGACACATAGTGGCAGCTTGTCATTGAGCATGAATATAGCGCAACATACGCGTATTACAAAGTGCCATCGCCATGGCTTCAGGTCAAGCTCTTGCGATTGCTGCAATATTATCCCCCTTCAGGTTCGTCATGACCGTGCCATCCAGTTCGTTTTGCTCACCTCAGAATAGAGGATCCGACACTACTGGCCGTCATGTACAAGGTCCTTGAGACCACCATGAACAACTGTGCCGAACCTTCACGCAATGTGCAACACAACAACGCTCAGCATGCTGTCCTCTTCGAGGCTATCAGCCTCGCCATCCATCTTGACACTGACTCACCACTGGTCAACACCGCTGCTGTCCTCCTTGCACGCTTCATCAGTTCGAAGGAGACGAATGTCCGTTACCTTGGTCTGGACACCATGGCACAACTTGCTGCTCGCACGGAGAATCTCGATGCCATCAAGAAACATCAGGGGACAATCATCCTCTCTCTGCGCGACAAAGACATCTCGGTCCGACGTCGTGCACTCGACTTGCTTTACAGTATGTGCGACACGGACAACAGCGAGCTGATCGTCGGTGAGCTTCTACGATACCTCAAGATTGCGGACTATGGCTTGCGCGAGGAGATGGTGCTGAAGATCGCAATCTTGACGGAGAAGTATGCCAGTACATACAAGTGGTATGTCGACACCATTCTGGAACTGCTCAGTGCTGCTGGCGACCACGTTGGCGAGGAGGTCTGGTATCGTGTCGTCCAGATTGTGACGAATACGGAGGATCTGCAAGGGTATGCAGCGAAGGTAGTGTTTGAGTACTTGCGCTCGCCCTCGTCACACGAGAGCCTGGTCAAAGTCGGCGGATATATCCTCGGAGAATATGGTCACCTAATTGCCAACGAGACTGGGTACAGCCCCATCGAGCAGTTCCAGGTCCTCCATTCGAAATCCCAATTCTGCGCGGCGCCCACTCGCGCTCTCCTCCTTTCGACATACATCAAATGGGTGAACGTCTTCCCCGAGATCAAGCCGCAGCTCGTGAACGTGTTCGAACGCTATCGACACGTGCTCGACGTCGACCTCCAGCAGCGCGCATGCGAGTTCTTCGCACTCGCATCGCGTCCGGACGATGACGAATTGCTGCAGAACGTCTGCGAAGAAATCCCGCCGTTCCCGCCGCGCGAGAGCGCACTACTTGGCAGACTCAAGACCAAGGGTGGAGACAAGTCCGATACCCCTCTGGAGCGTACGTCGACGAAGAAGACGGCGAAGAAGCCGACTTTCCCCCAGCCAAATGGTAATGGGAGCGCGACCAATGGCAATGGGACCGACATTGCAAGCTCGCTCATGGGTCTGGAGATCACATCCTCATCAAACGCCCAATCACCGACGTCCCAACCAGACCTATCGCAAACACCCGCCGCACTAGCTGAAAAGGGGATACCGATGTTGACGGTGGGGCCCAACGTCGAGCGGTGGTTCGACAAGCTGCTCCACGGTGCCGAGGGCGTGCTTTACGAGGACGTGCAGATCCAGATTGGTATCAAGTCGCGGTACCACGGACACCTTGGCCAGCTCGCGATCTACATGGGCAACAAGATCTCCGCGCCGTTCACTTCGTTCACCGCGACGCTGCACGTCGACAACTCAGACGCGCTCTCCGCCACGTTTGCCAAGATCGCACCAAGTACGATCGCGCCGCGGACGCAGTCGCAGCAGCTCGTGCACGTCGAGTGCAAGAAGCCGTTCACGAAACCGCCCGTCCTGAGCGTGTCCTTCCTCGCGGGCTCGCACCAGACGATCGCGGTGCGCCTCCCGATCGTGTTGACGAAGTTCGTGGAGCACGTCAAATTGGGCCAGGCGGACTTCTTCGAGCGATGGCGATTGATCGGCGGGCCGCCTCGAGAAGCCCAGCAGGTGTTCCCGATCACCCTCGACGAGTCGGGGCACGTCGACCGCAGCAAGCAGCGCCAGGTCGTCTCCGGCTTCAACCTGAACGTCCTCGATGGCATCGACCCGAATCCCGACAACATCGTGGCCGCTGGCATCCTGCACATGTCGACCGACGGCAAGGTGGGCTGCTTGATGAGATTGGAGCCGAATCGAGAAGCCAAGGTATGTTTGCGTTTGCTCCGCGAACGATCTGCGATCGGAATTCTGATATGTTCTGCAGCTCTGTCGAATCACCGTCCGCAGCACGTCTGAGGACGTTGCGGCAGAGGCGATGAAGCTCGTTATGAAGCCCCTCAACGCGGACTCACCGTCATGACACTCGCTGGCCCGTTCTGCTCTCCATTGACAATGTCTCCTTCGTTCGCGACGATTTATGGATTCTACATAGTACGTGTATTGCTATACTGACGAGCATAATATATGTGAAAAGCGAAAAATACATGCGTCCGTGTCTGAGGGCTATCGTCGCAGGATGCCGCGGAAGATGCTCTTCCGCTTCCTGGCCGAGTCGTCAGTAGAGTCGTTGCTAGCTTCCTGCGTCCGTGTCGAGGACCGTGTCAGCCGTTCCCACTTCCTTTCCGGTCGAGGGCAGAGTCGGTCGACGAAGACCGCGGGTGCTTGACGAATGGGGCGATTGGACGCCGCAGAGACCGCATCCGGTCTGGTGAGGGTATACTCTCCACAACGTTGGGAGCTGACTGCGACAACATAGGTTCTGGATCACTCGTGGGGCTCATCGGCATGGACTCCGGTTCTGTGCGCGGCGACGAGTCCGCAGTCCCCGGCGCTGTCGACGGTCGCGCGAACTTCTTGGGAAGCTTCGGGCTCTTCGGGAGGGATATCCTCCGTTCCCGCCGCCCCGGGATCTTCATCGGCGACGTCGGTGAGGGAGGGAGGGGCACACTGGCGGCGAGCGGTGAGGATATGCTCGGCTGCGAGGGCTGGCGGCGGGGCTTGCTCGCGAGCTGGCTGACGCGGAAGAGCGCGCGCTCCTCGACCTGCAGGCACCGCGCGCAGAACTCGTCGAAGTGGTCGCCGGTGCCGGAGTGGATGGGCGTCGCGGGCGTGTAGTTGCGCGCGCGGGCGTAGCGCACGACGAGCGCGCTGACGACGGCGAGGTGCCGCGGGAGGTCGAGGACGTGCGGGAGGAGGGGCGTCGCTTCGCGGTAGAGCACGGGCGCGGCGAGCCCGCGCTGGCGGAGGGTGTGCATGATGCGCAGCCGGTCGTTCTTGTCGTTCGGCGGCGGGGACGTGGGGCTGGGCGATTGGGGCTCGGGTGTCGAGACGACGACGATGTAGTCGACCATTTGCGGGATGCTGCTGCTCAGGAAGTCCTTCACGCCGCGCATGAAGTCCTCCTTCTGCACGCTCTGCGATCCCGCGTGTCAGCGCTAGACGGCGAGGTGGTGCTGCTCGCTTACTGAGTTCAGGTTGGCGAGGTTCTGGATGACCTTCGCAATCAAAGTCAAGCTCCGCTGTACGCGAGCGTCCGGCAAACCTTGACAAGCACGTATTGTGAGAACGAATTACTCTGGCCGTACACGAAACCACTGACCTGCCCAGAGTCCGAACAAGTGGGGGTGCAGGATGGCAGGGACCATGAACCGCAGGAAGCAAACGCCGACACGCTCTGCGACGGGAGGTCCCTATTCTGCTCGTCCCGCAGCCCGTACCGCCTCTCCACCAGCCGGCGGATGTGCTCAAACAGCCTCCGCATCTCCCTGTCCAACCAAGCCCCAATCAGCGACAGCGCGGACAACGGGACAGCGGGGAACGTACACCGGACACGCGTGCCGCGCCTCGTAGATCGCGTTCCAAAACTCCTGGCACCAATACACGAGCGCCTCGACGCTCTTCTCCGTGCTGCGCGCGCCCTTGCCTGAGCGCACGGGGTCGACCTCGATCGTGACCTTGTCCATGCACACGCGGCGCACGGGCGTACCGACGCTCGCCTCGAGGAACGCGCCCCCGTAGCGCGCCATGAAGAGCTCGACCGTCTTCGTCAGGACGGTGTTCCCGCGGCTGGGCGGGGCAGGCGGGCGTTAGCTTTCCGGACGACAATGAGTGATGAGGGGCAGTCCTACAAGAGCGTGTTGTGCGCTGCGGGCGGGTGGTCAGTCCGGTGGGGCTAGGACGGGAGTAGAGAGACTTGCATGATAGTGTGCCGTCGACCTCCCGGTCGGCCATCTCCATGATGTCGTGGACGAGCCTGTCCTTGGCGATGGCGATGGCGATGATGTGGTGCGGTATCGTGTTCTTGAGCTTGAGGCGTGACTCGAGGTCGACTAGCCAGTCCAGACTGTTTCTTGACTTGAACGTCTACTGAGAGTGAGCAAACCTGCGTCCCCACAGGACTCACGACTCCACCTACCTGGAGAAGCCCGGAATACTCGGCGAACGGGAGTATGATCTCTCTGTAGGGGCCTAAGTAACGACAGCAAACTTCACAGCCTGAGCGAAGCACTAACTCGTCGACCCTGATCTTAAGCCTCAGCTCGCCGGTCTGCGCACACGTCCCCGGTACGGGCGACAGTACGGGGAACCACCCGTCGATATGCTCGCCCCGCCTAAAGTTCATCAGCGCGACGGACACCACGCCGAGCACCACAGGCTTCGACATGCGCTTCTCCCTCAGCACGACGACCTCGAGGTTCTCAAACTGCGGCAGGTCCGCGAGCACGAAGCGCTCGAGCCAGTCGGGCGCGCCGAGCCCGCGTTTGACCGTCGTGCGGCCGCAGAGGCAGCCGTCGACGAAGACCTCGCAGTACACGTCCATGTCGAGCGCGTCCGGCTCGCCGCGCGCGGTGTCGGGCTCGCCCGCCACCAGGCTCGACGGGTCGTCCGACACGCCGCCCGCGCCACGGCCGGGCCGGGCACGAGCGGGCGCGCGGTGCCGAGGTTGCGGCCCTGGAGGCAGGTGAGCTCGACCTGGCGCCACATGCGGTAGAGCCCGCCGTCGGAGGGCGAGAGCCAGCGGCCGTACGTCTCGGGCACAGCGTAGGAGCGGAGGAGGGCGAGCCAGAGGTTGAGCGTGTCTTCGTCGGGGAAGTGGAGGAAGACGGGGTCGGAGGAGGGCACGGCACACCACATCTGGCCGCTGCGGTCAATGCGGTCAGGATCACCCGGGGTAAGGGAGAAAGGGGAGAATGGGCGCACGGTACGCAGTAGATGCCCAGGCAGTCCTTTCGGTCGAAGAGTGAATGATGGATAGGCCGGATATCTGTGTGATTAAGGGAATATACGTAGATCGATTGATACAACATAGTTTCCTGGTAACGAACGGATGTCGGGGCGATGTCGACAACGAGGCGTTGGATACGCACTTCTAGATATACATGCAGAATACACGCTTCGTCCTCTTGCATCAATACGCATGTTGCAGGCTTCCATTGTTCGGTAGGGGAGTGGCGTCCAAGACTGAGCCAACTGGTTTTCTCTGAAGCAATGGAGTTGGATCGGCCACGGCGAGAATGACGCGTCGCACTCACCCTTGACCCTCCTGGAGGCGGAGTCGGTGGATCTCCTCGAGGATTCGCTGGATTTGTCGAGCTTGTCCTGGCTGCGCTTGTATAGAACGGTTGGCTGTAGCGGGAAGCGGCACACGGTGTTATCTGGAGTGCATCTGAGCTCTGGAGACGCGTCGCACCTTGCGCAACGCCGCAGAGGCCTTTGCGGAGAGGCATACTTCGACATTGACGCGGAATTCCCTACCGGTGGACGAGAGAGTTCCGACGCGAGAGTGGCGGGTGCGAGGTGGACGGCCGCCTGGGAGACATGGAGGAGGACATGGGTATGGGAGTGGGCTACAGAGAGTTAAGCTACAGAAGAGCAGCGGTGCGCGAGGATTTAAGGCAGGCGTTGACCGGAAGCGGCGAGGACGCCTGCGAGAATCGGGGCGATTGGCGCTGCTTGGGTGCCGTAAGAGGCAGACCGCCTGACGGACTGATGGACGGGCAGCGGACGGGTGAGTGCGCGGGTTGCGGGTGAGGGGATATTATAGCGGAGAGCGACGACGCAGAGCAGGCCGGAGCGGGAGGCGCGCGGGCCATGGACTCTTTATTAGCGTGTCCGATCGCCCACAACAACAGATCTGATCGTCCCTCCGCGCCTGCCCCGCCCCCTGCCCGCCGGCCCGCCTCTTCCTGCCCATCGTCCACCTCGTCCTCGGCCTCTCCTGCGCGACCTCATCCTCGTTGTCTGGTGTGGTGGCACGCCCTCTTACCCCACCTTCGTGTCCGGATCAGCGCCTATGATCAGGCCAAATGTCGCCCTCAGCAACCCGCCACTCACGCTCTCTCCTCCGAACGCGCGCACCGCAGACCCGTACGCAGCGATGAAACAACCATCTCCCGCATCAATCCGCTCTAATTAGACCGCTCGACAGCGAAGACCCTGCGCCGCATCAAGGGTATTCACTGTCGGTGCGAGCACTGGACGCCACATTTCGACCGCACTACGTTAGGCTACAGGCATCACACGCCGGGCGCGGGACTCGCGGCTGCGCCTTCCGGCTGCTGACACTGATGCTAATGGAGGCAGGGACTGACGGATAGGAGTTTTAGGAGATGTAGGTGTGACCGCCATATGAAGTCATGGAGCGCACACTTCAGCCGATAGGTTGGCCTCCCGATATGTGTATCAGGTACCGCACTGCGTTCGGGACGGGTCATGTCCCGCTCTCACTGCAAGGTGAGCCAAAAACCCCGCGTAGGGGATAGTCCTACTGCTGCGCACTGCGATGCAATATTGCGAGACCCTTGAGGGTAAGTGTGATAGCCATCAAGTACCCTGGATACTCTCAGACTAACTGTAGTTGAAAGGTTCTTAGTACAGTATTCACATCTACTCGATCTGCCCGGCGGCGCCGAGTGAGCGGTACTTCACACTATCTTAGTGATGTGGCATTTACCTCGGAGTCGCGCGACCGTCGATGGGATGCCTGTGTGGCACCGAAACGATACAAATACGCTCCCTTTGGCAGACCACGCTGTCTCAGCCGCACCTGGGCCCTCTCCCGAATGCACGGACTCTACTCTGACTCTTGTCTGAGGCTGCTTCCTGCGACTCTAGGCCTCGCGCTGCCTTCACTAGTGGCGATGGATCCTTCAACTTGCGATCACACTACACAGACAGACGTTTCAGCCACTGGACACTCCGTGCATCTCACACACTTCTTTACACTGTTCTAGGCCTCCGGCGCACACTAGACTTCCATCCACCGAAAGAAATTTGTCGGAGTCCATTGTCAGCAATCATATATGTCTCCAAGCTTGCATCTCAGCTCCTCCCTGGTTATTACAACAGCGAAACCAAGACAATCCGCTACTCTCCTGCTTGACCGTTGACTCCGCGCTCTTGATCCGGAGCCGATGCTCGCCTGACAGTGTTGGCTTCCTGTCAGGGCGGCAACGCTGAGGCGTATAGGCTCAAGGACAACCCGTGCGCCAATTGGCATCCTGTCAAGTCACCTCAACCCAGGTTTCTACTGCTATCAGTGGCAGATCGTCACGCGTGGTTTGGCCTGAACGCTGCGAATACCTTTCGTTGGATCATGGCTCGGACTCCTTGCTGTAGCTTTGATCTCTTGGCTGGGATCATCCTACTGATCACCGCGCCAAGCTTGAAGCTCCAGCCCAGGTTCCACTCTCATCCTCCGAGTCGTATACTCTCCCACCCCCGGTTCAGTCCAGACTCACCGATCCACTGCTAGACCAGACATCAACACATCGGCTCAGGTACGGCCCGGGTCGACAGACTTCCACTGCCATGATATGACTAAAACTGATCCAGTGGCTCGTTTCGTGGTGGATCCTCGCAACCGCGATCGTCGCCCGCCCCCTCTCGAGTTTGCGATGCCCTGCGTCTAAGGTCTGTCAGCGACCAATACATATCACTGTCGCCTATCCGAGGTCGTCGGACCCGATAGCGTTGCGGCGTGGCAGCAGAATACGAAGATGCCGTCCGACACAGAGGCCAGTCGCCTTGTGGCTTTCGATAGGTTCGTACCTCGATGCCTCATGTGCATGCTGAGGTGGGGGTTGCTAAACCGTTTGCCTCGACCCTCCGCTTCTGCCAACGTAATACAAGCTCGGAAGTTGGAACAGACTCGCAGCGACACCTCATTGCAGTGAGTCATCACCAGCTCTGGCACCGACCGTCGCACTTACGATCAACGTAACGATCGCAGGCAAGTCGGCCCGTAACCTAGCCAGCCCCGGCCCGGAACGCGGACACACGGACGGATCAGTAGAGTTGGTAGAAGCTCTGTGAGCCCGCACTGAACGGCGATAACGGCTCCTCCGCGCTGCCTAGGCTTTCTGTACGACCCGGATGACGCACGGAGTCGAGGTTCGCGACCAAATCCCACTGAATCAGACACTCGAACCTCGCCAGTCGTAGCGTCCAGACCTAGGAAGCAAGCCTTGCATAATCATATTGTGCGGTGTATATCCATTGTAATATGTATTGATCCATCCTCATCGACATCCCCTGGCCAGCGGCCTCGTAATACACAGCCACGCATCGGCAGCGCGCGGTGGACAACGTGTTGGCCTAAGGAACGCCTCGACGTGCGTCGCGTTCCGCTCGCGTGAATCACTCATGCTACATGTACAAGGGCCGCCACCTCCTGAGCTTACAGACCAGCGACACAAGGAGCCAATCGGACAGTGATCATTGCGTTCCTCCGAGTGCTGCGACGTCGAATTCAGGCCCGGCCAGGAAGTAGAACAGGAAGCAGAACTGAGGACGAATCGCGGGCAATCCCTCCGAAGCCCAGGCCGTCGTCCCGAAGCATCGCTATCATGGCATGACGACATATGTAACAGGCACGTTCGCAAACCCAGGGGATCCTCAAGGCCTCACATGCACACCTTAGACTGACCTTGCCACCCACGTCGAGACGGAGCTAAGTACGGACGGCGAACGCGGACGCATCGCTGAGATGGTTCAGGCAATCGTGTATTTGTGTTCCACCTGCCGTCTTGTATTTCTGCTCCGCATCGTCCACGCCACGCCGCAGACAACCCCGTTGAATCTAGCTACCTACTATACGATTTAAGTGAAGCCAAGAGAGAACACTGAACCAACCCATGGCCCGGACCCCCGCCCCCCGGCAGCGCAGCGAGTCCACACCACGAACCCATCGCAGAAAGAATAAACGGCTGTACATTAAGGAGAAAGCGAATAATGGACAGACAATGTCAATGTGAGTATGTATGTACGTGAGCCGAAGGGTATCGAAGTGAAAGGGAAAGGAGGGGCTGTCGGCTTTCGTTGGGTCTTCGTGAGGTTTTGGTTTGGTGTGGTGCGCGCCGGAGGGTGGTTGCCACGCGTGCGAGGAGTTCCACCTAGAGCGCGGATGACCCCTTTACTCCAACTTGTGGCTGAGGAGTGCGTCAGATGGACATCCTGGGGCGCAAGGCAGCTTCATGACGTACCCATGACCGTTGGCGACGCCATTGCCGTTTGCAATAGGCTTGCCATTTGCCATGGGGGCCTTGCCCTTGACAGGCTTCTTGTACGTGTTGATGTAGAACTGGATAAACAACACCAGGTAGCTGGACAGAAGCGCGCAGCCGAAAACTGCAGCGGATTCCGTGCCGGCACAGCTGCCGAAACTGGGGAGGTTCGGGAAGTAGTTAGCGGTGTAGTAAGAGTATGCTGGAAACGGCATTAGTCTCGAAGGTGTGAAGCATGTTCACCGGGCGAGGAGCACGTACTTGCAAAATACACGGCAAACAGATCGATAACAAATTGTACGATTTGCATAGTCGTCAAATACTTCTTCCACTGCAAGGAGAATCAGCGCATGAATGACCGCAGCGCGCACGTTGACATACCCATATCTTGGCACCACCAGCGGTCGCATAGTAGTAATAGTCTGCACCAAAGTTAGTACGCAATGACCGCAGTTCTCCAAGCGCTGGCTTACACATTAGGACATGGACGGACAGATTAATCGTGATGGGAATCCATTGCTGTACAAACGGAGTTAGGATGAGCGTTGACGGTCGGATCACAGGTTGCCACGTACCACGCTCGTCTTCCCGTTGAGTTGCGTGTAGCATAGCAGAGCCGTTGCGGAGTGGTGGAACACATGCAAGAATGCTGGATGGCGAGTGAGAACCGACGCGTCGACTAGCGCAACTACACACGCACCGAGAGGCTTCTTCTTAAGCGCCAAAAAGACAGTGTCGAGCAGCTCGAGATACTTGAAGTAATAGTTGATAAGATAGAAGAGCTCCAGCCTCTGACGAAGACGAGACATTCAGAACGTGCATGCAACGTGCAGAACAGGGGAATAATCACGTCGGTCCACATGTCGTCATTGCACATCGCCCAGAAGAGGCCGTGTTTCCAGTATAGAGGCGCGACCGCCTCGGCCATGCAGGAGAGCAGGAGCAAGCTGCCCGCGCTGAGGAAGATGTTGTGCGCCTGGAAGAGGGCCTGAAGCTTCATTGGCGGCCTGTTCTTCATGTACGCCCGGAGGCTGAACACGACCGCGAGGTAGCAGCCGAGGGTGGGGAAGACCTCCTGCGGCGTGGACAAGGGCGTCTTGCCGGGGACATAGCCCTGGAGGTGGGGCGGGAGCGACCAGGGGATAACGCTGGCGAGGAAGTCTGCGACGGGAGCCATGGGACAGAAGGACCGAGGGGGGAAGACGAACGAGGGGACGGGTGGGTTGGATTTATGGCCGACGACGGCTTCGACGTGGTCGCTGCTGGCACGAGCGCGTGCTTTTGCAAAATTCGATCCCCGAGCCCGGGCGGTCTCCCAGGCCTCGGTCCCTGTTGCGTTATACGCGTCCGTCCCGTGCGCCTGCTGCTCGGCGACGCCGCACAAGTCGTGCTCGTCGAGGCGACCGCTGGGACTGTATCCTATTCTGCGCGGCCAGAGCGCGGCGTGTTGCAGCCCGAAGCGCGGTTCCGACGCAGCGCGCTGGCTCCGACTCTCAATGGATGTCCGAAAATGGCAACTCGTCTGACGCGTCGAGCGATATTGGCCTAATCTCGATATGTCCTCACGCAGGCAGAGTCTGGCGGACGGTCAGATTTACGGTCCCAACTTTGGCGTGTAGAAGTGCATCGCAGTAGAAGGTCTATTGGTATTTACTCGACCACTCCACGAGCAGGTGCAAGAAAACATATCATTGAAAGCGACAGAGGTACCATAAAGATATTCCACAGTAAGAGACCAGGATGACATGCAGCAGGAACGGTAATGATACATCCGGTAATAAGGAACCACGACCCAGGAGACGGGAAGAACCGTTGCTGAATGCTACAATACTATGTGATGATGAGAGCAAGTCCGTCCTGAAGATCAGCGAGTAAGGCTTTCTCGCTGCATGGATTCGTGAGTACAGAAGGCGCGATCGAGGCATGCCAACCACATACCGGCATTCAAAGTGAGCTTTTTCAACGGCTGCCACTGCCGCTGCTTTCATGCGACCTGCGTCAAGCCCCGTGGGCAGTGCGCAGATGAGGCAGAGGTGACAATTGGAGGGCTGTAACCTATATGACGCAGGGATCTATCGCAAAGGCCAATTAGGATTGACGACCTGCGGAAACGCAACCGACACATACCCCAGAGGCCCTGAGCGTCTCGACAAGGTTGTGGACAAATAGGAGGGAACGTGTGCGAAGATCGTGCAAGTCATACAGGTCATAACCTATCATGCCATTGGGTCAGCGGTCGGAACACGATTCAAGGGCCAATAGGAGAACGCACAAGACGACGACGGACATGCGGTCGGAATGGTGCAGTGCAACCGCACGGAATGACCGGACTTGCGGATCAATCTAACAGGAAGGCTCGGCGACCATGGTAGGAATGTGAAGAAGTAGGACATACTGGGCAAACGGCTCGAGGGCATCTTGAAGATCACCGAGCTTCGTGGACAGAAACTTCGTCAATATCACTCTGTACATACTCGCCGCTCGAACGCCTCACCTCGTTGAGCTCCACATCCTGCGGTTCGTGGTTGTCGACGTGGAGAGGCAGATGATCGGGAGAGCTGAGAGCAGGCTGGTGAGCGGGCTGGGGCATAACGGACATCATCTTGGCTTCAGGACGTGTTAGAGGAGGACGACCGACGGTTGGAGGGGAAGTGGTAGCCCTTAGAGAGCGCCGGACATGGCTGGCTTGATGTGGGTTTATGTAGAGACGTCTGGAGACCTCGTTGCATCTTCACGGAGGATACCGGGATCTGGGATGTGTACACGGGACTGATCGGTCCATGGCCACGCCCCAGGCCAAGTGTCATTGTCAAGTTCGCTGCCTCGATTTGTTCTCGCCGCTCGGTTGTCACCTGCTGTGGGAGAGACACGTCGGGATCGTCAGGTGCCGGTCCGGTAGCGCTTGCCACATCCCTCAAGCGGGTTTGGGCCCTCTGCTAATTTCGAAACCCACCAGCCTCGTCTGTGTTCCAGAGTAGCGGAGACTCGGAGAGGGGATCGCGTTGCGTATGCGATGCGGGGCCTTGCGGGGCAAAGTGCGGGGGAATCCCATCACCCGCGAGTTCTCATTCGCATTCTGTACCGAAAACTAGTGCAATCGCGTCAAATACTTGTCGGGCTGTGCTATCTCGACACCACTGTGTCTCGCCATACAGTTTTCAGGGCATACCAATTCTGCAGCGGCCCGGATCTAGGCTTGACGGTCGCTGAAGGCGTTAGGAAAGACAGATCGCGGGGAATACCAAATACCCAGCCACAACGCCATGGGGCCGACGCGGGGTCAGGACTCACCGAGTCGATAGGCTGTGGATGTCCCGACGCTGGCGTCTGACCCCCGAGTGAATGGACCAGAGCGCAAGTTCCATCCGGGAGACTACTTCGACAGGTTGCGGTGCTCGATGCGGACCAGGAACGACGCTCCTGTGCATTGCCACAATCGCGCCAAAAGGGGCGCGTAAGTCACCTGACATGATCCCATTTCGGCAACATGACGCAGCGGCAGCGCGAAAGCGCGTTCCATCATCATCGCGCACATACTGCGCTCGACATCGCTCGCCGCGTCCTCGAACCATACGACCTGAAAATTTCCTAGACACAACTGCGACGACATCTGGCGGATAGTTCTCCAGGATGTGGTGGTCCGACCCCGCCAAGGAGGTCCTGAACATCGTACGTCTTCGAAGGGGAGGCCTTTGCGGCGTGCTGATGGCTCCATGTATTGCAGGTGTTCAACCGCGTCCTCGCTCCATATGTCGAGAACTTGGACATGGGCCAAGTTAACTATGGAATTGGACAAGGTGCGAGCATACACATACCACCTTAGGGAACGCAGCAGACCGATCTCCTCCCGCAGGTCGCGTTACACTCAGCAACCTTCGGTTGAAGAAGGGTGCTCTGGACAAATTTCGGTTGCCCGTGGATGTAATTGAAGGTCATATCACACGCTGCTGAGGTTGCCAGGCTACTGATGCTCATGTTCTGTCTTCAGGGCACCTCGGGAAGTTCACGCTGTCCCTGCATTGGATGAATCTAGGAAACCAGCCGGTGGAGGTTCTCGTCGAAGACGTGTACCTCCTCGTGGTACCTTCAGCCGAGTCTACATACAATCCTGCCGAAGAAGAGTCGAGGAAGCAAGCTGCGAAGATGGAGCGGATAGAGAACGCTGAACTGCTGCATGTCCGGGGAAAGTCGGATGTCTCGCAAGGCGAGTAATTATACGTAATGTATTGCACATTGCACTGACGACAGACCATCCAGACTCGCAACAGTCCGAGGGGCTGATCTCGTCGCTCATTACGAAGATTATAAACAACCTGCAGGTGTCCGTGAAGAACATCCACATTCGATATGAGGACAAGATGAGCGTTCCGGGGGTAGGGACACCCCATTTCGTTAACTCCTGACTCCCTCACAATTTTTGTCCAGCATCCTTTTGCCGCCGGTGCTACTTTGGCAGGGTTCACTGCCGCTTCGGTCAATGAGAAATGGCAACCAGCGTTCATAGACAGCAAAGCTGGTACCATTCACAAAGTGAGTAACCTACGGCAGATGTCCCTCGAACATCAGAGTTCATCGCATATTTCCAATAGTTGTCGAAGCTGGAATCTCTGGCGGTCTACTTCGACACCGACGCAGAGAGCATGGCCGGACTGTCGCACGCGGAGTTCATCAAGAAGTTCACGGAACAAGTGTGTACCTTGGTTTCGTTGCCAAACTCATGACTGACATGGTCATGAGTAGATCTCACGCGGAGACTACCTCCAGATCATCAATACATACTCAAGCCCGTCACCGGGGAGGGCAGAGTGCGTAGTTTATGCTGTTGGAGTCTGCCGTTATTCACTCAGCTTCTTCAATATCCGGGCGTAGATTACAATGAACCGCACGCTCGACAAGGAAACACCTAAATTCGACGTTCAGTTGCTCTTCGATGAGATCGGTGTCATATTAGATGACAACCAGTATCGGGACGCGATCTCGTTGGTCGACATGTACCATTTCTATATGCGGCAGCACCAAGTACGTTTTAGAACCTGCATGCCCGATTCGATACTGATCCATTTATGCCATACTTAGTATCAGAAGTATCGCCCCCCCGCGGATGAGCTGAACAAGAACCGTCCGAGAGCGCTATTGCAATTTGCTGGCAAGGCTATTCTCGACGAGGTACAGGAGCGAAGAAGACGATGGACTTGGGTATATTTTGCCGAGCGGCGTGATGAACGACATCGTTACGTTGAGCTGTTCAAGAAGCGGCAGAACAATACCCTCGTCGACGGGGTGAGACTTGATTGCGACAAATTATATAGCAATAGTCGCTCACCTCTATCATTGTACAGGAGACACGGGAGCTGGATGCACTCGAGAAGAAGCTGTCGTACGAAGACATCCGGTTCTACCGGTCCATTGCGCGTTCGCAGCTTCGGAAGGACATGGCCTCGAGGCGGAAGATCGAGGAAGAGAAGAAGCAGCAAGCACCAGCGCAAACCAGCTGGTCAAGCTGGATCTGGGGCTCCTCGGGCTCGAGCTCGGGCGGGACTGCAGAAGCTCCGGCCGAGGATTCCGCATTTACTGGTGAGATGACGGAGGAGCAGCGAAAGCAGCTCTACGAGGCCCTGGACTATGACGAGAAGACGGCTGTGGCCGAATCCTTCGAGACCCCACGAGACGCTCTGAAGGCCCGCGTCCTTGCGCAGCTGAACCGGGGTTCTTTCGCTCTCAAGAGGGACCCGCATGGCGCGAATACGGAGATCATCTCCATAGTCTCTGACGTGTTTCAGGCGACGTTTGTTCAGCGGCCGGACAACTTTGAGACATCTGTTTCCTTGAGCGGATTCGCTGTGTACGATGGAACGTCGAAGGACACGCTGTACAAGCAGATCGTGCATGTACAGGAGCGACGAAACAACGGCAGTGGCGTTGTGAAGACTCAGGTCGTCGAAGGCGCAGGCGAGATCACGGACATGGTTGATCCGTTCTTTTACTTGAAATTCGAGAACAATCCCCTTGATGAGCGGGCGGACAACGCGTTGGAGGTCAAGATGCGTTACATGGAGATTGTGTACCATAGAGGCTATGTGGAGGCTATCTACAGGTTCTTCAAACCCCCTGCGAGCCAACTTGAGTCCGTTGAAGCACTTTTGGTAGGACTTTTCATCTATGCGCGGCAACATCATTCTCATATTAGTGTAGGATGTAGCAAGTCAGACGCTCGAGGGTCTGCGCAAGGAGACGCGTGCTGGGCTTGAGTATGCGCTGCAGACCCACAAGACGGTCGACGTCCATATGGACCTGAATGCGCCAATCATCATTGTCCCGAAGAGTACGTGTGCGATTATCTGACATAGACATTGCTCAAGTCATCTTTATAGCATTACGACGAACAAGTGCAGGCACCTGCTGGTCGACGCCGGCCACATCTCTGTCGTAAGCCAGCTAGGCAACAAGGAAGCGATCAAGGAGATCCAGTCGAAGCGCAAGCTGACTACACGGACGAGGATTATCAGCGCCTGGAATCTATGATGTACGACAAGCTGTCCGTGAGACTGAAGGATGCACAGGTATGCTAAATGTCACCGATTATGTGATCGCTCATGTTTTCATAGTTTCTACTTGGCAATGACCTGCAATCGTGTATGGATGCGCTGTCATCTGAGCGCAGCGATCAACTACACTTACTGGAGCGCATCACTCTCGATTTGCAAGTGCAGAATTCCATTGTGCCGACCGCGTATAATCTGGCACGGTTCAAGATCTCTGGACACCTGCCGAGCTTGCAGGTCAACCTCTCAGACACCAAGTACAAGTCCCTCATGCGCCTGGTTGACGTATCGGTGCCACACTTCGACGACAATGAGAGTACTACGAGTCACCCCACTGTATCCAGCGGCGAATACCTTAAGCTTCCGTCGGGCTTCTTCGGCGCATCTGAGGAAGCGGAGTATAACGTGGACGATGTCGAAGATGGGTCAAGCGAAGCCCATCGCCGAAGGACGAACATGAAGATCATGACGAGGAATTCTTCGATGCCGCTGCTGGCGTACCTACCGTGAGTTGTTGTGCGCATATCTCAACCACGCGTTGCTCATTAAGCCCTCAGAATCCCGCACTGCATCAACACGTCGTGGAATTCGACTTCACCGTGGATGTCCTCAGAGCTTGTCTTTCGAGGTCTGGCGCGGATGGCGCCGAGAAAGCGATGGGAGACGTGAGCTTTTCCCAGTTCGGATTGGTCTTCTCCATGGCGAAACATGTCATGACTGTGGACGTCCACTTGAGGTATGTCTCATGGTTGGGACAAGGGAAGCTTCTCTGACGCGTCTCCAGCTCTATATCAATGAACGTCTTCCAGAGTGGCAAAAGCCGTTGGAGTGTATCTCCTCGACGGGGAGGCACAGACGGCGATCTCCTGGTGGTCAAATATGTCCGGTAGACCGCCAGTCCCCGGAATACGTGCCTCTGTACAGCGGTATCGATCAAACCGTCGATATCACAACGTCGACATTCGTCTTTCGCGCTGCGCCGGAGCCGTCATATCGCTCTACGAGTTCATCATGACGACGTTTGTCCCGGAGAAACGCGTTGATGCGGCACCTTCCCCTGTCGGCTCGCCCCAAATGACGATGAGTTGCCGATCAGCAAGCTACGGGTAGTCCGTCCGATAAGATCAATGTCTCATTAAAACTGGCGAGTGTGCAGGGTGAGTACTTCTGTATAGACTTCCTGAGCCACCAGACTAAAGCGACTGAAAGTGTATCTAATCAACAATGACGTCAAACTTGCAACGCTGTCTCTCTCCACCGCTGATGTGTCTATCTCGTTGCGTGCGAATACTATGCATATCGGCGGTAGACTCGGCAGTCTCGACCTACATGACGATTCTGAGTTGACGACATTCTCTCCGGCGTTCAAGCAAATACTCTCCATCGAAGGGGACAACTTCGCCAACTTCCAGTACCAGACGTTCGATCCGAATGACCAGGACACCTACACTGGCATCAAATCAGCGTTCTATCTCAACACAGGATCACTGAAGCTGCATTACCTGGAGCAACCTCTTCATGATATCTATCTGTTCATCACCAAGTTGGCGAAGCTCAAGGGGTTGTATGACGCTGCGGCAGAAGTAGCTGTTCAGCGAGCTTCGGAGATTGAAAGGATGCAGTTCGATGTGACCATCAAAAGTCCCATCGTAGTTTTCCCTTTCAATCCTGAGCGTTCCCTGGACATGCTCACTCTCCGACTTGGAGAACTCAATGCTCGCAACAACTATGAGGGGTCCGCGAGTCGCATCACCGCTAGTCTGCGCGGCGTGCAGTTGGCATCGAAGACCTACAATGAGAGGCACCAGTCGTCAATCCTCAAGATCGTTGATGACATTGACATGACCGCAAATATCGTCCAGAGCGACGGCATCGATCGTGCAGCAGACCTCAATCACCCAGATACTCAAGTAGATTTCCTATACATGAAAAGCTGGCATGAGCGCTCACACGTTCTACAGGTCGCCATCAAGATTTCGGACGTCCGCCTTCACTTGACCCAACTACAATGCAAGCTCCTGATTGACTTGGCGCAGTCCATCCCGCGGGTTCTGGCTGGTGCACCAGAAGGCTCGGCGGAGGCAAGTCAATCATCTGCTGTTTCTGTACAGTCTCAAGATCGGCTTGCTTCTCCGTCTCCCCCTTCGGTCGATCTCCAACCCGAGCTTCGAGTAGTTCAGCACCCTGACGACGCGAAAGTCTGGACTGCTCTTGATGTCTTGCTCACGATTGGTGCTGTGAAGCTGCATCTCTATGACGAAGAAGCTACTACCGAGGCGAACATCAAGGAGCACGGGATCGCCAGATTTGCTCTGAATGAGAACAGTCTGAGGACAAAAGTCCTCTCCGATGGTGCCATCGAAGCCCAGGTCATATTCAAGTCCTTGACAATGAACAACACTCGCCCTGGAAACTCCAAGTTCCGCGAAATAATGCCCGCTGCAGAGCACGACCGCAATCAAGTCATGGTTCTCTATACCAAGTCAGGCGGCAATGGGTCGGCTCTAGCGATACTCACGGTCGATTCTCCTAGGATAATCTTCGCTGTTGATCCTATCATCGCATTACTGGACTTCTTCACCAGTGCTATGTCCCGCGTCACTGCTGTCGACGACGACGGCGATGACCGGGGAGACGAGGCGGCCTCCGCGCCGTCGCAGCTAGACTTCAGACTAGATCTCCATGCCGCTTCTGTGAGCGTTCTGCAGAATGACTCTGACTCAGAGACGCAAGCCATTCGCTTGACGGTCAAGCAGGTGCAATTATCGCAACAGGTATGGTGTACCGTCTGCATTCGTGCTGTCGTACTTACAGATGACGCAGGGTATCCTCGCTCTTAGGATTGATCATCTAGGAATGTCGCTCATGCGCATGGGTGCCGACGCTTCTGACAGTGTTCGGTTCATGGACGATGTGGACTTGACACTGTCTCTGGACAGTCGGTCTAGCTCGTCGCAACGTTCTACTAGTTTGGATGTTTCCGTGAAACCGATTGTGTTTCGTGCGTCATACCGGGACTTGAATCTGATCACGACCATTGTCAACAGAGCTTTGGATCTGTACGGCCAATCAATACAGTCGGTGCCCAAAGACACGTCCACCACCCCACAATCCAACTTCGGATCCACCGAACGTCCTACAGCATTATCAACTCGCCGTGTGTCCAAGCATACACGCGAAGAATGGGACTCCGTGGGACACGCTCGCGTTGTTGTTTCCCAGGAACAGGCAGGTGCATTGATCAGCTCATCTGCATGTTAATCAATACTTGGCAACGCAGTTCCGAGGTTCGTTCGACGGCCTTCGCCTGGTCTTGATCGGAGACCTCCACGAGCAGCCTTTACTCCATGTCAAGGTCAAACCTTTCATATTGGGTGCGAAAGATTGGTCAGGAGAGGTACGTCAAATGCATATATGCTGGCTAAACTCTCCTCAACTCTGACTGTTCAGCTGCGAGCTACGTCTACTCTTGCTCTACACGTGAGCTACTGGAATATGACGAATTCGCACTGGGAGCCGCGTTAGTCTTCTCTGTTTTCAAACTCACTTACCCATTAATTGAAGTCACTGACAGTCATTGATCCTTGGACGTTCTCGACTTCGGTAAAGTTTCCGTCGCGTGCAATCGTCAGCGTACTCACACCTCGCAGGTTGCTAGGAACAATACGTCGGGTGCATTGACCCTCAACGTCTCCGCCCGTGAACGCTTGGATGTAAACATCACGACGATGTTCATCGAGCTAGCTCTTGCGACGATCAGATTGCTCGGGCAAGAAGGCGACAACGTGCTTCGCAAGGCTCGAGGCAGCTACGCTCCTTATCGAATACACAACCGCACAGGGTCCTCCATCTTCGTCTGGTCTGACTTGGACGGCAGCAGTCAACTCAAAGACACTACGTCAAACAGATTGCGAATGGCAAGATAATTGATTGGCGATTTGACGACTGGAAGACTATACGCGAGGTATGTAGCGCAAGCACTGCTTGGGAGATTATCTTACCCATAGGTAACAATCTTTCAGCACGTCACTTCCAGCGGGAATAACAGTATCGGTCTGCAATTCGTGGGCAAGCCCTGGGAACAACTTCGCAGCATTCCCGTTGACAGAGAGGGCGAATATACTTTCTCCTTGAGGCCGAGGACCGACAAGTTTGCCTATCGCTTGCTAGCTGAAGTCCGTGTGCAAGAGAATGCAAAGGTAGTCACATTGAGATCGGTGTACAACGTCGCCAACGATACGCTGTATCCCTTGGAGTTGACACTGGTGGATGAATCCGGCCAACCCATGCACCCGGTCGAGAAGATTGGTATATTGTCTTGCCTCGAACTCGAACTCTGCTATGTAATGATCATGTTGTTGCAGCACCTGGTCAAGACTTCGCCGTCCCCATCGAGGCTGTCAACAAAGGCAGGATCCGTGTCCAGCCGGACCGTAAGTTTGCATTGGATAAACGGCCGTTTTTAAAGCTGAACTTTCCTACTAGAGGGTTTTGGTTACAAATGGTCCCCTGCTACCCGATGGGAAGACCTGGTTTCCAAACGCAAACTGAATCTGAAATGTCCTCACAGTGAACCGACTGAAGCTGCATTCCGCTTCCAAACCTGGGTAGAAACCGACGCGACCGAAATGAGCCCTCGGTACGCAGACGGCGACAACACATTCGTCCGGACTAACAGCGACCATAGAAAGATACCACGGATCACAGTCAAGCTGCGGGCCCCATCGAGTTGGAAAATCTGCTGCCGTACAACCTCGACTACCGCATCTATGACAAGGACACTGATCAGAACTGGCGAAGCTACTTACGCAAAGGAGGCGTGATGCCTGTGCACTCGGTTGAGCTAGGGCACTTGATTCTTCTCAATGTTCACATCCAAGATACACGTAAGGTCAAGTCATCTGCAGCACTGGACAACTGACAGAACAGCGTGTCGTGGCAGCCTTCAAGCAAAGCGAGTTTGCCATCATCAATACAGATGGGAACTCTGACTTCGACGTGGAAAACCGTCTCGTACTCAGAGACTCGATGGATCGCAAGCTTGACTTGAGATTGAACTACGTGTAAGTCGCGTCATCTTCTGCAGCGCTGACGCTGAATTCATTGTCACGAAGGCGTCATCCAGATGGGGGAGGCTCCTTCAAGGTGCAGATCTACTGTCCATACCTCCTAGTCAACAAGACTTCGTTGCCTTTTGCTGTGAGACCTGGAAGATCAAGTCGTATATCCAGTGCACAAGATATGGCAGGCGAAACTAGAGCCGGTACGTTCACATCGCTGGACTCACTCGAGGCAACCTCATAAATCTTCTCAATGCAGATGTGTTGTCGAAACCCGTACCATTCAGTGAGATGCTATTGCATTCACGCATACACGAACGTACTGACCACGTATGGCAGTGTTGTCACATCCAAGCGATCAAGGGAAAGATTTCGCCTTCAAGGTCGGTGATTCAACGTGGTCTCAAGTGAGTAGGAGCAGTATTATTTCCAATCCATGACTGAAGTCTACCTTAGGTGGTAGCTCTCGAAGCGCCTGCGGCAGACACGAGGCTTGTCATCCCGTCTCAAAGTCGGAAGTCGGAAGAGATCCAAGTCGGCCTTTCGTGGTCAGAAGGTGTCGGCAAGTACAAGCTAACGAAGGTCATTGTCCTAAGTCCACGGTTCATCATCAAAAATAACAGTCCAGAGGCGATCGCTTTCCGCGAACACGGCGTCGCGCCTAGAGGAAAGTACGAGCTGAATTCCGGAGAGCGCTGTCCTCTGCATTTCATTCGTTCTACCGATGAGAAGCTCTCACCGTGGCATACCCTGGTCTGAATGCGCAATGGTACTTCTATGGACTTCATCATCTTCGTGGTCTGCTAATCGATGCTCCAGGTCCGCCCCAATCAATATGGAGGACATCGGCTCCATGCATTTCCGTTTGCAGAAGCCTGGGGGAGTATCAACCCTGATGCGCACGGATGTGCGAATGAATGGGTCCAGTATCTTCATCTTCATCACCGACGCATCCGAGGGCTGGCCTTTCACGATCGAGAATGACAGTGATTTCGACTTCACGTTCTCTCAGACGGTGCGTGCCCAGGTTTCTGACTACTCCCTCCTGCTGACATGTGCACAGGATCAGACACGGACCGGACAGGAGCCCGCCACGAAGACCTATCCAACTTACACGGTGCCGCGAAAATCAAGCGTTGACTATGCATGGGATTTCCCTGCCGCAAGGGACAAGAAAATCATTCTTGCCGTCAATGATCATCGCCGTGCTGTCGACATCATGGAATTGGCGACCTTGTGCCTTTCCGCTTCAAAGTGGGTGCGGGTGTGTCATATCCCACGAAACCGTTCATAGGGATTCTTCGTAGGATCGTCAAGCTGTGCGCGCAGTGTCGCTCGATGTTCGGGCTGATGGCCATAAGCAAGTCCTACGGGTCACCAACTACAATCCAGCGCAAAGTCTCTACCGCCCGAAGCGCAGTAATTCGGTGGCTCTCACCAGACAGGACACAATGAGCAGTAGTCAAGATGTCTTCGAGGCGGTGCAAGAAGAAGTGCAACCATCTTTACTTGTGGCGCTGGATTTTGAGGGTATTGGAGTCTCACTCATCAACAGGAAGATGACGGAAGTTGTCTATGTCTCGACTAACGCTCTCAAGTTCGAGTACGCAGATAGCGCGGTCTCTCAGTCCGTCAATCTGTCTTGCGGCAGTCTCCAGATCGACAACCAGCTGCATGACGCTCTCTTCCCCGTTGTCCTCCAACCAACGCCCATATCCAAAGAATCGGTCGGTGTTGCGTCGCTACCAACGATCCAGGGCTCGATGATCTGGCTGAAAGACCAACGTAGGTTGAGTTAGTGCTTTGGGAGCAAGGGCTCATTTGGACCCTGCAGAGCATGGTGTCTTCTTCGTCAAGTACTGTTCCATTCTGCTACAAGCCCTCACCATAGAGGCCGATGAAGACTTTCTATATGCGTTGTATGATCTTACCCAGATCAAGGGCGCGTCTTGGGACCAGGGTCAAGAAGAGTAAGTGACGATGTGACGGGTATTCTAATTGTTCTCATATATGTCCTAGTGTCCTCATTCCATTCCCCGAGGACATCAAGGAGCCCGATCTCTCTACGACGTCAGGTCAGGACCTGTATTTCGAAGTGTTGGAGTTGCAGCCCATCCGACTGGCTATATCCTTCATGCGCACTGAACGTCTGAACTCCGAGGACAAGTGAGTTGACATTGATGCATGATTCCATCATAATTAACTCCTCGTAGTCTCAGTATACGAAACCCTTTCGCCGTGGTCATCAATGCCATCACAATGGCTATTGGTAACATTAATGACGCACCGTTGGAGATGAATGCATTGGCAATCAAGGATATGCGCCTGACCCTGCCAGATCTGCAGGGGAGGATAATGCACCACTATCGACAAGAAATCTTACGCCAATTGTATCGCATCCTCGGATCAGCCGACTTCATCGGCAACCCCGTTGGCTTGTTCAACAATGTCAGCTCTGGCGTGGCTGATATCTTCTACGAGCCCTTCAATGGTGCTGTCATGCACGGAAACTCCGAACTAGGTGTTGGTATTGCCAAGGTGAGAAGAGATGATGCCCGTGTAGACGGCTGAATAAGTCAACCGATGCGCAGGGTGCTGCAAGTTTTGTGAAGAAGACTGTCTTTGGGTTCTCGGATAGTATGACCAAGTTCACGAGTAGCGTTGGCAAAGGTAATCTTAGCCTTGCAGTCATTGGAGGCTACTAACTCGCCTTAGGACTTTCTGCCACCACGTTCGACCCCGAGTATCAGCTACGTCGACGAATGAACCAGAGACGAAATCGGCCTCGTCATGCGATGTGAGTCGTTCCCTCACCGTTCTGCACAAAGTTGTTGAGTCTCTCCATTAGCTATGGCGTAACTTCTGGGGCGGAAGCATTTGCGAGCAGTGTAGCTAGTGGCATGGAGGGTGTTCTGGTAAGTGAACGAGACAGGAAGAAGCAGCCCGCTATTCACACCAGTCACCAGCTGAAGCCGTTGGAGGGCGCAGAATCGGAAGGAGCAGGAGGATTCTTCAAAGGCGTGGGGAAAGGGCTCATCGGGTACGGCCCTTGACTAATGAGTATGGTGCCGAAGTATTGACTACGGGGTCCAGCGCTGTTACGAAGCCAGTCATTGGTGTGTTCGACCTGGTCTCGAACGTCAGTGAAGGTAAGTTATAGTGCCACTATTGAAGCTGGCGGAGTGACTGACACACTACAGGGATTCGGAATACTACGACCGTCTTCGACAATCCAGCCCGAGATCGCGTAAGAATGGTCAGTGTCAGGCTGTATATTCGATAAACTGCGGTACTCAGTCCGAATACAGCCGCGTCTCGTACCTTCTGATGGGGTCCTGGTGGTCAGTAGCAAGCATTTACTCAGTATCGTGATCTAATCACTGCTCTCTCTAGCCGTATTCCGAGCGAGAGGCCCTTGGCCAGTATTGGTTGAAGGACCTGAACAACGGAGCCTATCGACAGGAACCCTATGTAGCGCACATGAGTATGCCTCGCAATCGCGTGCAACGTTACTATCACTCACCTGTCTTTTGAAACAGATCTTCCTGGCAGCGACAATGTCGTGTTGTTGACAACGACAAGAGTACTGTCGTTCTGGTCGAACAAACTCCGGTTGGATTGGGAATTGCCTTTCACATTCGTCCAAGGCGTGACAATTGAAGACACCGGCATTCGATTTGCTCATAAGTCGGGTAAGGATCACGACAAGTTTGTCTTTATCCCGGACAAAAATTCGCAGTCATGGTTTTTCGGACAAGTTGCCACAGTAGTGAAGGCGTTCAACGCCAGGAGGCGAATGGACTCGTAGACGCACCGCACATCAGTTGTAGAAGAGATCATATACTGTATTGATAGTATCTCGCGAATGTATGTACGCATGACGAGTAACGTATATGAATGTATCGAACCGTGAAGAGTCCCGAGAAAACATAGCGACCGGTATGAGGCAAGAAGGCATCGAGGTAAATGAGTCCGAAGAGGTGACGCGACAGTATGGGACTAGTGCAATGAGCAAATGAAGACAAATTATAATGTGAATGTATAAATAGAGTTGAGCACCACTGGAGCTCAAGAACTGCTGAGAACAGTTGGGCGAGCGGTGATGATAGTCTCCGAGTCTATACTGTTTCTCGCGCCATCGCTACGGATGCCTTGGCCCACAGTACTGGTGCTCGACCCACGTTCTCTGCTCTTGGAATAAGGACTCTTCAGGGCATCGAAAGGAGACTTCTCCGATGCAGTTGGGGTCCCTTGTTCACTGTCGCTGCCGTGTTCAGTCTTGACAGCGTTATCGAGACTGCCGTAGCTGACTCTCGGACTACTCGAGTACGCACTCTGGAAATCGGTGTCTTCGTCGTCCGTGGTAACACTTGTGCCACCGATCGACAGCGAAGGCGTGGTCGGCGTAATCGCGCTGCGTGGTGTGGTGGACACGGTCGCATTCGACACCGTAGACGAGCTCGTCCGCAGAGTCGGAAGCTCGAGAGTCTGTTTAGTGGTGTCACGTTCACTGGAGATCTTCGGTTCGGACGCCTCAGGCTTCTTCTCCCTGGATACCGGTTGGGGTTCTGCACGGAGTGCAGCTCGAGGAGGGGGCGAAGTGAAGTTTCGCTTGCTCGAGCTTCGAGATTGCTGCCCGTACGACCTGGCAGCTTTGCTCGGGCGACGACGAGACCTTGTTGACTCGGACATATCGCTCTCGCTATGGTGGCTCTCCTGGGAACGCCGCTGAACATCTGCAGCCAGGGCAGATTCAAGCTGCAGTGTTTCATGTAAGCACGAGCTCCAGTCGCTACAGTGCAAGTAGACACTGACCTTCCGCTGGATCTCAAGCACCTTCTGAGCGATCTTATCACTCTTCTGACTGATGCCCTCGTCGACAGCGGACATGCCGTCCTGTCCCTGCCGATGGTCCATCTTGGAGAACCGCTTCTTTTTGGGGTCTTCCTCCTCTTCCTCTTCCACCTCAGCCAGAGGTTCAGTGGCAAACCGATGATGGCTCTCAGGCTCCAGAACATCATCGTCGAAAGACTCCGCCAACGTAGAGTCGGTCCCAAACGAGCGGAGGCCCCTGGAACGCGAGTACGCAGGGTAGCCGCTGGGGGCGGACCGCGAGGACATACGGCTGTTTGGACGCGAGCCGCCGTACTCTGAGTCGTCCACGTCTACGTCCACGGCCATGTTCGCGAGGGCACGCTCGATCTGCGCTTCGACCTCGGCGATCATCTCCGCACGCTCCTCCTCCATCTTCTCCATCGCCTGTTGCATCTGCTGCAGCTCAGTGAGGGCCTTGGTATGAGCGTCCTCCGTATCTCTCAGTTCTATACAGTCTGTCAGTGAAACCGGAACAAGGCCGATGAGAGCGATATACGCACGATTCTGAAGCTTCGACTTCTCCACCGCCGTGAGCGTGATGACGCTAGACAGCCGCTTCGTCTCCCTCTGCTCCTTGTTGATCTTCGAGCGGAGCTCGCTTGCCTCCACGCTGAGCTTCTCAGCATACTGCTCGAACGTGACAAACTTCTCTCTCCAGAGGTCGGACTCCGTCATGAGGAAGTTCAGGCGGCGTGACAGTCGCCCGATCTTCGTCTCCAGCTCGTCGCGCGCATCGACGAAGGCCGTCGCTCGCTTGCGAATCGACATCTGGATGTGCTGCTCCGCTTGAGAGAGCCTCGGCGGGGGACGCACGGAGCCGAAGGAACTGATCCGCTTCAGTAATGATGGTCTCTTCATCTGCGCAGTCCATTGCACATCGTCAGAAATAGCGCGAAGGGCGGCGATGCATCGCACACCACCTTGTCTGCCAGGACGCTGTCAAACGCCTGGATGATGCGGGTGGAATGCCACCATTCCGGAGGCTTGACCATGTCCGCCACGGCGGTCGAGGCTGCGCCCCTCTTCGCCTGGATCTTGCAGACAGGCCTGAACCGGCCTGCAGGGAACGCCTCCTTGAACTCACTGCATACACCACGTCAGCACATACCCTTCTCACGTAATGTCATCTACGCACCTCGGAACGCAGTGATCAGGGTGGTAATGAGGCTCGAACGCAGCAAGCAAGCGTTGGCGGTACCTATCACGCTGCTGTTTCGTCGAGACTGTGCCGGACGGCGGCGCGGGGCAGTTGAGATAGTTGATGTCCAGATCCACGACGCACACCTCTGGCGGTGGGCGCACGCAGTAGCGCGCCTCCGTCGCGAGGCCGATAATCCACGGGCCGGGGTCGTCGACGTAGATCTTCGCGTCGCGCGAGTGCACCGTCGCGAGTGCGACACCGCTCCAACCGCGCAGCTCGACGAGGTACTTGATCGTGTGCACGGCAATGCCCAGGATTGCGGGGTGCCGCGAGAAGAAGAGGATCCTGCCCGTGGGCGCGAGGGCGATCTGTATGGCGGTCGATCAGTCAAAATTAATACACGCTGTGCAAGGTTGGCGACATAAGGCTACGCACCTCACAGATGGTAAGGATGTTGTCGATGTTCAGACACTTGAATAGCGGCCACATGGTGAAGTTGACGTCGACCAAGCCTCGGCCAAAGTCCAATCCGCCAGGGAAACGCGCGACTACCTCTAGATTCGTCTCTGTGCTGGAACTGCTCGCCGACGCGGAGGCATCGAGACGCACGAGCTCGCCTGCACGAGGCGCAGGATGCGAGAGGATCTTGCTGATCTGCAGAGTATGTGACTGCACATCCTTGGAGAAGCGCGCCCAAGACAGCGTCAGGTAGTCGCGCATGAGATCATAGATGGGGAACCGCGAGACGAGAGCTGTTCAATCGCACACTCAGCACTCCACTGGCGTCGAAAAGTAACGTTAACACTTACTGAGCGCGTACGGCAACCAAAACACCGTATCACCGGGCAAGAATAGTGTGCTCTCACCAGGGCCATGGCCCACCGTACTCGCGACCTCAAACTCGCTCTCACTAACCCCCTCGCCCTCCCCGTCTGTGTCCACATCCACGTCGGTTTCCGCGTCCGTGCCTGCGCCCCACGGCCCACGGGCACTCATCCGCGCACGGCGGCGCGCCTGCGTAGTGGGGTCCACATGGCTGCTCGCATCGCTCCCGTGCCTATGGCCCTTCACACGCGCAAGGCTGCTCTGCCCGCTCTCCTTCCGCGGCCGACTCGCCTCGAGCGTACGGCGGATGGCCGCGGTGCGCTCGGCGTCGGCGTGGGACCAGACGGTGAGGCAAACACCATGGTAGGTGATCTGGTTCGACGTCGGCTTTGCGCCCTGGCCGAGGTCTGCGCTGCCACCGTGCCCCTGCGAGGAGAACCCAGAGGGGCCCAGAAACGCGGAGGACGGGCGTGCGGAACGGAAAGGGTCGTCACCATAGGCGTAGGGAAATGAGAGGATGGAGGCGCGTGGGTCCGAGTTGGCGGTCATCACGGACGCGCGGAGAAGGTCCGTCGAGGGCGTGGGCGCGAGCGGTGTCGCGGGGGCGGGGAGTGTGTACGTGAACGTGTGCACAGTCGACGCAGGTTGCAGAGTCGATGCGATGATCTCGACTTCGCGCGGGAAGGAGAGCTGTCAAAATCAAACAAGGGCGGGGCAACACGCAGATCGTCAGTTGGCCCGTTGGCATGATGCAGAGATGGAAGGAGGCACCTTCAACGCCTTCGAGAGCATCTTGCCCACATCCTGCTTGCTCAGGTGTCCCTGGCTGCTGAAAACGGGTGTGCCGTCGTCATGCTTACCCTTCTTCTTACGCTTGCCGCCACCTCCTGCACCAGGACTCACTGTGCTGCCCAGCACCTCAGGTCGCCACCACCTGCCTACGGCACCGTCTGTGTGATGGAGGCCCATCACCGAGTCCGGATCGGCAAGCGTCCATGTATGCGGACTTTTCGGTAGCCCAGACACGACATACAGCGATGCTAACGGCAGAGTGGGGCCCGCCGCCGGCGGAGGGGCCGAGACAGTGGTGTTAGGTGCTGTACGAGCGGACCGCGCGGACGCGAGGGAGGTGCGGTTGGACGCAGGAATGGGTTCCATTTCTTTGCGGTGCCTGATGCCGAGAATGCGCGACGCCTTGTCCGGACGCGATGCGATGGACTGGGAGTCGGGGCCAGGGAGGTCGACGGTCACGTAGTCGTCCTCTTCGTCGTCGTCGTCGTGAGCGGCGGGCTCTGCGGCGGAGGGGCTGCGGGCGCGGGAGGCGGAGGGAGTGAAGTGGTTGCTGTTGTCAAGGGACTCCTTGTTTGGGTTGGACGCGGCGGATATGGTGATGATCGGGTCAGGCGCTGGGATTGGGCGGGGCGTGCGGCCTGACCCTGGCCGCGGCGAGGTCGGCTCCGTCCTGCCAGTGCTGAAGGTGCTGGCGGCGGAGCGGAGACTGAGGTTGCTCCTCTGGCCATTGGGTCTGCGGGGAGAGAGGGAGGTGGTGAGGACGCTGGGATTGCGGCCATGGGTGCCGTCGTCGTCGTCGTTGAACGACTTGAGGATGCGCTCGCCGATCAGGGGCGGCGCGGGCGCATTGGCTCTAGTGCGAGCCTGCATTCGGGGAGGAGGGGAGGAGAACGAAAGAGAAGCAGGAAAGGAGAGTGAAAAGGCAGCGGTGCCTTGTTGGAGATGCTGGAGGAGGAGAACAGGAATGGTCTACGCCCGTCGGACCGCCATCGTCATGCTCCCAACGTGCGATGAAACGTATCGCTTCGCACCCATCAATTTTCAACATCTAGCGGTGAGAACGTTCTCCCAGCCTTTTCCTTACGCATCACTACTTAGTATACACGGTCGGTATCCACCCATCTCACGCCTGCAATGTCCGTCTCGCGCCCATTCATTCTCACCCGCGAGCTCACTGGCGCGACGTATCCACGGGCAGGTTGTGGCGGCGGCGGCGTGGATAGGGCAGTTGCAGCCGGCTCGCGAGCGAAGACTTGCTGCCAGCGAAGCACCGAAGCCGCCCCCGACGCGCTCACGTGGTCGCGACGCGAGAAGCCTCCGCTTAGCCTCAGATCCCATCGGCTCAGCCGCTCGCCCGGGCACGAATCGCAGATCCCGGTGGCTGCCGCATGCAGCGAACCCCGCTCCTGCCACCCGGCCATTCCCGGCGTGTTGATTCATCCGCCGCGCCTTTCCCACGCTCCACCAGTGATCCAGCTGGCGAGCGTCGCGGGAGCCCGCCACAACAGTCTTGTCTGCGATTCAGACTCATCGGCGTCGACTCGTCCAGATAGTATAGTAGGCCGTCAGTACATCAGTGTCGTTAATGACTATCACCGGGTTCCATTCCATTGTTACACACCATCACCTTCGTGCCCTGGTCTATCGCGGCGCAACATATCTCGAGCTCATCGACCGCGCCGCACACCCGCCCTTTAGCAAGCCTCCCGGGCAGTCAATATTCAATACCCAGGGCTTTAGGCTTTACCGTTCTCCGGTACATACGCTGCCCGCGCCCTGCTCCAACTCCACTATCGCCGCTGAGCTCTACATCGTCCACCCTGTACCTGATGATGCGCACAAAATGAACTGGGCGATCCATTTACCGGCCCACCATCAATGAACTCTCGAACTCAATGTCACTCTACGATTGTTGAACATTTGAACCACCAGCGATATGTCCCAGATATGTCCTCATTGTTATAGGGAACAACCAGCTACTACCAGACCGTCGAGCTCCCCCCTCACTAGCCTCACATCACCCGCGCCATCTCATGCCCTAGACGTTCTCCTCTCCATGGACTTCCCTTCCCCGTCAAAAAGCGGGCTATGGGCGCCACACATCACCTTGGTACGCCCGTATCTACGAATACCAACGCGGGCTACAACTGGGCCCGCCGTTCTGCAGCGTTCTGCTCTTCTCAGGCTGCTCACCCGCATGCCACTTACTTCTAGCTGCTGGAAGCCGCCCTACGACTGACGCGCTCTCACAGATGGGTCTATCCGTGTGAACAGCGTCTCGTCATGCCGCTCTCTGTGAGTATTTACTCTGTGAACTTGGTATGAACTGGACAGTTCCTTCCGACAGCTCTTCCCTTCGATGCGCCCACGAAGGTCGGGCGAGGGTCGGCGTTTGTGAGGTTTTGCGGATGATCGCTCTGTTCATCTCCCCCGGGGCGAAGGGGCCTTCGCTGCTTTTCATATACCGTGGATTTACGGCACTCAGTCAAGGGCATCATTCAAGATGCCGTCGAATCTCTTGGTGAGTTGGACTCTGGTCTCAATCCACCCAATCACCGAGGGCAGATACACATTCGTCTCGCTCAGATTGCGATTGAAGCCGGGTATCAGTCATTGGCATTGCCCTACGTACTTGGCTGCTTGAGCCCAAAGCGTGATTAGCGTAGAGTCGTCCATCCAAGAATACAATAATATCAACAGTCTACGTATAATATTCGTTGTCCATGAACGATCACAGATTAGCCTGTAAGGTGGTCGGGGAGCCCCGTCACATCCAACGAACCATACGGCGCCAGAGTTTGACGAGAGCTCATCCCGCGCTCGATCCCGCCATGGAGAACACGTTTCTCAACCACCTCCACCTCCTTGCGGGCTTTCCCTCTCCCGCCTCCCGCTCCTCCTCCCCTCCCCGCTGCTCTCCACCCAGCCCCTCCTCCCTCGCACCTTCCAATCCCCCCCTCAGCCTCTGCGCGTCCCTACTCGCCCTCGCCTCCCCGCCCTCACTCACGACTCTCCGCATCCCCTCCAAGTCCACCGTCGGCCTCCTCCGCCTCTCCCTCGGCACCAGCGCGAACCCAGGGCTCACCGGACTCAATCCAATCGAGAACCCGCTCAGCGCCGCCGGGCCGGGCACCGTGCTACCGCTCGGCGGGTTCATTGGCGCCGCGAGCGTCGTCCGCCTCCTCCGGCTCGTGCTGCCGCCTCCGAGGGGCGACCCCGCGCCTACGCTCTCGGCGGTCCCGTAGGACGAGCGTGAGCGGTGCATCAAACCTGATCCCGCCCCTTCTTCGACCTGTGATTCCCTGCGGAGCCGCCGGGCGCGCGGCGTAACGGGCGCGGGCGGTGCGACGGGTGCGGGCGGTTCGGTGATCCAGCGGCGGTGCTGCTCCAGATCGGGCAGCATCTGCGCTGGGTCGGGTTGGACAGTGCCCAGACGGATATCCTCGCTGTGCGACCGGGGCGTGCGCGAGCGACCTGGCTGGGGAGGGTGCATTGGGAGGGGCTCGTCGTCCTGCTGCGCGTGCTCGTCCTCGGAGTCGGCTTCGGACTCACCCTCACCCTCACGGTCGGAGTGGAGGAGCGGGACGGACTCGTCTTCGTCCTCGTCCTCCGCGGCGGTCCACGCTCCGATGTCGATGCTGTACCCGCCCGCGGGCGGGAAGCTCACGATCCCCACGCCCGCAAGCAGGATGACGATCCCGACGAGAACGAGGATGAGCTGCTTATTGGATAGGACGGAGAATTGGTCGAAGTATACCAGGCCGTTGAAGATTGATGAGAGATTGTAGAAGCAGAATGCCACTGTAGAAGCACAGAGCGGGGCTCAGTGGGCGTGTGAGATCAGTAGAACAGGTAGACTCACAGGGACAGACGACGGTCGGGTCAGCCAGGACCAGACTCTTGTGCATGTACCAGAGCTGCAGGAGGGCACATACACCCAAGCTCAGTAGCAGCAACCAAGCCTGCCACCTCCAGAATTGGTTGTCCCCTCCAAAGGTAAGCATTAGGAGCTCAACGCCGCTCTTGGCGAACAGGAGGCACATGCCCGAGATGATGCCAGAGAAAGATGCATAAGAGCCGGCGAGGTAGAGCGGCGTGCGGGTTGACTTAGTCGTAAACGAGATTGCAGTAGATATGATGGATTGGCTGCCAGATGGTGAAGGTGACTTGGAGCGGATGTAAGACCGAGGTCGCGGCTTGCGGTCAATAAGGGGTGTCCGTTCATTGCGGTCCACTGCGTTCGTCGCTGTGGTACTGGTGGTAAGGATGGAAGGTTGTGACGTTGGGAGAACGAGCGGCGAGAGGGGCGGAGAGACGTCGGGTAGTGCCATTCGGCGCCGGTAGGAGTACTCAGATATGTGAGTCTGCACACGGTCAGTTTACGTCAAGCGAACAAGGGAGCGAGGACACGTACGACGGCCAGCGAGACAACGGTTATCATGCCCAGAAGGGAGAAGTACACGATGAAAACAGGGCGATTGAAGAGCATGAGGAGATCCTCGAGGGAGTGAGTGGGTTCGGGTACGATGCCGTAAATCGCAATGAGCACCGCGCCGCCTGCGATGAGCAGCGTGCCCAGGAGCATCCATATTGAGAAGACGTCCCCGAGAAGTATTCGGGCAAAGAACGCGTTCCACAACAAGGAGACCGCTCCAAGGGGCGCAAGGATCACAACGGGGAGCGAGGCGATCTGGAAGATGGACCCGAACAGGTTCGAGGAGATGAATATGGCTGCATGCGCGGATCAGCGTCTACACGTATATCTTTGGAGAGACACCACGCACAGAATCCTAACAGCCAGAGCCTGCACGTACGTCAACAATCGAGCAAGCGCGGAAATGAGGGGCGTGTGCGACTCACGGCCTGCGGTGTTCGACCTTCTGCTGGTCTTCGGGGAGCTGCTGGTTGAGGACATGGCTCTTGCGCTGGACGGTAAGGCCGAGGGACTGTACGAAGGACGCAAGGAGGCCGACTGTGATGCCTACGGGGATGGAGATCTGGGAGTCGCTGTCGAACTGGGCGGCCATGGCATGAAGCCAGTTCGCTGTAAACACGCGCGACGCGGACGGCGCGACGCCACCAGCCCTCGGTTTCCTGGTTTGGAAGCCCTCACGTGCTGCATCCTCCTTTCAAATTCCGATTCCGCGCCGGCGCTTCCATCCCGAACGCGACTTGAACGCGACGCGCCACTCGCGACTCAGACGCGTCTGCACTGTGCAGTGTCTCGACGCCGCTCTGCTTGGATATTGTCTCCAGTAACGCTGTACTCATGGATCCCAAACTCTTCGATGAACTGTTCTCTGAGCCCTACGGCCCTTATTTGGATAGCGAAGTGCTGACCGATGTCTGCAAGAGTGTCCCGTCCAAGATACTTGGTCTCACAAGTCTCATGCTGGAGTGCGGAGGAAAGCCCATCGGGTAAGCCGAAAACGCAGTATCTTGAACTGCATGTGCAAACCCGCTACATAGCCTGAATCAATCCGAGAAATATCAACCTGAATACCAGGAGTCTCGAGTCTCCAAGCACGGAGTCAAGTTCCGCGGAGTGCTGACGATCGAGAGACTAGACTGGCTGCAGCCACTTGCTAGGAAACGCCTCAACAAAGACATCGTCCTACGTCATGTTACCGTGAGCCACAAAGAGGGTAGGCGGATGCCTCGCGCCGGTGAAACACCTCCGCTAGAGCACTTGTACCTGAGGAATATGCCCAACCGCCGAATCAAAGTCATAATACAAGGAGTGAAGCATCTACCCGCCCTCTATCTATCCCAAAGTAAAGCTGCCACACCTGGTTCACCCGCATCGCTAATTAACCGCTATTGACAGGGGACCTCCTAAATGGGTTGTGGATGCCATCCGAGGACAGGTTCGTTTTACTTATCTGTACCCTCTCAGCGACTAATTCTCTCCAGGCATCGATATTACGAAGTCCTCTCGATGGATGCCCGCACATATGCCGATAGTCGTAAGGTACGTGTGACTGTCTTGCCTCCACGCTGCTCATCTCATATACCCTCGACGCAGTACTTCGGACGTTTCCGCACCCTTAGGACCCTCGAACGCATTGTCAAGATCGACGACAAGATCAAGCGCGCCCGCGGCGAGCCTCAAACTCCGCGGGACGAGCGCACCCCAGACTGGTTCGCCAAGATGTACAAGAAGTACCTTGCGAACCCGGCCATGGCGCGTCAGCGCCGCATCGTCTGGAATTCAGATGATTCCGATGTCGAGGAGGACACAGAGGGGAAGTTGAGGAGGGGGCGAGAGCATGTCCTGAGGCACGTCTCCACTGCGGAGGTGCGCTCGCTGATGGCAACGCATGCGGAATGGATTCTCGGGGACCAGCAACTGAGGAAGCAGAACAGGATGCTAGATCTAGACGTGTGGGCGAAGTGGGTGCGAACGTCAAAGAATGCGCGGATACACGCATGGCTGGATAGGGATCCGGCAAAACCAGACATCGGCGTCAAGTGGGGTTGGTTCGACGACGAGGATCCCAACGGGCCGCTGAGCGAAGATGAGCTCGAAGACGAAGAACCACCGGAGAGGCCGCGCTCCAAGAGGAAGTCGAAAGCAAAGGTCCGTCTCATCTTCTGCCGGAATGGTCCAGTCCATGTATCTCATAACGAAGGACTAGGCTCCCCAACGGCAAAGCCGCCTGACCGCCTCGAGCTTGGGCGTGCCTGCGCCGGTAGAACGGGCCCTCCCCACCCAGAAGAGGAAGAGGAGGAGGGAGGCAACATCTACGACCCTGACTTCTCGCCAAAGTCGTCGGCGCCCGCTTCCGACTGGGAGTCAGACGAGCCCCTTCCATGCCGCCCCGGAACTCCAGTCAGTGCTGCTATTGCAAGGCTCATCCCCTCCGCCCTCTACCACCCGCCTGTGCTCCCTGACTCGTCGTTCGTCTGGGTCTGTCCTGTGAAAGGCTGCGACTATGAACTGCCTCTTCTTGAACTCAACGAGGAACATTACCGCCACCTCACCTTAGAAGACATCCAGAGCTTCAAGGAGGGTAGGTGGACGTTGAGTGAACAATGGGTGCAGCGCGCGTTCTTGCAACTTGTCTCGAAGCACTACGATGATCACATGGATGGCTTAGGCGTCGTTTTGCATAAACATGGGAATCAGGTGAATACTTGCTCTGAATCCGTGTGCTATAGTGTGGACTGACACCGTGGCGCAAGACACATCTGGAGTGGAAGAATCCCAGACACCATCCACCTTCGCCGACAAGGACTCGCCGTCCGATACTTCGGCCTGATTCAGACGAAGAAATCAAAGTAGAGCAGCAAGACTGAATGACGAAGCCATCATACCGGGGATGGCACATCTTACAGGTATCTATGAGCTCACAGCACTATCGCTCACGTTGGATGAGAGTGAAAGGGAAAGCAATGCTATTGTACAATACTATGCAATGATGTATGAATACAAGGCTCGTATGCTAGTTCTACACTTCGGTCCGTCCTATTTGATTATACACTTAACCCCGAGATACACGGTCACTGCCCCACAACGTACGCGCTCAGTCCATCTCCTCAATCTCGATATCGTCAATGTCGTCAATGTCATCGTAGTCGACGTCCATGTTATCCGCGCTCGCCTCGTGGTTGGGCACGATCTGGAGGCGGTTGTGCGGGCCGTCAAAGTGCACCTTGATCGTCTCACCCTCGCGCACGCGGTCACCAAGGATGAGCATGGAAAGCGGGTTGAGGAGCTCGTTCTGAATCGCACGATTGAGCGGGCGCGCGCCGTACACGGGCGAATACCCGATCGAGACGAGGTACTGCTTCGCTGCAGGCTCGAGGTCGATGGCCATCTTGCGCTCCACGAGGCGGTCCTGCACCTCCTTGAGCCGGAGGTCGACGATCTTGAGGACGTTCTTCTGCGAGAGCGTGCGGAAGATGACGATGTCGTCGATCCGGTTGATGAACTCGGGCGGGAAGTGCACGCGGATCGCGCCCATGACGAGTTCGCGCGTCTCGGGCCTGACGGGGCCGTCGCCCATGTCGTTGAGGAACGTCGCGCCGAGGTTGCTCGTCATGATGATGACGGTGTTCCGGAAGTCGACCACGCGGCCTTGGCCGTCCGTGAGCCGTCCGTCGTCGAGCACCTGCAGGAAGAGCGTAACGAACTCGCGCGAGGCCTTCTCGATCTCGTCGATAAGCACGATCGAGTACGGTTTCCGGCGTATGTACTCCGTGAGCTGGCCGCCCTGGTCGTGGCCGACGTAGCCCGGAGGAGCACCGATGAGACGCGCGATCGAGTGCTTCTCAGAGTATTCGGAGCCGTCGATACGGATCATGGCTTCAGGTGAGTCGAAGAGCAGAGTCGCGAGCTGTGAGAATGCCAATCAGTCCATACGGTTCAACACAAGAGCATAACGACAACTTACCGTCTTGCTCATCAAAGTCTTTCCCGTACCGGAAGGTCCCGCGAACAAGAAGCTAGCAATCGGGCGCTGCTCGTTCCGAAGGCCACTCCTGCTGAGGCGGATAGCATTCGCGACAGACTTGACCGCCTCCGGCTGCCCCACAACCTGCGCGCCCAATATCTTCTCCATCCGCAACAACTTCTCCTTCTCCGTGCTCATCAGCCGTGTCACAGGGATATTCGTCCACTTCCCGACGATCTCCGCGATCTGCTCCGGGGTGACGGTGTCCGTGCCCCCGCCCATCGCGGCGTCCTCCTCCGCCTTCTTCGCCTCGAGCTGCTGGAGACGCGCTTGAAGGTCGGGCAGGGCGTAGTAGCGCAGGTCGGACGCGGTCGCGAGGTCGTAGCGACGTTCGGCTTCGTCCGCCTTCGCTTTAAGCTCGTCCATCTTCCGGCGGACGTTCTGGATCTCCTCGCCGCGCGCCTTCTCCGCTTCATATTGCGCCTGGAGGGGCTGAAGTTGGTCGCCGACGTCGGCGATGGCTTTGCGTGCGAGGGCGAGGCGCTCCTTGGAAGCTTCGTCCTTTTCGCGCTCGAGCGCGTGGATCTCGACTTCGAGCTCGAGCTTGCGGCGCTGAAGCTTGTCGATGGCTTCAGGCGCGGTTTCACGCGTTACGCGGACACTACAGAGCGTAATCAGCATCAAAATTGACAGTAAGCTAATGTTGAGACGACGTACCTTGCACAAGCTTCATCGACAAGGTCGATAGCAGAATCGGGCAGCCGTCTTGACGTGAGGTAGCGGTGGGCGAGGGTTGCCGCTTGAATGAGAGCACCGTCGAGGATACGAACGCCGTGGTGCACCTCGTACTTCTCGCGGATACCACGGAGGATACTGATCGTCTCAGGAACAGATGGCTCGTTGACGAGCACCTGCGCGAACCGCCGCTCGAGCGCCGGGTCCTTCTCGATGTATTGCCTATACTCCGCCAGGGTCGTCGCGCCGATGCACCGAAGCTTGCCACGCGCGAGGAGGGGCTTGAACAGGTTTGCAGCGTCCATGCCACCGCCCTCCGAGCCGCGGCCGGCCATGATGAGGTGAAGCTCGTCAATGAAGAGGATGATACTTGTGCCCTCCTCGGCGGCCTTCTCGACTTCGTTGAGGACGGCCTTGATGCGCTCTTCGTACTCGCCCTTGTACTTTGCGCCGGCCATGAGCGCACCCATGTCGAGCGAGTAGAGGCGGCCGAGAAGCGAAGCGGGGACATCGCGGTTGACGATACGCTGCGCGAGACCTTCTGCGATGGCGGACTTTCCTACACCGGGCTCACCGATGAGGACGGGGTTGTTCTTTGTCCTAGAGGAGAGTAGTTAGTATGCGGTTCTTGATTGGTATATGCGTGTCACTTGCCGTCTGCACAGGATGCGGATTGCTCGTCGGATCTCGTTGTCACGACCAATGACGGGATCGAGTTTTCCCTCCTCAGCAAGGGCGGTCAGGTCTTGTGCGTACTTGCCAAGCGCGTCGAAGCCCTGCTCCGCGTTCTTGCTGTCGACGCGCCGGTTGCCGCGCAGCTGATCAATCGCGGTCTTGAGGGAGGCTTCGGTGAGACCGGCCTCCTTGAGGACAGGTTGTAATGACGACTCTTTGATGATGGCAGCAAGGAGATGATCTTGTGCGATATATGAGTCGTGCATGGTCTTGCGGAGGCTCTCTGCCTCGCGGAGGACCTTGAGTGCTTGGCCACTGAGAGTAATCTCATCTGGTGGTGGGGATTGTGTGGGTAGGCGAACGATGACTTTCTGAAGTCCGCGTTTGACTATCGTCTGTGAGGGCAATGTCAGTCGCTCTGCATCGAGATGACGCGCTGTCCGAAAAGTACTTACAGGGTCACCGCCCGCCTTTTCGATGACGGACTTGAAGAGTGAGCTACTTTGGGTCGTGGAGCCGAGACCGCCAGGAATTGCATCGCCAGCGCCCTCGTTAAGAAGTGCGAAGGCAATGTGCGCCGGATAGACTGTGAACACGAGTCAGTGATGATTCGCTACAATGGGACCGGAGTGGCATACCTTGGGCGTTGGCATAGTCTTTGGCCTGCTGAATAGCAGTGGCCAAGGTCTCCTGGGTCTTGTCGGTGAAGTCCATGCTCGAAGCCATAGTGTTCGTGCAAGTCGTAAAAGGAGCAGAGGGGGTTAGAGGTCGTGAAAGTCCGTGAACGATTGAGAGGTGAAGATGGGCGGCGGGGAGGCAGACCCAAGGCTATATACACCCTGGCCGCCTCGCGCGTGGAGGTTCTCGAATGGGCGCAGACGTTGCACCGAGCATCTGGTCCGCTCTCCAGTCGCCCCGAATGAGGCAGAACGTTCGACGCCCCTCCCAATCCGGCCAGTGATGTCACTCCCCCGTACCCCGCCACCGACGCGTCCCCGAACCGCTCCGAACCCGCCCCCGGGAAACCCCAGTTGAACCGGTTCGCTTGTGCGCACACACCTCGCCGCCGTCACCAGCGTTGTCCTTCGACCGCTATGCTCGCCCGACGCCTCCCACGCGTCGCCCGCCCCCTCGCCCGCCTCACGTCTTCTGCGGCGTCCGCCAACACCCCCGTACCCGCCCAAGAGGCCCCGTCCAAGGAAGCCGTCATCGAGCAGGCTCCCAACTACCCTGCAACATGGTCCACCAGCCAGCGACCACGCCCGCAGGGTCGCTCAGGCCCTCGCTTTGAGCAGACCAACATGGATCTGCAGCCGAACCCTCTCAGCGCGATGCAGATGATTGCAGAAGAGCCCATCCGTGTCGTGCATGGCCGCAAGGCTGTCTGTGATGGCGGTACGTTTCCTGCACGCGCGATGTTGTATGCTTGCATGACCAGTTTTCTCTGCCCTTAGGAGGAGGCCCTCTCGGTCATCCAAAGATCTTTATCAACCTGGTACGTGTCCTTGGATCTCTGCGAACTTCCTGCTGACTTTGTGAGCAGGATAAGCCTGGTGCGAAACCTTGCGGGTACGTCAACTCTGACCAAGTAGATAGCATTTCTTGCCCATCTGATACACATTTCTACACCCTGTCTTTCCATCCAGATACTGGTGAGTTTCAGTACACTCGTTGTTGTCTCATGGCCTCATGTTATGCCATACAGCGGTCTGCGCTTCGAGCAAGCACCGCACCATGGGCACGAACATTAATTCAATTCGTCTAAGCGGAGCCTGGCATTGGTGATGGTCCCGGCGTGTATAATCTTCTCGAGAGGAATTGCATATATCGTGTCGTGCGCCCGCCGTGATGCTTACACAGAGCGCGATGTTTGTCTACGAAGCGACTGAGACCCAAAGGATCCCATCCATGAGGTATTGATGATGATGAACTCAGCATTTATTAACCGCAACAAGCAAACAACGTGCTAAGACGCGGCGGACGCCGGTCTGTACAAATGTGGGCGTTTAAACGCGCCACCCAGACCTGCGTCCCGTTCGAGGGGAGTGTGCAGTAGTTTATACCTACGGTTTATGTAGTAATGGTCAGGCAATAGAATCGGTTTGGAGAGTGGTAGCTAATGGTGTGGTCTGAGGTCGAAACGAGATGCGCATGATGATAAATAGAGGAGAAAGAAGACAAAGGAGAAAAGCATATAGAGTCCATACTCGGCGCTCCGGCGTCGTTCTCCTAGGGGCGCAAGCCGGGATTGCCCCCCTAGTGCACGAGGTGTCGATGGTATGTGGGGGATGGGGGCGGTATGTCGCCGTGCAGCTAGTACCGCCCCATCCATGAGGTAGGTGCTTCACCATCTTCGAACCATACCGCCCCAGTCTCGACATCGTGGTTCTCTTCCCATATCAAAATGGTGTCGCACAGCGTCGTACTCTTCCCAAACCCAGTCGACATGCTATTGATCAGCGCAACGGTAGCACTTGTCGTAGGTGGCAAAGGCAACGTCGTTGATTCTGTCCGAAGGACAAGAGTTTACTCTTTGAACATTTACATATATTGTTCTGCGTGTCACCGGGTATGCGTACAGGGACAGGTCTTACAAACATTACTGGACACACACGACAACAGGTATTGACTACAGCAGTGGAGACGGGGAAGACGGTTGTGCATTGGCGAACTGGTCGGCGATGGTGCAGACGGCGACTGTGTCAGAAGAGGGCGGCGGCTGACAACGATGGATCGTTTCGAGTCTCGGAATGAATAGCAATGTGTATACGAAGGGGGTCGTTTGTCTCATAGCGTGTATGGTCTTGGCTGGGTATCGACAGCTGGTGTCGTTTCGACAGGCGTAGGGGGCACGGACTCGCCGCGCCGCTTGCGCCTCCAGAAGCCAGCGTTCGGGCCTTTCATGATGAACGCCAGGGTCCATCGCGACAGCCCGCGCAACGAGTCCGGACGGTGGATCGCCGCGGTCAGGATAGTCGACAGCGAAAGTACGAACGCGAGACTGTGGGGTGCCAATGAGCGTTCTACGCCCTGTAAGCCCGTCTGATGTGTAGATGTACGCACCGTTCACCCCATTGCACGCCCTGCGCCCCGCTTCTCACCCACCTCTCCGGCAAGCACGCCCGGATCGCCCTCGGCAGGACGTACAGCGCCATCTCGCCTCTCCTCCGTCCCTGCTCGATCCATATGCTACCCCCGCATACGAGGCTCCCGGCGAACGTGCACCCGAAGGGCCCGTCCCAGACGTCGTGCGAGATGCGCGGGAAGAGACGCGCGAGGAGGACCGTGCGCGTGAGGCAGACGGCGGCCCAGATACAGGAGACGAACGTGCTGAGGAAAGAGGCGCTGCGGAGGACGGCGAGGAGCGTTTGCATGAGTTTGGAGGGGCGGAGGAGGGTGCGCGGACGGGTGAGCAGGATGGGCAGGAAGTGCACCTGCGCGCAGGTAAGTCAGTGTGCACGCCTTCGATGCGCTGCCGTGGTGAGCTTACTGGGAGGTATATGGCCATAGCAGATGCGAATGCCTGCGTGCCTCTGAGCGCGGTGTTCTTGCTACAGCTACCGCCAGAGGCGTTGGCGTGTACGAGCTCGCACGGTGTACCACCGATTCCATCCCGGCCCTTCACGCCGAGTTCCTTCCATACAGCAGTGGCGTCAGGCCCGCCGCGTGCGGGCAAGCGAGTTATGTCCCCCCATGCTGCTGGATACCCGAGGTCTTGCGACAGGGAGGATAACAGGTCCGGCTGTACGGAGTGATGGCGCCTGTATGACCAAGTTCCGGAGCGCAATGCACGCATTGCGGCAAGGATGCGGGGATCGATGTTCGCGACGGTCATGATCCTGTTGTATGTTGCAAACCTGTCAACGACTGTACGACGGCGGGTACACTGAAAGGATGCACCATTTGTTGTACGAGCGTGGTAGCCTGTACGATGGTTAGTTCAGCGACATAACACAGGGAAGGAATCGACGTCGGTTGACCTTTCCGGCTGGTAGAAGAAGCACCACATGATCCTTCAGGCGGCACAGCATTGAGCGTCGAACATAACAGGCGTTTAGTTCACGAACCTTGCGCTGCTCGCCCAGAATACCAATGCGTCCAGCCGCATACTGAGCAGACGCCTGCGGCGCATTGCAGCTTCCTTTCCGTGGACACTGTCGTTCTTCTCAATCACTTCGCAACCTTTTTGTATGGTAACCTGGGCTAAGGCATCCATGGCGCGGACCAGGAGTAAGAGAGTCAAGTCAAGGGTGATGGATGGGCGACCTGCGAATGGCGTAGGTTTTGAAGAAGAGCTGGGGGATAGAGGAGGGGTGAATGGTATAGCTATGCTCGCCTTCGCTGAGGCAGGCGGGGGGCGTCTGCAATGAAAGAGTGTCATGGCCATAGCGGCCGAAAGAACATTGGCAAGGAATGTCCTATGCGACTCCTTCAACGAAGCCAGCCATCCGACAGCCTTCGCTCGCGCGGGCCCACATATCGAATCGCCTTCATCCGTCCCTGGACTGCCTTGCTCCGCCAGAAGATCGAACACGTCCCGCAGGACCGCACCGCCGCCCACGCCCGCAGTCATAGCGAAAGCAAACCCCGTCACCCCCAGTTCGCGCCCCAGTATCTTCCCCAGACGCGTCAGGCCACTCCTCCGTGCCCTCTCACTGGTTAGAAATGGTACCAAAGCGGGACCGAGCGAGAGGGAGATTGAGAGCGCGTAAGTCCGCAGGGCGATCTGCAGCGGGTGGTCGTTTGGGATCGAGTGGAGGTATTCCCCCAGTGTATTCGGCAGCGCGAGCAACTTGTGCTTCAGGTCGCGCGGAGGCGCCTCGGCGGACATGATTGACGGTGAGGTCGAGGAGCAACCCAGGACAGCGGCGAGGAGGTGGACGCGTTCACGGTGGGTAGCGGCATGTTGGCGGCATGATCGAGTATACACGGGCGTCGGGCGTCACGTAAGTTCCTAGGATTCCATGTGATTCCGGTAACAACGCGCTGCAGGGCCCAGGCCATGCAGTAAGTAACCTTGAGAAGGTGGCAGTTGGAAGGCAGCATCTGGCAGCATATGCAGACAGCTGCAGAAGATTGCAATTGGTAGAGGTAGAAGATCGACTAGGGTATCTGTAGCAGAATCTGTACAACAGGCGAGAACAGAAAACTCCGATCAGTCGCAAGCTTGTTCCATGGCAGACCTCATTCGATGTAGCCAGAGGCGTGATTATCAAGTATACCCTTTATCGTTATTCACCGGCACCAAGGGGCGCCACAGTGGACTGTTCAACAGCAAGGGAGCTTGAACTCGGTGCCGTGGGCGAAGTCGGCGCGTAGCTCCAGAAATCGAATGCCTGCGCATGATCTGATATACCCATCCCAGTTTTGAACTCACCAAGAAGATTGGCGGCGTCGAGGATCTCGAGAAATTGCGCGCGTGAGTCTGGGAACACGAACGTGCCAAGGATCTCGGAGCCCTGCGCAGGAGCGAAATGAACATTAGTAGATGAAAGGACAACATATATTGCGTGGAGACATACGTGATCTCGGATGACCCTCGCAATATAGTCTCTTGGAGGGTGAATAGGGCGCACGCCCACATCTTCTTCGAGTTCCCTCTCCAAAGAAGATGACGAAGACACTTCGTGTTCGTCTGCTTTAACTTCACCCTTGCCCTCTTCTTCATCTGCCCCCTCTTTCTCCTCATCATCCTCGTCCTTCTCAGAGTGAAACCCAAATCCAAACCACCGTTTCCACAACTCCAGTTTCCTCCCGTCCCTCCCTATCTTCTTGAGCACCGTTCGACACCTCTCCCAATCACCGTCATCGCCTATCCACACCTCCGCTTCCGCCTTCTCGTCCTCGCTTTCCTCACTCTCCGCTACCGATGGCGGGCGCGTTGCGCCAGGTGCATCCTGCACCAGATCTAGCGCAAGGAGCTCTCCCTCCACCTCGCCCTCTGCCTCGCCCTCCCGATCAGCCCGCTCCGCGTCAGGCTGCGCGTCCTGCATCCGCACGCGCACCATCAAGCGTACCCACCGCCGCCGGCGCACCCATGCCCCAGCGCTGAGGGTGCCGATCTTGGGATGCCAGCGGCCGGAGCGAAACGACCACGCGTACTCGAAGCCGTCGTGCTGGACGAGCCCGTCACCGCGCATGTCAATCATCCAGGCGTGTGAGACCCAGCGCCATGTGCCATCAGGGAGAGGATAGGACGCGAGAGAGACGGTTGGCTGGGTGCGCCAGGCGCGTTTCGAGGGTCTGGGTGTCGGGAGGGTGAAGGCAGGTGGGTCGAGCGGGAGGAGGGTCTGGGGCGAGTAGCAGGGCGTGGATAAGACGGTAATGCTGTGTGCAGTGTGAGACCCAACATGCAAGTTGTGACCGAGCTTGGCTTACCCGCGTTGGTTCTCGTAGAGCACTGCCCACCTGTACACTGGCGCGTCTGAGTCTGCACCTTCTCCTGGCTCCCTCAGCAGCTCGTCGTGCAGCTCCACCAGACCGCCCTCAATAGCGGAGCCTCTTAGCGTCGGATAAATGCCCTCTTGCTCTGCATCGTAGCCCTGCCGTTCGTCCTCCTCGTGCCTCGCTCTCTTCTTGTCGTTGCGTTTCGAACGGGCGCGGTTCCACGAGGGCGAGAGGTGGAAGAAGTGATGCTTGGGCGAGAGGTACGCGCGAGCCTCTTCTCTCGTTTCTAGGTCATCCTCCGTGTGCGGCGGCGGGGGCTTGCGGAGGGAGGACGGGCCAGCGGATGAGGAGGCCATGGTGAGTGGGGCGATCATGATGCGACGGCGGGGACAGAGTCCAAGGTTAGGGTCGCTGTTCCCGCAATCACATGACGTCAGCGGGCAGATTTGGGCGGGGCGTTATCTAATCTAAGCGCCGCCACCATGTTTCGTCGTGCACTCACTGCCGCGCTGCCCAGGTCGTCCTTCGCGGCGTCCAGACTCTCCTCCCAGCCCGCCCGCCATGTCCTCCCCGCTGCCTCACGCGCCGCTCGGTCTCTGACAGGGCGCAGGGCATATGCTGCAGCCTCGACGCCTCGCTCATGCCCACAATGCTCGGCGCCGCTCACGACACCTCTGCCGGTCTGCACCAAATGCTACTGGATCTCAAACATACCCGCCGAGATGACCTACCATGAGATGCTCGGCGTCCCATACGAGCCAAATCCCTTTGTCGTGGACACTGTAGCCATAAAGCAAGAACTCAGGCAACTGCAGACTGTCGTACACCCCGACCGCTGGGTGGGCAAGGAGCGGGTGCGTACGCGTTCACGCCGGCATTGCGGCCGAAGGTAACTATTCACGTCCTACTGGTTGCGTGTCTATAGGTCAAGCAAGACGCGGCAGCAGTCATGTCTTCCCGGGTCAACGAAGCGCTCCACCGCCTGTCCAATCCCCTCCGACGCGTTGAGTACATCCTCCAGCGCGAGGGCTATCCCACCAGCGAGAGCGAGAACTTGGAGGACCCAGAGATGCTTATGGAGACGATGGAGATGCGCGAGCAGATCGAGGGTGCGGAGTCGAAGGAGGAGATCGAGCAGGTCCGCGCGGCCAATGCGCGTACGTGCATATGTCATCGTCGCTTGCATGGCTGGAATGCTGACAGGTCGTGTGCAGAGAGATTGGAGGAGACGATGCAAGAGGTCACAGAGCTGATTGGCCGAAAAGACTGGCCTGCGGCGAAGGTTGCAGCTATCAAGCTCAAGTATCTACAGGGCATCGAGAATGCTGCGGAGGCGTGGCCACATCCACTAGGAAGTGACCACTGAGCGATCGTATTCTGTCTCAGTAGGCATGTATAACCAATCCTCGACTTTACACTCTGCTTCAGCATATCCGTCACAGTAAGTTCTGCATGACATTGCTTTGGTGTATGCAGCATGGCTTCACACCCAAATGTGCCCTTGCTATTCTCGCGAGACTCCAGGTTTTGCATGCACATGAGCACTTAATGAATGCTGGCCATCTGACCCATGGCTTCCTAACCCGTACTCCGAGTCAGCGATTACATGTCGCCGAAGCTATCACACAGTAAGGGGACCATGGCGTACTACCGGATTACAAGACATTCGTCCTGCTTCATGGTGGTCTGTGCCATGGGGGTGAGTCTCACCGGGAACAATACTTGGGAATTGGTTGTCGAACATGCAATGAACAACGCTCCTGGTTGGAGAACCGTTTCGGAGCATGTTTGAAGTCCGAAGGTATGCCGAAAATCCGAAGGATATTCAACGAACATCGCCACAATTACCAAAAAAGGAAATTCGTCGACCGAAAATATAACATCTTCGTCAATCTTTTGGATCCCAAATGTGCTCCGAAACGGTTCTCCACAAGGAGTGGTTTCCGTTGCATGTTCGACAGTCGACTAGGAAGTGCTGTTCCCGGTGTCTTCCAAATCTCGTGTCTGTCCAATCATATCTGAACGTTTACGCCTTCCTAGCTATCTTCCAGTCAAGCCCCTATTCCCCTTCGCCGCGAGGTGTAACATGCGCCTCGTCGCGCTGAACGCTCGGGACTACCGCGGCTCCTCGTCCTTCAACGACTCAGAGCTGGCTGCGTTGGAAAGTCCAGACCTGCAGAGCCAGCGATCCGTGGTGCGAGCTTGTGGGCGGGAGCTCGCTGCATTCCTCGTTTGGTTCATCGAGCATGAGAAGCTTCCACCGTTGTCTGGGTCAACGGAGAATGGTGCGGGGCGCCGCGGCGGGATCTCCGTGCTCGGGTGGTTGTTTGGTAGCGCATCTTCATTGTTGTAGGCGGGTGCGCTTCCGGAGAAGGAGCGTAACTTATTGGGCGCATGTCCGCGGAAGAGCTCACAAGTACGACGGATCCCGCTGCATTAGCACACTCGACACTCGCCTTCACGCGGGTCGACTCTCAAGTATATGAGGAGAACATGCAGGCCGCGCTGTGGGATAGGTCGGTCTGGCCGGAGGTGCGGGTCGCGCTGGTGTGGTGCGACGCGTCGGTGGGCCCGACGATGTTGGCGGGCTGGTATCTGGCCAATATGGTGGCGACGCGGTGGCCGGCGAGGAGCAGGAAGGTAGAGTTGGTGAGATTTGAGGGGGGCGAATCATTTCGTGAGTGCAATATTGCTGAGACTGGGGACTTTACTCCGGTGTCTGACGAGTCTGTGTGTCAGCCGCATCGGGACAAGCCTGAGGATATGGTGCAGCTTCTGGGAAGGACAGCCTGACGAGTACGGATGTCTTCTGCTCGGAACAACTCCAAGAACGGATTGACCGTTGACAACATCTGGGGGGCCAGACCGAAACTAAGCCCCACGATACTGTTCTGAAGGCATCGATGCTTCTTTAGTTCTCGTTGCGTTTGGTTTGACTGCAGCGTTGTTATATCCTGACTACAGGCGCGGCGGCTCCGACGATGACTGGTTGGGAGCAAGGAGTATGTTCACTAGCTCTCGTATGCATCGTGATTGCATGCACTAGGTTCTTGACGCCGCTCTAGTTACTTACTTGGCTTGACGGGCACCCCACATAAGGGAATGACTGTAGCGCTGCATGCGCCGTCTTCACCTGATTCTCATCAGCGCCTTCGAGGCGATATCTCTATCGATCTGCGCGAGGTACAGTGGACCTGCAGGCGGATTGTCGAAACAGACATGCCACTGGCCCCAGTCAACGACGACGGAACGCAGTTGCACTACGAGGATACGGGAGTCCCTCCCGGCTGTCCTGGATATATAACGCTGGTATTGATACACGGTGCCATCTTCAACGGCGGTGAGTAAGGCTATACCTTCGTGGCATGAAAATCGTCGCTGAGATTGTCATCAGCAACCTTTAAACTCATGTTTCCACAAGCGGTCGAACATGGCATGCGCCTTGTCGCTGTGAACATGCGCGATTATCGTGGTTCAACCCCATACACTGACACCGACATTGAGGCTCTTGGCAGCGATGATCCAGAGCGGCAACAGTCAATGATTCGCGCTCGTGGATTGGAGATCGCATCGTTCCTAGTCTGGTTCGTTCGGAAGGAGAATATCCCTGCATATGCAGCCGATAGTGGTACAGGAGGCCTATCACTGCTTGGGTGGTCTTGGGGAAATGTCGTGACTATGGCTTTCATGGCGCAAGCTTCCGAGCTCTCGAAGGATACTCGATGTCTACTAGACGTGTACATGAGGTCTCTGATCATCCTCGGTGAGCTCCAACCTATTGATAGCTCAATGATCGACCGTGACTATATCTTCCACTGACAGACAGCGCTCGTCAAGGCCTCGGCGTACCAGCAGCCGTCATGGAAGGACTCGACAGCACAGGTAGTGACACCGACATACCACCCGAGCCTGATGAACGCTGGCTCTCCTGGACTGTACACTACGCTCACTCAAAGCCAGTCCTTGACGCGTTCCCTTCCGTTCTCATCGAGGACCTCCGCACGGGTGTTGCACATTCTCCCGTTGCAGCGCCACTTCCTGAACACACGTCATCCAAGAACCGCATGAAACGGGACCTTGACGACATCACTGATCCAAGCGTGTTTGACCGCGCCCAACGACTGTACAACGATGTGGATGCAGTGCTTTACGGTGATAACGTACGCCTTGCTCTGATGAGTGCGTCGACGTGGCCACGTCTCCGAGTAAACCTCATATGGTGCGATGCATCTGTACCGGAGACGGTATTCTCCTCCTGGTACCTGGCGAATCGGGTAGAAAAGGACTGGCCAAAGAACGCCAGGAGCGTTAAGGTCGTGCGCTTTGAGAACGCAAACCATTTTGTGAGTTGTCCCATGTGCCTTATCATTTATATTGGCTTCTCAGTTCTCAGTCGCATTGTTGACAGCCCCACTGGTACCAACCAGGGCGAACCATGGAGCTCTTGGCGAACATCGCTTGAGGAAAACGTCGGTCACTCACCTGTGCGAAGGAGTCGCGTAAACCCGGTCTGAGCCATGATTACGCAGTACCCGTGCCGATACTAATGGGGCTTCTTACAGGGTCCCACCGTTCACAGACGCTTTACACACGATTGCCTCCAGGGAAGGAGGTTCGTGAGAGACACCCAGAGAGACGAGCGTGATAACACTTCAATCGTTGCCAATTTCTGCCCTACTTGCTCGGAGTGTATAGCACGTCACGCAGCAACTACCAATGCCCTCGATGCATCAGTGATGGTGGGTTTGAATGGCTGCCCCTGGCGCCGTTTCCTAGTACATCAAATCATCTGCAATGCCGGGAGATCGAAGCAGAACGCAAGCAATTGCACCAGATGACCTGGACAGACTCTATACACCCAACTTCTCTGTCACGTCGTCGGCTCTTGTGGTAAGCGACAAATTGGAGCTTACCTCGTTCTCCAGCGCTGAACCTGACCCATACATATTGCGCAATGACTTTGACCCCTCATCACCCTCTTCTCCCCTCTTCTAGACTACACGTTCCTGTGCGCGATGCCTCACGCACCTGTAGGTGATGGTGGCATTCAGCTTTACTACGAGGACACAGGGGCTCCTCCGAATTCATCAGACTACACAACGCTGGTGCTCGTGCATGGCGGAGTCTTCAACGGATGTGAGTGTCATCTAGTACCCTACGAAAGTCCTCGTCGGCTCTCCGGAATGAGACATCTCTGCTATCACAAAGAGCAAGGGGCGCTAACACGACCTCAGCGACCTTCAAACCGATGTTCGTACATGCGGCGGACTGCAACATGCGCCTCGTTGCCTTGAACACTCGTGATTACCGCGGGTCAACTCCATACTCATCCAGCGACCTCGAAGCTCTTCGCAGCACGAACCTGGACGAACAGCGAGCAATGATTGATGCACGGGGCCAGGAGGTTGCCGCGTTTCTTGTCTGGTTCATCCGGCAGGCAAACATACCTCTTCGTTCCAAGAACCAAGAGATCACGTCTAGTGGCGGTCTCGCGTTGCTTGGTTGGTCTTGGGGGAACACTATGACGGTCTCATTCCTGGCACAGGCTTCGCGCCTGCCCCAAGAGGATCGTCGTTTTATAGACGATTACTTGTCGGCATTCATTATGTATGGTGAGCCAATATTTACTCTATCCTCCTATGTCTCCTTCACCAACATCTTCAAAGACAGTGCTCGTCATGGTTTGGGCGTTCCACCCGAGATCACGGAAGGACTCAGACGACCAGCGCGTGGCCGAGACGAGACAGTGGACCAGAATAACGTGTTTCAGCATTGGTTGTCCGGGTACTACGTCCATTCGCCTCCGATACTCGATTCTTTCCCCTCTGTCACGCTGGATGATCTTCAAGGAGGTCTTGTCCACCTCCCTATCACCTCCCCGTCCTCCGACTACGAGCCATCCACCACGCGCATGACTCATCAAGAATTCGCCGATGTTACCGATCCTGACGTGGTTAAGCGTGCCCATCCGCTCTATCATGCCGTGAACCCAGTCCTATACAAGGAGAACATTCAGGGCGCTTTGTGGAACGCAACAACATGGCCCCACCTGAAGGTGACACTCGTATGGTGTGATATGTCTCCACCGGAGACAGTACTGTCTGCCTGGTACCTCGCAAACCAAGTCGGCACGAATTGGCCTCGTGGTGCTAGGAAGGTTGATGTGCTGCGCTTTCAGGGTGCTAATCACTTTGTAAGTCTTTCCAATAATCAATAGCGTACGCTGACGAAGGACGGCGGCCCGGTTCAGCCTCATTGGGATCAGCCCAAGCGCACTATCAAGCTGTTGTCCAGTATCATTTAGGCACCCATGCCTAGATATCATGCAGCTGAGAATCTCTCAACTTCTGCATTCATAATACAGTGCGCGTTGGGCAACTGGTCACGATTTAACTGAATGTACACTACCAAGCTTCACATGCCAGTGCTTTTGCTATTTGCCGATGTGGTTCTCAAGTCCCCCGAGATCACGTTGAATACTAGGCTATGCAGACGACGATCCCTCCGAGCCTGATGTGCACGACCGATTTCTTCGCAGCTCTGAAATATATGCTACTAGTGCTCAACCACCATACCTTGTCTTGGCATGGTAACAATTGGCCATGGCACGAGTAGATGTTCGCGCCCTTTTCGCGGAGTTGTCCGTGGTGCCAAGACTTGCACCTTAGTAAGTAAAGCGTTCATAAGTACTAGTGAGCTCTCACGTCAGAACTATGTATAGGAGCGAGTGACTAACCACCATTATAACGGTGCACAATTTAAGCCGAAGATTGCTAGCAAGCCGGTTGACATTTCACAAGATAGACGATTATCTCATGCCGCTTGCTACTGTTGACGAAGTCGGGACGCAGCTCTACTATGAGGATACTGGAGTACCGGAAAATCGCCCGAACTACCAGACATTAGTGCTCGTACAAGGTGGAATATTCAACGGCGGTGAGCAGTCACTCGAGAAAGGCTACCATCCGATGCTGATTGAAGCTGGTATGTAGCGGTTTACAGACCTCTCTTCGCCCATGCGTCTAGACACGGTATGCGTCTCGTCACATTGAATATGCGCGACTATCGCGGGTCCACTCCGTACACCGCTTCCGACTTGTCTGCGCTCGGAAGCACGGACCACCGCCAGCAGCGGTCCATGATCCGCGCACGGGGATTGGAGATCGCTACGTTCCTGTTACAGTTCATCCGGAAGGAGAACATACCGCCGCCTTCGAACCCTGAGGATTACAACAACAGCCGCGGAGGCGGTCTTTCTCTCCTCGGTTGGTCGTGGGGGAACATCATGACGATCTCTTTCCTGGCCCATGTCGCGGAGCTACCGGAGAACGATCGCCACTTGCTGGACGCCTACTTGAGGGGCTTCATCATGTATGGTCAGTCTACACGATGTTATCGTTGATGAGCCCTTAGCTCACCTACCCACCGAAAACGCCATTTACGGTCGATACAACAGTACACTAAGTCCGTATGGTCGACGCGCTATCCGTCCGTTCGAGGGAACCGCCCGATGTTCGAAGCTCAAGCGTCCATGTTCGGAACCCTTAGCGGCGAAGTCACACGGTTTAGAAGAGTCACTACATTGGTAGGACTACGGGCAAGTACACGGCTAGGTCAAACTAACTAGTGACGGCCTCGGCAACTCTCGTATCTATGGCCTCGACCTCCACACCCATGACCACCACCCCTACCCCTACGAACAGACGGACCGGCGTCGAAGCTACGGTCAGTGTTGACGCGCTCGAGCAGGCTTTCGAGCAACCCGACGAGGGTGCCGTGCGTGCGGCGCTGGTCGACTGCGATGTTGTGAATCGCTCGACCCATGGACTCGAGGTTGTCGGGCAGCTGGCGGAAGTCGGACAGGATCAACGTCTCGCGCTGATACTGCGGGTTCGCGAGAGGACGACGCTCGGCCTGGTTGACTTGTTCGAGCAGCACCAAGGTCTCGGACCACGCGATCGTAGGGTAGGGCGAACCTAGGATGTCCCCTGGTTGCCATCGCGGTGAAAGACCTCGTCGAGGTAACGCATCAACTCGTCGATCTCGGGGAACGACCTAGGAGCAGGAAGCGTATCGTTCGCTAGCAGGATGGCCCGGCTGCGGGACTCGAACAAGAATCGCTGTTCGAAGGTCGGTTCGATGGTTCGAACGATAGTCTAAGTTCGGAGGCACGTACGATCATCCAACGGACTCCGTGGGCCCAAGCCAGCCACTCTCCGGGACTGTTGGCATCGTATCGCGGCTCGACAAGTCCCTCGGTCTTGAGGACCTCTAGGAGGCGGTAGTAGCGGGCAGCATACGCTTCGGAAGTTGGGTCGAGGTGCGGCATGTTCGTGTAAGTCAGGCGAACTCCTGCAGCTGTCTCATATCTTCGAGGACTGTCACCGGCTCCGGTTATGACCTTCGCCGTTCGGGGACGGTCGCCCGTTATGCGGAACCTGCGGAAGGCCGAGTTGGATTCTCTCATGTGTTAGTAGGTCCGGGTCGAGCGTTGTGACATTCTCCGATTGGCTGCTTTCCTTATCACTTTCATTCATCATTTCTTATTTCTCTTGGCTCTCTTGGTCTTCGGACCGTATTTTCCTGTATATACTCTGGGACTTGTTCCCTTCGAATCTCAGAGACCCCCTTACCCTCTCAATCTCACCTCGCACCGGCGAGGTTCGTCAGCCAGTCAGTACGTTCGAAGTCAGCAAGTTCGCCAGTCAGTCAGTACGTTCGAAGCCAGTCAGTCAGTTCGCCAGTACGTTCGCCAGCTCGTAGTTGCCCCGAGAGGCTCTACACTTCTTCTCCTGCCGTCGCTCGCCTTCCTTGTCACCGTTCGTTCGACACGTCTGTCGAAACCCTCCTCCTACCTTCGAGGCTTAGCCCTCGTCTTCGAACAGTCTTCGACATCTTCGAAGCTCTCCCACGTCGTTCGGAGTCTTGTCCGTCCTCCTCCTTCTTACCTAGACCACTGTACAGTCCCCCGTACATCTCATAGACGCAGAGGCCTCGCATACCACTGCTCGACCTCACGGTTGGGTTTTTGTGTGGCTTTTGTGTTCTTTTCGGTCGCGTCATCTTGGAGCCCACCGCGAGGGGGATATAGAGCAAGATTCCGCCGCGTCGGAACTTCGACGTCAACCCTGAAGACTACCGAGACTACGAAAGTCCTCTTCTCGCACTCGCTATCGACAGTCGTCTAGGTCCCGGATCCGCCGCCGCCTTTCGCAGGCATAGCAACCCTCTACCAGGACCTTCGACTATCCCCTCTTCGTCCGAACACGTCGAGCTTGTCCCCGATCACGACGATCAGGAACGCTCCGTTCGAGACCAAGTACCTACTACTCCATCTCCATCTCATCCCGGACGTGCTCGAAGACTTTCGCTCTCAGACGACCTAGAGTCTCGAGTCTTTGGCTCTCCTCTACCGTCCCTAACGCCGTCGCCACCTCTCGAAGGAGAGGACCTCAGTTCAGCCACGCCGATCACGACGCGTAGTGGAGCCACCACCTCACGTCTACCTTTACCCACTCGTCGCGAGCGTCGTTAGCCCCTCCAGGACCAGAGTCGTCCGAGCCGCGAAGGACTTCGACCAGCGACAACCAAAACCCTTCGAACGATCCACCAAATCCTTCGAACCCTCCGAACACCGATACGAACATGTCCGAAGCAGCAGCACAAGCTTCGAAGGCGGCTTCCATGCCTGCCCGCGGTCACTCGACTGCGCCGGTCTTTGATGAGTCAGAGCCCTTCGCGTTCAACCGCTTCTTCCAGGACCTCGAGACCCACTTCACGCGATGCGGGATCACCACCAATGCGGACAAGAAGTCATGGGCCGTTCGGTACCCGCCGATACGGGTCTCGGACCTGTGGACGATGCAGCCGACGTACAAGGATGCTACGAAGACGTACGACGAGTTAAGACAGCTCTTCGAACACTCTACCCGGGTGCCGACGATCAACACAAGTATTCGACGGACGACCTCGACAAGGTGGTCCAGGAACGTCAGAGGCTTGGCCTGAGCAACGCGCTCGACCTCGCCGCTTATTATCGTGATTTCTACATGATCTCGAGTACCTCATCGCTCAGGGTTCCCTCTCGACGCTCGAACAAGATCGAAGGTTCCAGCAAGGCTTTCCCCCAGCGCTTTGGGGACCGATCGAACAACGCTTGTTCATGAAGAACCCGACCACTCGAGACGCAAGCCATGGACCTTCGCGCAGATCTACATCGCCGCTCAATGGGTCCTAGACGGCCCTACCCCCGCTTCGACGTTTCAGCAAGTCATAGTCCAATCTTCGAACGTCCCCTCAGGTCCTTCGAACGTCGCACCATCTAATTCGTCCGGCGTTAAGAACGAAGACCTCCTACCAGTCTTGCAGACGCTGATCAAGACTCTCGAGGCTCAGCAGTTTAGGAGTCGGTCCCCCGGACCACCAGGCGGTAGAGACGGCCCTCACTGCTTCTACTGCGGTCGTTCGGGCTGTCGCATCAACGACTGCGAAATGTTCGAAGACGACGCCAAGAAGGGCTTGTGCCGGAGGAACCCAGACGGCAAGGTCGTGTCGTTCGACGGTCGATTCATGAGCAGGAGAGAGGGCGAGACCCTCCGCGACGCCATCTATGAGTACGCGCGCCGCACCGGCAAGGTCGGACTTAACGCGAACACTTCGAACGGTTCGGGCGGTGCCACCCAAGGTTCGACTACCTCCCAGCTACTCTACGAAGCGATCGAGACCCCACCGACTGCGACGTACGCCTTAGACATTGGCGAGACCCTCGAACGTATGCGAGACCAGTTGTCACATATTACGGAGGTCTACGCCCAGGACAGCGGAAGAAGCACGTGTTCGACGGCGTCATGATTGACAAGAGGCCGCAGCGTTCCACGGCCCGTCCTGCGAACTTGCCCACCGATAAGTCACGAGCTCCGGACTCCCGAGGCTCTTCGAAGGAGCGTACCGTGCGCTTCGCTTCGCCGCCTGTGTCGAGTCAGCAAGCAGCACCGATCGAGACCCCAACCACGCGTTCGAAGAGTGCAGAGCGTGCAGGTCCGCCACCGAGAGCTCCGACGCCACCTGCAGATCTAGGCCGAGCGTCCAGGCCTCGGCGCCACCAGCGCAGTCAGTGCCCGACAAGGAGAGTCCGATCCATCCCTTCGCAAATGTCGGACGCGACCTATGCACCGCCGACGACCCGAAACTTCGGAGCAGCGCCTACGAAGTTTAAGAACCGGGACGGCTCGTATACGAATCTTGCACCTGTAGTTCAGGCCCAGCTGGCCGAGTCCGTCTTCAAGCGTCCATGAGCACGCCAACGGTCCCGCTGACCATCGAGGAGTTGCTGAGCATCTCGCCCGAGCTTCGAACCGCTATCGCGAAGCGTGACGCCCCGAAGAGTGACGCA